GATAATTTTAGGAGCAACACCTAAAAATCTTCACGTGTTCGGTCTTGCATTGGCATAGTTTATTTTTTTTTTTTTTTTATTTTTTTTTTTTTTTTTGAATCTTTTTTTTTTTTTATTTTTGTTTTTCAATTTTCAAATCTCTGCCCCACGACGCGTGCTAAACAAGCAAGCAAATCACTGAAGACACGCCCAGCGATTGAGCCCAGGAAGACTTACTGGCCGTATCCACACCTCATTACAATAACCATGACGAAACTGTCCCCCTCTGGAACTCCCGAGAAGGAGGGAAAGAGAGACGTGGTAGAAGACGTTGTAGTTTCATCACCTAAGAGGTTGAAGCTAGACAGTGATGCTGCAAGCGACAAGCCGGAAGAAGAAAAGGCGCCCACTAAGAAGCAGCTTGAAAAGATCGAACGCCAGAAGCAACGAGAACTTGAAAAAGTAGAAAGAGATCGAAAAAAGGAAGAGGAAAGAATCAAGAAGGAGGAAGATAGACGATTAAGGGAGGAAGAGAGGAAAAAGAAGCTAGAGGAGAAGGAATTGGAGAAGGAATCGAGGCGGAAGAAGTTGGAAGAGGAAAAGATCGAAAGAGACAGGAAGAAGGAGGAGGAGAGGCTAAAAAAATTAGCTGAAAGAGAAGAAAAGGAGAAGATCAGGTTGGAGAAGAAGCTAAAGTTGGAAGAAGAGAAGCGCAAGGCTGATGAAGAGAAAAGGAAGGCAGAGGAAGCTAAGAAGAGGGCCGAAGAAGCCAAAGAAAGGAGTCAAATGAAGATATCGTCCTTCTTCACGCCAAAGAAACGCGTTCTGAGCGAGGAATCAGAGCCATTGACCAACTCAATTGGGAATGACAATAGCGATACACCGCTGACGGGTGCCACTTCAACAGCATCATCAACATCTTCTTCAACTGCATCTACAAATGCCACTTCCACAAGCACTTCACCCTCTAAATCGAACAATAGAAGCTCACCCTCCAAAAACTCACATATTTGCACATATGACAGAGTATTCTTGCCGTTTTTCCAAAAGAAGAACGTTACTATGCCCAAACTGAGTACACTTTCCAAGGAAGATCTCGCCATTGCGAAGGACAGCTTTGATTCCATAATATCCATAAAACGTGAGGAAAACCAACACTCCTACGAAAATTTCATGAAGAATTGTACATTTAAGATACAATCGAAGACGTCAAACAGCTCCGTGGAAACAACCAAATCTGAGATGCTGACTGAAAAGATAATGGCAGCATTGAATTCCAACGATGCCACAGAGAATGAGATATATGACATGATTGAGAGGATCCCACCTATTAAATATTTGCAGTTTTACGAGAACTCGAAACCCCCATATATAGGAACGTGGTGCTCCGAAGAGCATCTTAAGATCAAGTTCCCTGCCAATGATCCTTTCTTTAAGATTCCAGCGGGCGTAGACTATGATTACGACTCTGATTTTGACTGGAATGAGGAAGAAGATGGCGAAGAAGGTGAAGGGGAGGACATAGACAATGATGAAGATGACGAAGAAGAAGAAGATGTAATGGACGAGGAAGAAGAAGATTTCGAAGACTTTGTGGACTCCAATGGAGAAGGGCAGAAGAAGAAGAAACGATTTGTGGGACCTTTAATTTCATTGAGTATATGGAATGATGGGAACGACAATGACTTCTTTGAGACAATGAAGTATGAACCAGTGAACGAAAAGATACAATTCCCCATAAACCCAACGTTTGGGTATTGGTCAAGGAAGAAAGTAGAAAAAGATGAAGACAGAGAGGAAAGTAAAGCGGTTGATCTGAATAATGTTAAGGTAGCAACACAACAACAATCTGAAGAAAAACCACTGCTTCCAATGCTGCTGCTGGTCGGTGCTGCTGTTTCTGCTACTGCTGCTGCCCATACTACAATTACCGATATTATTGGGTCAAATTCCGCTCCAAATGTTTTAGTTGCTCAAAAACCAAAGATCAAAGACAGCAAGGCCATATTTGAGCTATTAAAGTTTGTTGAAGAAAACAACGACTTCACCATTGGAACTTTGGTCGAACTTTCCCACAAGAAATTCAAATCTTTCACCAAGGCATTGATCAAGCATACCATAAAAGATATCGCAACCTACAACAAGAAAACTGGTAATTGGGAAGTGAACCAGGAAATAAAGGAAAAGCTTAGTCAAGGAGTCAACGCCTGATCTATGTTATTCACAATTTGACATTCATTACTTAACATAACCAACTTACACTACAGTTTTATCTTATCTAGATACGATGGGATGGGCCCGGACTGCATACAACATCGGAGTTAAACCTATACGCGTACATGTTAGTGACGTCTGATCTCGATCCTAACATTCCTTTTACTCCAGACTTTTTCTGTAACTTAAGTACTCTTATACGATATAGACTTCAAATGATACTGTAGTTATGAATGGAGTTGTAGATGGAGAGGAAGATAATCCATTTCTAGAGAGTTCGGTCAACTTTGTCTCTACGCAAATGCAGGGCAGACTTGAAGAGTTGCATAGTGAAAGTTTGGTACAAGATGCACAGATGGCCAAACTATCACAACTAGAGAGATTTCGGCTGTTCAACACGTCGTTGACCTCTGGCGCGGACACCAAGCCCAAGTTGCGAAAGAAAACGGCGGTGCTCAAACCAAATAAGAAGAAGTCAATCAGCATAACGAATCTAATGAAAGAGAAGTACTCCAAGGAAGCTCATAGTCAAGAAAGTAAGGATAAGCTAACCCAATTTACTATATGTCTGTTTTATTCTGGGAAAAAGGGTAAAGTCTCGGAAATAATAAAAAGAATAGAAAGAGAAGAGGGTAATGGTGACGGTAGGATCAAACCTAGTGAAGGTAATCCGAAGTCGGATCTCCAAGAACTGGTGGATATCGAGCTTGATGACAACGATAAGCTAACCTACTCGAAGCGAGAATGGAACTTAATCTTAAAGAAGATCAAGGTTAAATTTCCAAATCTTTCAAGCAAGACAAAAAGGAGTCTACAGAATGCGAGTAGACAAATCAACAGGCAGATGTCGACGTTGCGCAGCGGTACTGATACTGAGGAAGGGGGGATGTGGTCTCAGCAGGCAGGAACTCCCACTCCAGAAGAGCTTGATATTGAAGATATACGATGGTTGTACAATTTAAGTGATGAACAAGTAAGGCTATTGGGCACAACGGGAGGAGGTGTTCACAGAAGTAGTTTTTCTGAAGAAAGCGGTATATTTGAGGATGGACCTTTTGTAACGACCTTATCTCAAGTGATGGAACCTCTTCTGGAGAAAAAACTTTCAGCACCTAGGGAAGATAATATAGCTGAAGAAACGGATGAAGATCACGAAAGTGAGGACGAGTATACCGAGGCTGAAGAGGGTGAAGAAGAAGATCAAGAAGAAATTCCAAACTCGTCTCCAGAGTTCTCTCCGATAAAAATAAGGTCTGTAGACTCCTCTCCGAAATTGGAAGTTCAAGAGTCTGTCTATCAGAAGGAACCAATATCGTCACATCAACGGGAATCCTTGTTTTCCTGGAACACGCTTAGTCTCCCACTTCAAGAAACGCAGGAAAAACAAGTGGAAATGGTTAATACTTCTTCCTCCTCACCTTCCAAGCATGTACGTGAACCAGAAGAAATATTTTCGTCTTCTGTCACACACACTCCTCAAAAGATCAAGAAGGTTTTGGAGCCGTTGGTGGTAGAAGAGATTGTATCCTCGCCTGTAAGACCAGCTGAAGTGTTCAAGACTCCGGTGAAGAAGACAAAATTACCGATTATTTCCAATCCTGATAGCTCTCCTACCAAAAGTGTAGGGCAAGCAGATATAGATCAATCATCAGCACAGTTGCACCAAGAGCAAATTGATTCGCCCATTGTTCCTCAACAGCAAACATCGCTATCTTCGTCTTCGGTGTACTCCACTGCTTTGGCAAATTTTGCCAGAACGGATACATCACTTGCTATACCTAAGAAGAGATACCATACGTCTATAGTTGAAATACTGGGCGAAATTGAATTGATCGAGGATATACCTGAGAATTCTGATAACGTAAAGATCAGAAAGATTGGAACAAGAATAGAACCACCAATAGATTCAGAAGATGAAATAGCCGATTCAGAAGAAGAAAGTAAACCGAATACAAGCATTAGTATTATTGAAATATCCAGGGAGATTATCAACAATGAGGATTTACAAAAGGGGAATACTTCAATAATGCAAGTGCCTTCGAGCCCCCGGAATCAATTTGGAGCAATTTTGGATAGTGATTTCTTAAAGAGCGATGAGCACGAAGTCAAAGAAGCAAGAGAAGGGAGAACAGAGGCAGAAGCAGAGGCGGTAAAAGAAGAAATTGATACATTCTCCAAGATGACTGCTACCCAACTAAAAGAGTCATTTATCAAATTAGGATTGAAGCCAGTCAAGGGCAAGGCGAAGATGGTGCAAGTATTGAATGAATTAAGTCAGCATGTGGATTTAAGCCAGAAAGAAGTTGATGGTGAAGATTTTCAAAAAAACATCAATAATAAAATCAACGATAGAATACAGGGTAATGGGTATTGGTATGAGAAAGTTCTTAGCTTTGAGCCAATAATATTAAGCGATTTGCAAAACTGGCTAGAGGTGGATGAGGGAATTCTGTTGGATACGGACATCTTAGAAAGATATTGTGACATCATGGGTATCACCACTAAAGTGAAGCCCTTGAAGCCCTTAGAAGGAAGGGGAAATGTTAAACGTAGGAGGAGGAAAGTTGATTAAAACATGTACATTAGCGTATTTCACGATACTTTATAAAATAAGTAACAATATAACTTTAAATTTAAACGCGAATACGTTTATGTTAGGAATAACAGTAAGAATAGGAATAGACATACACACATAGCATTTCGTGCCAGACGTGACTCTACATTCATACAAGACCAAAGACATTCACACAACAAACTACTTATTCTTTCCCGTTACATTCCGTCTATTTACTTATTTTCATATTTATTATTTACATTCTGAAAATTTCCCCAATTTTGGTGTTCTCTATTTGATTCCATCTGATTCAGCCACCGCATGATCTCTCAGTAGAACAGCAGCATCATCGCCGTTCTATATGTACTTCTTATGATCCATATCTAATCTCTCTTCGAGCAATACATTATTTAAATAAGTAACGAGCTTCACACTCAATCCAACACCGGCAACGAAGGTTCCTGGTCCGAATACCAAATTATTGAAAAAGCTCCCATATGTGCGGTTCAATATTACCTTAGCAGCCCACACGGCGTGGAAGCCCCACAACACTACTAGTATCACGGAGAAAATAGTCAACAAAACTGCGTAAGTGACTCTCGATTTCGACACCCTATCATCTTCAGATGGCTTTCTTTGCTTCAACTGTGCCATACTTGCTTATACTGTAGGTCAACTGTACACTTCTGAAGGCAATCGCCTAAATTAGTATTACTTGTCAAAAAAATTCAAACGTTCCCATGTCTCGGTTTTGTGTCACTTTCGAGAATACCTCACTATATGCACGATGACCTAGTTCGGGTTTGCTTAGCACTAAGACAAGGAACAGTCCAAGAAGGCTAACGATAAGAAGCGGAAAAGAACCCAATTTGTACGATAGTGAGGGTAAAAAGTGGTCCAATCTAACGTTATCTGTATTATTTACCGTAATAACTTTCAACGGCTTCGAATTTTTAACTACAATATAAACAAAATCCACCTTTCTATCTGTGACCAAAGATGGAGCTGGTCTACCACAATTCACCAAGCCTAGTCGTAGAGCCTCATCACTATAGTGGAGGGGTGCCAGTATTCACGCCTACAATGGCGCAATTTGAAGACTTTTACGCTTTCAACAAAGCAATCAACAAGTATGGTATGGAACTGGGTATAGTCAAAGTGATACCACCACCAGAGTGGAAGAGCTCGCTACCTAAGTACTCACAGAAAGCTTTGGAGAAGATAAAGATAAAGAACCCGATTATTCAGCATATTAACGGCAGTGGAGCAGGTGTGTATTCGCTGCAGAACATCGAAAGGCTGAGGACATATTCCATTGCGCAATGGAAAGAGCTTCTGAACCAGTCGAACTTCCAGCCTCCAGCGCCCAGAGGAAAGGTACGGGATACAGATAAGGCGCTAAGTGACAAGACATCGCCTGAGGCAATGCAAGTGCATCTGCCACCGCAGTCACCGGAGCAAAACCACCGAAAAACACACAGGGTTGGAGTACCACCACTGCCAGTGCCAGAGAGACAGCTAAGGAAGCGCTCGGACAGCGTGACCGGGGCAGACAGCCACCTTCAGAAACAACATGCAAAGGCAGCCAAACATCAGCAACAATTGCAGAATAATTTCAAGAACTATAACATTGATACATCCATTTTCACAGAAGAAAGGTGTGAGCAGTTGGAATCCAATTACTGGAAGACATTGACCTACGCAGAACCCATGTATGGAGCAGACTCGCTTGGTTCGCTCTTCCCGCCAAACTTTAAGACTTGGAATGTTGCACATCTTCCTAACATCTTAGATCTCTTAGATGCCAAGCTCCCAGGGGTGAATGATGCCTACTTGTACGCTGGTCTATGGAAGGCAACCTTTTCGTGGCATTTGGAGGACCAAGACTTGTATTCTATCAACTATTTACACTTTGGTGCACCAAAGCAGTGGTACTCTATACCTCAAGCTCAGGCCAGTAAGTTTTACAACTTAATGAAAGATTCATTCCCAGAGGATAGTAGATCGTGTCTGGAATTCCTCAGGCATAAGACTTATATGATGTCTCCTCAGTGTTTAGCCAAACATGGTATATCTGTAAATAAAATCATTCACAGAGAAGGCGAGTTTATGATCACCTATCCCTATGGATATCACTCCGGATTTAACTACGGATACAACCTTGCAGAGTCTGTTAATTTCGCCATAGATGACTGGTTCCCCTTTGGTGAGAGTTCCAAAAAGTGTGAGTGTATAAACGATTCTGTGGGTATCAACGTGAAGATGTTGTACTGTAAGTTCAAAGGAATTGATTATGAATTAGAAGAAAAGAAGAGGAAGGAAGCAGAAGCGAAAGCAAAAGAAGAAGAAGAAAAAGAACGAATAGTACTGGAAATGAATTCCACTGGAAATGAAAAGGTCGCTAAGTTTAGGAAGAAGAAGAGTCCAATTAATAAAGTTAAAGCCGAGGATGATGCTAGAGTAGAATCCAGAGTTCGACCAAAACATACCCTGAGTCCAGTAATTCCTGACCCTCCTCAAAAGGTCATTGAAAGAATAGAAATCAACTACCAATGCTTGTTATGTCCAAACAACTTGGCAAAGTCACTTACAAAGTTAAAACCATTTCAGCTTCTTGATACTGAATTCCCGGACAAGAAAGTCCATAGAATATGTGCACAGCAATTTAAGGAATTGAAAGGTATAGAGGTAGGAACTGTGAAGGGGTTCTCAGAAATCACGAAAGCTCAAAGTGATTTAAGGTGTTTAGCATGCCAACCTAGTATATCCAAGAAGAAGCAGGCACAAACTGATGGATACCCTCCTCATGGTGCTTGTTTCCAGTGCGAGCATCCAAAATGTGTTAGGTCGTACCATGCAACTTGTGCCATAGGAAGTGGGTTTTCTTTTTCTGATGGAGGGAACAACAGATGTAAATTCCACAGAGGCAAGGTTGTATATCATAAATGTAATCAAATTAAAAGTGACAGAATCGCTAAAGTAATGAGAAATAGTGTCATTCAGTTTACAACCTTGAACAGGGACACTTTCAGTGGGTTGGTTGTTGCCAATATTCCAGAGGAGAGCGTACTTCACGTTACAGCCTTTCCACAGATGAAGGAAAGAATAGAAGTTCCGTACGACAATGTGCTAATGAGCGACGACGTGAAAATCGACACAACTCAAAATGCTGTCTTATTGTATGAAAGGAAGAAGAAAGTCAAAGAAGACATGGGAGCCAACGCTAATGAAAATAAAATCGTAAAACGATTACTGCCAGTACCTATATTTGTCAATGTTCTGAAGGATGATATCCTTGATATGGCACGCTCCGAGGTAGCGCAAGAATTTTCAGGAATTAACTTGCCCGCCCCAATAATCTTGCTCAATGGAAACTTTATAATAGCTACTGTTTCTCCACAGTTATATGGGAATGAGGTGGCGAGACCCAACGAATGGTGGTATTATGTACATAAACAGTCAACTGATACAATCGGCAGATACACAAACAATTATAAATCGAGAACACCCAATGACCCCAATTACTTGAAATCAGTAGAGAGGAAAAAGAAGCGAACAATGGACAGTTCACATCAAGGCTCTAAAAAGACGAAGTCCATAAAGTTCACTCAGGTTGAATTTAAATCTGCCGAGGAAAATAATTCCATCACTCTGCCAACAATGGCCTCTGGAGTCACCCCACTAGTTCCTACTTCAGGTAATTTATCTAATTTCACAATGCGTACGCCCTTCTTCAACCAAACTAACGTGAACAATACCAACAATAGGATGGACAATTTTATTCCTTCGAATATTGGCCGCGAGTATAACCAAAATCTGGGACATAATGAGAACCATATGAATATCGCGCCAACTATTATGCACGGTAGAGTGAACCCATACGTAAATTTAACTGCAAACAGATAAGTCGAACAAGACCTTGCACCATTAACATTCTGGTGCAGAGCTTTTTTTGATCGCAATTTTACTAGTTTCACTTTTATTTTTTATTTATTTTTTCTTTGTTGAGCCTTTGAGTGTGTATTTTTTTGCATTTCAATGCCTGCCAGTTTCCTATAGTTACGTATTGATGAATTACATGAAGTTAATTAAACTAAGTAAGCACGTAGGATGAATTCACAAGTCTACTTTAACCGAGTATATTTAAATTCGGCGATAATGTACCTTGCATCTATGCCGCATGCATGCAGCAAAGTTAAAACTGAAAAATAAAATGAATCGAGTATGCGTTAGAAAGAACAGAGAGAAGAAATGCGAGTTTAATTTAAGGTGCGCCTGGTATTTTATTACTGTGTATGGGTAAGAAGAGATAATGAAGATCAATTAAGATAAAAGAAAACGCAGTACTAACAAGACAGAATGTGGAACGAAAATGTGGACAGAAATGTTTTAGGAGCCTCTATGATATTATGTAGGATTGCGTTTCGTAATGTACAAAAATTTAAACATTACATTTGCCAATACGACAAGCAATGAATTCCACGGATAGTCAACTTACTGGCGTAAGAAGGTCTAGAATATCAGGAACACTGTTAGTTTAAATTAACTTTAGTGAGAGAAATTAAAACTGTTTATTATTATTATTATTATTATTTTTCATTAATATTATTTCACAGTATCAGCAGACAGGTGTTGTTTTCCTAACTCACTCTGTCTCTCTTTCTCTCTCTCACAGAAGACGGCGCGACTGAGGCAATGCTAAATTGTGGTGAATCTGTATTTGTTTATTAATTTTTTCTTTATTTTTTTTATTTTTTTTTTTGCTTCTTTCTAAAACTTACCCACAGAAAAGGAATAACAACAAAATGCGCCATATATACACCAGAATGGCAATTAGCCGAGATTGACGTGGATAAACGCCATAAATAGGCAAAAGTTGAGGTAGACAATTAAAAAGGGCCATTTCCCGAAGCGAACAAAAGTTTGCAAAGTTCGCGATTCGCGTTGCGTAAAGAAATTAACTAAAGCGGAAATGCAATTACCAATGGAAAATTGGTTGCGCCTAGTGACGAGTGAGCGAAAGAGGACAATAAACATAGAATAGGGCATAATGGAATAATACCTGGATTCCTGAATAATGGTTGCATTAAATCAGAATCAAGACAAATTCTTAGATACGGGGTTCAGAGATAAGCAGAAAAGAAAATAAAATTGCCAGACTGGGAAACTATGGACTATTGGCTAAAGAAAGGCGCACTACAGCACGACCCCATCAATGCTTAGCCATTCCAGCTAAATGTCTACGTTGAGTAAAGTTCAAGGTACCCATACAATAATACCCGGTAATTATAGACGCTAAGGCTGCTTCGCTGCTGGCCAATAAATTCCCCTTGTAGGAAGTTCTGCACGTAATCCGCGAATGAGTTTAAAGTTAGGCTCCCTTTAATAGTGTTTGTTATGTAAACAAACGTGAAAAATGCAAAGCAACGAAGCAAATAAAAAAAAAAAAATAAATGCAATAATAACAAGGTAAATGATCTGCATATCCAAATCGCGCTTTTTGGTGTCAATATCTCTGTGTTGGGAAAAGGGCATTCAAGTGCCTTTGTGGGTAGGAATAAATTTGCACCCTATTTCTGAATTATATATATATCTATGTATGCAGCCAACATATTAGTTCTTACAGAGAAGAAAAAGGAAACTAGTTTTTTATTTTGAGAGATACTTTAATTGGGTCTGTGAACTTACATCGAGGCACACCATCCGTCTTATAATCTCGTACTTGCATCGATATTTACTTCTTTCTGGAGAATTAAGTTGCAATATTACCCACATACTACGCACACATATAAACATACACAACATTTTTCAGTAATTGTTGTCACATTCTTTTTACGTACATTTCCTTCTTTTTTGTATCTTTATTAGCATTTTGCATTACTAGGATTATAATCATGTCACAACAAGCATTCATGCAAACTCCAAAGAGGCCAAGTCTCCCTCCTACCCCCAGTTCCTACTGCAAGACCAGCTTACCGCCATTGTCTTCTATTCTCAATAGTAAGAAGGACATTGGTGCTGGGTCTTCCTCCACACCATTCGGTGGATTTACCAGACTCCCCTCCATAGATTCCTTTACCCCTATTTCGAGCTCCAAGATCTATTCATATCCAGCAACAAGTGTCAACTCCAGCCACCGTCAGCACAATCTTACATTGTCTACTCCATCGAAGTCATCTATTCCTGCCGGAAACGTGAATTCCAGCTTCAGTTTTGCTAACTCGTCAATCGATACCAGTGAAAATGATATCACACCAGTCGATTCTACTGTCAAGAGCGCTGTTCAATCACAGGCACAGTCCAAAGTCAACTCTCCCATTGAGTCAAAGGCATATGCCTTCATCAGTCATTCCCCTGCAACATTCCCTAACCAAGAACCTTCCATTGACAACGCTCCGTTGGCTAGAAGAAAGAGAAGAAGAACTTCTCCCAATGAGTTGTCCATCTTGAACAAGGAATTTGACTTGGGCTCTACTCCAAACAAATCGAGAAGAATAGAGATTGCTGGTAGAGTCTCGATGACTGAAAAGGCAGTCCAGATCTGGTTCCAAAACAAAAGACAATCATTGAGGAAGCACTCTGCAACTGAAAAGGAGGTTACTGAGTTGCCACAGGTAGTCCACTCCACTTCAACCACATCGTTACCTGATGTCGTCTCATCGCAAGTATCAGTTTCCTCCTCCTCCTCCTCATCATCCTCTTCAACATCCATATCATTAGAAGTCTTCCCTCCAGCTTCTGCTCCACCAATTTTAACTGCATCTACCCCAATTAAGCCAATGTTAAACAAAGCTCAATCGTTTATTTCCCCATCTGGTGCAGGCAACAATAACTTTCCTTCACCAATTCAAAAGAGATCCCTCTCCACAAATTCTCTTCCAAAGCTTCCCACCCTCACTCCTACTTTGAACAAGTCGATGTTTAAAATAGAGAGTGATGCTGCTACTTTACCTTCCCCCTCGGACTCGTCCCACCTTGTATTGAATGAAACCAAGAAGAAACAACCAATCTTCTTGAACTCTACCAATTCAAGCACAATGACTTTCAAGTTGGCACCAGCCAAGTTTAAGTCTCCAAAGAAGGAGCAATCTGAAGGTAGGAAAGCATTGAGTGAAATCAGCTTGAACAGATCCAATTCCATGCCTAGCGTCAACAAGGTGAAGGAAAAGTTGGACAACGTCAAGAGAAGTGGAGAAAATGAATGCATTGAGAACTTGTTATCATTGAGAGCTGGTAACTGGAAATAGGTACAGTCAACGCTCACACCATATCATACATAATTACATACATACTCACTTACATACACACGAAACATCATATATAGAAATTTAACGACGAATCCGATAAATCCAAACGAGTGTAACAAGCAAAAAGAATGAAAGCTGGTCCACCTCTGCTTATTCTACTCCTTCACCCCATAGAATGGTTCCAAAGATTTTGCAATTAGCAAGTGTGCCTGATCGTGCAACCATGTTACATGCAGGCATTTCAACATGAAATATTTAAAGAGATGAAGAATTTCAGTGCTGCATATAGTAACGAAATAATTTTTTTTTCATTTTTTTTTCTTCCTCAAATGAAAATTTTTTTAGAGCTCGTTATATGCAGTGCTGAAAGGACATTCGAAGAGAACAAGCGACCCACAGACTTTCACCTACACAGCTAGCTTGCTTGGTACGGTATCGAGGCAATTCATACAGCGCTCTGCTCCCTATTCTCTACATTTCATTTTACTATTGAACGTTTACGTGTATTATTAAATTACATGGAAATATAAAAGATGTACCCAAGTAAAATAACTCTTAACGACCACGGGAAGTAGTCTTGGTGTGTTGACCTCTGACCTTAAGACCCCAGAAGTGTCTAATACCACGGTGAGCTCTGATCTTCTTTAATCTTTCTAAATCATCTCTTAACTTGGATTCTAAGTTGTTAGCTAAGACGTGGTAGTCCTTACCGTCAACGTGATCCTTTTGTCTGTTTAAGAACCAAGCTGGGATCTTATAGTTAGTTGGGTTTTGCATGATGGTGACAACTCTTTCTAATTCTTCTTGGGTTAATTCACCGGCACGCTTCTGTAAGTCAATATCAGCCTTCTTACAGACCAAGTTGGAGTAACGACGACCAACACCTCTAATCTTGGTTAAGGCGTACATGATCTTGATTCTACCATCGATGTTGGTGTTCAACAAACTGGAAACTGTTAGTAAAGGAAAGGAAAAGGGAAGGGCAAAAGAGGAAAAGAGGGTAAAAAGCATGAAATAGGGAAGATCGTATAGTAGATTGATAGCATGAAAAGGTAAAGACTGGCCAGTCTAGACTGAGCTAAGACAAACTAAGCTAAGCTAAGCTAAGCTAAGCTCAGCAAAGACAAGGCAGACATCACAAACATTCACCCAGAACTCACTGAGCTCCTTCAACTAAAAAATCATACTCATGCAAGCATATCCTGCAACAGATACAAGTTGATGGAGAAGGCATATCGCCAATATTTCAATATCAGTTTTATTAGAGGTCTCTTGGCGTATTGCATTTTCTATCCTCAACTGGCCTGTTCATGAGGGCTTCACTTGAGACCCTTCTTTCATAAACACAGCTTGCATGTTTTATTCTCCAACTACTTCTACTGAAGCAGCATCACTGCTTGTCTACTTTTATGCTCTTTCCTCCGATTTGTGCACATTTAAAAATTTTTCATTGGCCTCAACTTGACTGCCTGCTCAGCGAATTTCTCTCTCCTCTATGTTCATGCTTTTACATCCGTTCTTTCTCTCTGGAAATATTCCACTGGCTACATACCGTAAAATGTGTTGGAAAGAACCTTCTTCTTGAATAACTAAGGACATTTTGACGTATAGGACTATTGATTCAAATCTTCTTTAGAAACAGCTAGTTGACTTTTACTTTTCAATATGTTTTTCATAATTTTCCCACACCTGCGCGCTTGGGGAGAGTTTCTCTTAGGAGGGAGGGAGTCGTCCCAAACCCAAACGAATTTTTTTCGAAAGCAGTCGTTAGGGTCCAGCCCTGGAGCGCGAGAGGTATCACGTGTATGGAAAGGTGAAAACAGGATGCGAAGGGTGCTGCGATGGGTGCAGTGAGAGTTGATGGTAAGAATGAACTGCTTCTGGAGTGGTGCCAAAGGGACGCTTCCTTGGAGCTGTTTGTGGTTGCTGTGCTTAGTCGTTTTCACATACGAAGGCATTTCAAGCTTGGTGGTGCGATTGCGTGGTGTCTTGACAGACCCGTGTTCTTCTCTACGTGAGTTTACCCCTGCTTAACCTTGAACCCCTACAAATCCGGAACCCTTGTTAACCGTACTGGATCTGTAGCTCTCTCTATCTACACAAGCATTCACGATTGTCCCATACCTGCTATACAAGTTAATACAATGCGAGTTCGAAGTCATACTTGTATTCAATTCCTGACCACTCCAATTCTTTGAAAAAAAAAAGAATTTTTGAAGTTTATCTAGTTTATCTAGTTTATTAAGTTTATATAGCTTAGCTAGTTCATATAGTCTACTCTCATGATATTCAGGGCAAATCTGTTCACTCTCTAATCTACTACACAATGCAGACTCTTATACCATTCCAGGTCGCTCTCTTGCTCCTTTTCCTTGGCTGCGGCCTAACACCTCTACACAATCACCCTAAATATTACTTCGTTAATTATGCTATATACAGTTCCTATTCCATCACTCTCCTTTCTATTTACTAGTTGCTGTGCTTCCCAATAAGCCATTGCAAAGCTGGCGCTTCAATGAAGATCCTGTTGGCCTTTAAGATATCTCTGACCTGCAATGCTTCCTTAGGAACAACGTCCGCCTTGTCTGCGATATACTCCGTTGAATTCAATAAGTTCTCTCTGAGATCATCTGTAACAAACAACAAGTGCAATTTCTCCATCTTGTGACATTCAACAAACTGCTTGGTAGCTTCCTCATAACCATACTTGAAATCTACGATAGTCAGATCGGTTTCTGATAATTTTCCGGTCGTTGCTTCGCTTTGTTCCCCAGCTCCGATTATGAAGAGCTTACCGTCTCTATATTGTTGTGAAAATGCAGTTTGGATGGCTCTGTTGTATATTTTCCTTGGTAAATTGGTGGACCAGTCAACTGGGGCCTTTCTCCCAAACGCCTTTAATCCATTATCTCTAATTGGAGAATTACGATCACCTACTCTCGCACGTCCTGAACCCTTTTGAGGCTGGATCTTTCTGTTGGAGAATGGCTTGTCACCCTTAGTTGGCACGCTACCGGATCCTACTCTGGAAGCATCAGCTTCAAATACTACCGCACTCCATAAGAAGTCTCTTCTTAAAGGAGCATCGAAGAAGGAGGCTGGCAACGGAATGAATGAATGAGGCTCCAAGCTTGGAAAGCTTCTTAACGATGCCAATGTGTATTGAGGTGGTTTGGCTATGTTAAAAGTCGTGGCACTTGGAAGGGTAGAAGTACTTGCTTCAGTAGCCAAACGACGGATCGATCTTACAAACATTTTGCCTATTCGTACCCAGTGAAGTGTCAGTAATGGATGACTAGCTCAGTGAGCTTTGATCGCTGCACAATTTTTCATATTGGTGTATTTGGTTGGCACACGCCAGGTTCTTGAATTTTTCATTTGACTTGACTTTGTGTGACCTGCATATAGCGTGCATCAGTATGGCTGCAAATGGGGAAGATGGTGGTATAGAAGTCGATATGATTGAGGTGATTCTGCTTTGATTTAAGCTAGAGGAGCTAGGGGTGTCTTTTATAGTCATATTGCAACTGTTTTTGGAAAGATTGTAGAGTATTTTTCAAAAAAATACGTATATTCATTTTAGTCTCCGAGTGCAACTTTGAGATACAAAATAGTAAGTTTATCAGAATAGCGTAGATGTTTCAATTGAACCTTTCGAATAGGGCCTTCAGAAGCAAATATAGCATTGTGTTACTCATAAGTTAAATTCAGAAGAGTGAATTGTGTAAAGGAGGAATTAGCTCGACATAAACGTTGCTCATGCCTAGAAGAGATAACAATCTACAAATAACTGAATTGAAAAAGAACACAATGGTATGTATTACTTGATCTATTTTGGGACATACACTTTACATGTTTCCCTTACTGTTTCATATTTTAAATTCTGGACAGCTTTATACACTTCCTACGGGGCCCCTAGGTGATTGCAGTTCTTCGGCCTCTTCATCACTGTGGATCTCAAAATTACTTAAATCTGCATCCACTACAGCCAACTCTATGTCATCCGATGGTGCTGGCACATACTGGCCACTGCCTTCTCCATTACTTCCAGTTAACTTATTATAAGCTTTAGCCAAAAAGCCGGCTTTATGGTCGATGGGAACCCCCAGTTCACCTTCTTCAGGTACAGTATCACCTTCTTGGAACAGACGCAATTGGTCTGCCCATTGCACGTTTTTCTTTTTACCTGAGGATGGCCCCGTTTTAATAATAGACGAAGGACGAGATTTATAAGATCCATAGAGAACGTAGATTCCCCATATAAGGATGCAAATGACCAGAAGTTGGATCAATCTGGTGATACGGGAAGTAGTAGATGAAATGTCCGAGGCCTCAGTTGAAGAAGTAGACTCTGAAGAAGTAGAGTCGGATACAGTAGCACTTGATACTGCAGCGTCCAGTTCCGTTTCTGAAGGTTTTTCATCTTCTGGAATGGATTTTGGTCTGGTACCAAGTGGGTAAGTAATAAAGACTCTCTTTCCATCATCCCTGACGTCTTCATCATATTCCTTAAGCATAAGATCAATTAAACTTCTGGAAACAAAAGGTTTATCAAATGGGACCATATGGGATGCGTCGAAAACGTTCACAAAGGTTAAATTCCTTGACTGTTTGATATACCCAACAGTTTCATCATCGTAGACCCAGTCACTGGCTAGTTTCAGTCCCTTGTATTTATCTGCTTTCAAATCTTCAGTGGTATCAGCGTCATCATCAGTTTGCCAACCTATACCTCCATTCCATTCTAAATTCTTAATGAAATCTTCAGTACCCATATAGTTGCAGATAATGTCCCTGTTACCATTGAACAACAAAATTGGAATTTCTTCTAAAATAGCTGGAAGCAACTTCACTGCAGGTTCCAACTTATTTTTTAGATGGCTACTGACGCCTGAACTACATTCTCTCCACTTTCTGTGTTCCTTCACATTCAACAAGTCCAACACCTTATCGTCGTTTAAGAATGGATTGACATTGGTCAAATCAGGAGGCCAATTCATACCACACGAAGGGAAAGAATCCCTCAAGGTGTAGTCATAAATATTGATACACTGCTCGTTTGTATCTTTACTCCTATCTAACGATGAACTCATGATCATATTAAGAATCTTTTCACATTCTTTGTTTACAATATTGTGCACATTGACACCCTTGTCCAACGTTCCTGCATTGATTTCATTAACAATGCTTTGACATTTCTCTTGCTGATCTAACAATGAAGACCATTTACTACTTTTTTCATTAACAACACCAGCTTGATAAGCAAAGGGCAAGTACGACAAACTTTGCTCGTTTGGAGCAATCCAACCGTTTCCGATCAACAACCCCTTCAAGTTGAATTTTTTGGTTTCATCATCAGTTTGTCTGTTTCTGTCAAGAATTCCCTTACTGACGTATGGGATGTACTGCCCCGCATAACTCTCACCAGCGATGTATATGTCGTTGTGGAAATCCTCAGGGAAAACTTCAAAGTACTTGTCCAAGAATCTCAAAAATTCGTGAACCACTCCGTTCAAATCAGCGTCATATTTGTCCGAATAACTAAACCCGGTACCCGATGGCTGATCTACAAAGACGACGTCTGCAGCCTTATGCCAGGATCCATGGTTATACGTTACCTCACCCTTATCGTTGATTCTAAAGGGACCAGCCTCCATAAGTGCACCGTCCATAGATGAACAGCCAGGTCCACCATTAAGCCAAAAAATAGTCTTATTCTTGGCAATGTCGATTTTATTCTGGTCAGCATACTTCCAGAAATAGTAATATGTCTTGTTTTCCAGGTACAACTCCAACTGGCCCGAGAACATCAAGGGCAAATCATCTTTAGGAATGTTGGAGTAGAGACCTGGGAGATTTTTCACAAGAAACTGCTCCTGGAGGTTATTGTTGTTTCGAGCCACCAATCCATAACAAAGAGTGACAAACACTGCTTGGAGAGCTATGACAAATCTGAAGATCATCATAGGAGATGCGATGGGGAGATATATGTGTGTGTGGGTGTGTGTTATTTAATGCTATGCAGAAAACGAAAGTGCAACCTAATTTGCAAATAAAAAGCTGACGGAAGTCTTGGTCTTCTCACTGCCCGTCTAAATCTAAAATCCCTATGTCGTGCTACTTATATCTCAGCCCACTGATGTGTAGTATGCTGTCGAATGATTTCCTACTAATATCTTCTGCTGGTAGCCGATTCAAAGATACTGAACCATCAACCTCTTGTATAGAAAAGTTGCAATAAAAATGCACCCAAGAGGAATATATAGATACACCTATGTTCTCCCTTCAAAATGCAAGCTTCTTCAACTATGCAATCGCTATATGGGTTGGAATAACGTATCCTCTGTTCTTTCTTCATACGTTTGCTTAGAAACAGCTCGGATTTTTTTGGGGGGATCCTGCGGCCCGCTCTGTATGCACTCCCTAAATATAGGGAGGGCACCTACAGGGCAGTGTTGCACCAACAAACTGAGTTTAAAAAAACACGGTCTGGAGATAAGTTCTAATGGTATGTAATACGATGTGCGGGCAGGAGAATTGTGATCCTTTTGGCGGAAGAACTTTACATTTTTGTGCTCATTTTACTGGAGCTTGGTAAGCGAATCGAGATCGTGAGTAAGACGTGAGAAGATTACATTGGCTTAGTATCGACGCCTCGATTGTTCCAGAAATAGCTCCTAACAGTAAGCCACTAAACCCTATATCCTCTACAGAGAAAAGGATATACACTTTTCGACTATTCAATACCACTTAGCTTTGCATACATTATTTCTTGTTATACACTTTATTCAAATATTTCAAAGAGTGACTTATAATTGACTAAAACTAAAAACTAAAAACTGAAAAACTATGTATATATGTATATCTAATCTCTAATACCTTTATTGACTGAGCGGTTCAACATCCCAAATGTTTTCAGCATACTCGTCAATACATCTATCTGAACTGAAGAATCCCATGTTGGCAACACTCAAGACTGACTTCTTCACCCAATTGTGTAAGTGGGTGGAATCAGTGACATCCCCTCCATGATGACCATAGACATTTTCCAATTTGGTGTGGGTTTCCAAAAACAATTCGAAATCATCAGCAACCAAATAGTAATCACCGTGATTCCTGATACCATCTAATAAACTTCTGTATTCATCTGGGTTACCAAATCTTCCACTATCAATGGATTGGAATACTTTACTTAAAGTTTCAGGAATTTCCACTCCTTGGTAAATGTGCTTGTGTCTTAATTCTTCGACAGATTCTGCTAAGTTACCGAAAAGGAAGATGTTTTCTTCACCAATTTCTCTGGTGATTTCAACATTAGCACCATCAACCGTACCAATAATCAAACCTCCATTAAGGGCAAACTTCATGTTAGAGGTACCTGAAGCTTCAGTACCAGCTGTCGAAATATGGTTAGATAAATCGGAGGCTGGACAAATAATTTCGGCTTTGGAAACATTGTAGTCTGGAATAAAGACAACCTTTAACAAATTACCGATTTCTGGATCGTTGTTAACCACTTCAGAGACGCTATTAATTAAATGAATAATGGTTTTGGCCATGTAATAACCTGGAGCTGCCTTACCTCCGAATACGGACAACTTAGAAATGTAGTGCTTCAATTTAATTTCTTCAATTGATACACCTGAACTAAGTAATTCCTTAATGTGTAAGTAACGGTAGATTACTGCAAAGATATTCAATTGTTGTCTCTTATATTCATGAATTCTCTTTACTTGAATATCAAACATAACACTTGGATCTACTTCTATTCCAGTTTCTTCCTTAATCAAATTGGCTAATCTAATCTTGTTGTTAAATTTAACAATGTCCCACTTCTTTAAGAATTTCTCATCATCAACAAAGTCTTCCAATTTTTTTAAGTTACCCAAGTTAGTCAAGTAATCGTAATTTGGATCATTCAATGCTTCACTGATTAACTTAGCTAATTCCGGATTGGCTTGTCTTAACCATCTTCTTGGAGTAATACCATTTGTAACGTTGGTAAACTTGTCTTCTCCGAAAACAGTTACAAAGTCCTTGAAAATCGTTGTTTTAATCAATTCAGAATGTAATTCTGCAACCCCGTTAACCTTGTGGGAGCCAACGATAGCCAAGAAAGCCATTCTAACCTGTTTAGGTTGCAGTTCTTCAATAATAGATACTCTGCTCAATAAACCTTGGTAATCAGGGAAATTTCTTTCAACTTCTTTTAAGAAAAAGAAATTGATATCATAAATGATCTCTAAGTGTCTTGGTAATAATCTACCAATCAAGTCAACTGGCCACTTTTCTAAAGCTTCAGCCATAACTGTATGATTGGTGTAAGCGAAAACCTTGGTGACAATACTCCAAGCTTTATCCCATGGTAAATTTTCTAAATCAACCAAAATTCTCTGTAATTCAACAATGGCAATAGTTGGGTGAGTATCGTTTAACTGAATTGCAATTTGATCTGGGAATTTCTCCCAATTATTTGGGTGGTTCTTTTTGTATCTACGAACAATGTCATGTAATGAGGCAGAAACCCAGAAGTATTGTTGCTTTAATCTCAAAGCCTTTCCAGAATCAAAATTATCATTAGGATACAAAACTGACGTAATAGCTTCGGCCTTTTGTTGTTGTGCCACAGATTGCTGATAATCACCAGAGTTGAACTTGGTAAAATCAAATTCGGTAGTTGGTTTAGAAGTCCACAATCTCAAATTGTTGGTGTTTGAAGTCTTATAACCAGGGATTGGGAAATCAATAGCCACAGCAAGGACTCTTTCACTACCATTCCAAATTCTTCTTGGGGCTCCAGTGTTTATATCATGAGTTTCGTAGACATATCCACCAAAATCGATTGGAATTTGAATTTCACTTCTAACAATTTCCCATGGATTGGAGAATTTTAACCAATAATCTGGAGCTTCAACTTGGTAACCATCAATAATCTTTTGCTTGAAAATACCATACTGATAGTTCAATCCGTAACCCCAACCACTGTAATTTTTGGAGGAAAGAGAGTCGACGAAACAAGCTGCCAATCTTCCTAAACCACCATTACCCAAACCTGCATCTGGCTCTTGCTCTATAACGTCTTCCAAATTAAAACCTAAATTTTCCAATCCAGTACTGGTAGTTTTTCTACTGTTTAAGTTGATCAAGGCATTGTCCAAGGCTCTACCCATCAAGAATTCCAAAGACAAGTAGTAAACTCTCTTACCGTCGTGAATAGTTTGTTTTTGCTGGGTATTGGCCCACTCAAGGATCAATTCGTCTCTAATGGCGATGGAAGAGGCCTGATAAGCAGCCAAATCGTCGCAGTTGTACATATTTCTAGCCAACGTAGTTTCAACATGCTTGACGAAATTCTTCTCGAATTGAGCAGGGTCACCACCTTGTCCACTATCATCTTTAGGAGTCTTACTATTCTTGGTAAAGGAGTCCAATTGAGTGTATTTACTCCAAACTTTTTTGGCACCCTCTGGAATTTCGGCATCAAGCGCAATAATTTGGTTTGGAGTGAAACCAGTGTTGGTTCTTTTAAGCTTTGGATGTGGAAGCTCGCTTGGAGTCAAGTAGTCACCCATATTTAGTAGATAAGAAGATTAAAAAAATGTAAGCGTTACACAGGCAATGGAGTCTAAAAGGAAGAAGAAGAAGAAGAAGAAAAAGAAAAAAGATTCCTGCCTCAATTCAAATATTTCACCAGGGAATAGACTTCACCTTTATACCTTTTTCACCCCTTAATTGGCCTCCAAATAATTAGCTGCAAAAGTCCAGTAGTGGTGTGAGTTACATTTTAGAGCCGCAATCTCCTAGGGAGGAGACAGAAGAAATTTAAATTTACGATTGCGGGACTCCTGGAAAGAAAAAGATTGGCCGATCTTGGGGGAAAAATAGTTTGGGCCATTACGATCACTAAACAGGACTACCACACTTGACATTGTCCGCGAAATGAGGTGGGGGGAGGCATTGGACTCATGTATAGATAGAGGAAGGTGGGAGCAGAATAGCTCGGGTATTAATTAAATTCTCTATTTGGATGTGTTACCTTCTCTTTGATTCATTTTTAGGTTTTATTCTTATTTTTCACTCGTCACTATTTAGGCTGAAGTCGGGGGTCAAGAAAAAGATGTTGGGAGGAAATGTGTGGGGCATAGACGCTAGAACGTGGGGAGATAATGATAATACGCAGTTGGGACGCTTTTAACATACATTTTCCATTTTTACTTTTTTTTTTTTTTTCAAATCCCCCTAGACATTCTTCATTTCCCTGGTGGTTACTCCATGTTTTTGTAGAAACGCCCAACGGAGGCTCTGAATATCGCCTGTTGAATTGAAAAAACATACATTTGGCGGAAAATCTGGGCTATTATGTAGATAATGCAAGTGAAGAATGTGCATGTTCCCTTAAACCTCTGCCTATTTAATTTGGCACACGGAGCACCATCGTATGATGCATAGAATATATGGAACAACCAGTTTATCCATTAAGATTATTTTTTGCATTTTCTAATTTATTTTGTCTACTGAAGTTCGACTAGGTGCCGGTGGGATGCACAAGGTTATACATACCAAGTCCAATTCTAGTTCGGACTTCGCTCCTGGTTCTGTGGAAACCTCTGGTCTCCCCAATAAGCTTTATTAAGGGGATTTGAAGGCGGTGTTGTGAATTTTGGCACATACTCCGAGTTACCCCAACTATAACTTATTCTCCATCGTAACCAATACCATTTTTTTTTTATTTTATTTTATTTTTTTTTTTTTTTTCATTTTTTTATTTTTCACCATTCATTTTGCAACCTGCAATCTACAGAGCTCATCTTGTCTGGCTGGATCCGTACTACTCCTCTTTGTCGCATACTGCCTGAGATTGGCGATGGATCCTACGTATAAGTGCATCAAGGCACATTCCAATTCATCGGTCAACGCACTCGCATTGCTTGAGAACACCGGGTTTATGTTAACGGGCGGTGGTAACGATGGCTTGATCAAACTTACGCACATCGATGGTGAAGTGCTACCGTTTCCCAAGGAACATCTGGGCTCAATTAATGCCGTAGATTACCTCGACGAGTTGATCGCATCTGGAGGGGAAAACGATAGTATCGTCCTCTGGGATCTTGTAAAGCAATGCAAATTAAAAAAGTTCAGAACTGATCCTTCCAGTATCTTGAATAACAGTGTAATGGACGTAAATGTACACAAAGATCTCTTGATACTGTGTGGAACCAACTGCCAGTTGAACTTTCATGATTTGAAAGCTTCAAATATCAATAAGCCAATTATGATCTTAAAAGATGCAACTGATAGCTTGACATCGTTCAACTACTGCTCTCTGCAATACCAGGTAATTGCAGGTTCACTAGATGGGAAAGTATATAAATACGATCTTAGAAATAGCCAAGTGTACATTGAAATGATTGACGGTTCACATTCTCTGGGAATATTGGACGTATCAGTTTACAAGGACAAATTGTTACTTACATTTGAGAATGGTGTAGTGAAATTGGTCGACAGAGAAGACATGAATACGGTAAATGAAATACATAGAAGCGACAAGATTCTAACCTACAGAATGAACTCGATCTTGATGGACGATTACCATTCCGCGACGAAGAAATATATTGTCAGTGGATCAGAAATAGGTGAAGTAGGTCTATGGGAAATCAATGGCAAGAACTCAGAAGTGGAAAATCACAGAAAATTGAGACCCGACAGTATTGATCCAAAGAATAGCAACATGCAATTATTGAATATAGTCAAGTTTTTGCCGTCCTCTAACAGGTTAGTAAGCTCTAGTGGAGATGGCAGGCTACACATCTGGGATAACGTTGTATGATCCAAGTACTGCACATAACAAAGCACTCCCACTGGCAAGTGAATTTTTCACTTTTTCACCGCGTACGTGATTGAAGAACCACTGCAAGTTGTTGACAGGTTAGTTATCGGTGCAGTTGGTATAATCATGTCAGACTCCACATATACTCCCAAATCGATTGTGCTTGCCAAGGTAAAGGGATATCCTCCTTGGCCAGCAATGGTGTTGGACGAAAGTTTACTTCCAGAACATATCCTAATCAAAAAGCCAAAGACTGTGAAACAGCCTAAGGCATCATCAAAGAATACCAAGAAAGTTGAGATACTCCCTGTGAGATTTTTCAGCGACGACACGTATATCTGGATTAAGGACTCAGATGTCAAGGATTTAAAGGAAGATACGATTAAGGGGTTTTTAGAAAAAGAAGGTGCTAAGAGGAAGAATGATAACCTATTAAAGGTAGCCTACGAGTTGGCAAATAGTCCGCCAGATATGGAATTATTCATAAAGTTCGGATCTAAGGGAGAACCAGAACCAGAACCAGAACCAGAGCCTGAACTAGAATTGGAAGAACTGGAGGCTGAAACCAAGGAGCCACCTAAAAAGAAGCAGGCCAAATCTCGAGCCAAACCCGGCCCCAAGGCTTCTTCTAGCAAGGCTTCTTCTAGCAAGGCAGCATCTAGTAAGGCAGCATCTAGTAAGGCAGCTTCTACTAAAGCAGCATCTAGTAAGGCAACCTCTAGTAAGGCAGCTTCTAGTAAAGCAGCAGCCTCCAAAGCAGCGCCCAAGCCAGCGCCCAAACCAAAGGTTGTTGACCCGTATGAAGGTTACGACAGTGACTGGGGACTCAATGAAAATGATGGAGGAGAAGACGATGACGAAAACTATATTTTTTCGAATAAAAAGGAACAGCATGAGTTTGAAACCAAGTTTCCCTCATCTCAGGCGATTACCGAACACCACCGTAAAGTTACGGAACAGATTCAGAAAATCAGAGATAACCTCAGCAAACTTTTATTGATTGAAGAATCAGTCAATGAACAATCCATTCTTAAGGAATTGGGCAAACTTAAGTCTATGAAGTTGCCTAGTTCTCTCATCAAAGCTACCCAGTTAAACAAGTTATTGATAGTAGTATTGAGACGCCCAAGTGATGCATTTCCATTTAAGAGTATAAGGAATGAGATATCAGGCTTACTTAAGAAGTGGCTTGATTTAGAAATTCTTCCTAACGACTCAGAAGATTTTAAGTTGCCAGAGAATGGTTCGCCAAGCGAACCTGTGAGCAGGAACCTGGTTGTTCCGGAATCAGCGGCAACCATAGAGAACGGAAATTAAATTTAATTCAATCCCGTTGTGTATAATATAAAGGTATAGATCAATTAATTTACTAGATTAGAGTTAGATGTGTAGCATATCTTGTTAAACTAGGAAGCGAAACTTTTAGCAAAGTTCGGTAGCCTTGAAAGCGCAAAGAAGTGACCACCGAATCAAAGGAAGGATTCATACTTTTACTTGAAACCTAACCATTGCTCCCAGAAATATGATAGCAGAGGCATTTTAAGTACTAGACCTGTATTAGCCTTGAAAAATTTCTCGAAAACCGGGATCGGCGCAAGAACGAATACAAGATCAATGCATCTCCATTCAAAGGCTTCTTATTTTTGTTCTGGATAAGCTGGACTAGAGGAGCGACAGAGTCTGAGGGAATCTTCCTATTCTAGTACCTTCAAAGCTGTAGCTTAGCCATATTTTTTTAACAGACATATTTTCTAAATGTAAGCCTACTTAATTTAAGCGTCAACTTCCTCTTTCGGATTGCTGCAAAGTTTTTCGAGCACTCATTATGCAAAGTGGATAAGAATGAGAAGAGATAGCAAAAGGTACCCGACTAAAGTCAAATGGGAGGTTTCTGGGCCGCAGCGCCGTCTAATTGATATCAACAAGTAAAGCGAAAAAGGATCAAAAGTGCATACATGACAAAGACTACGTATTTCGTTAGTGCAGAAAAAGGACGAGAGGGAAAATAGTCTACAACAGCACAAGCATGCTTATAAGCGCATTAAATGGCCAATGGGTCAGCAGTCCAGCGGGCAAATGGGGTCATATATCTTCCACCAAAATTCAAAAGAGTAAATTCAGGTGTCCATACCTACCAACTTACATCATTATTATCCCTTGCACCCTACCCTGAGCTCCACCATCGCCAACCACTAGGAGCAGTCCCAATTTGAACCAGTCCCTGACCATATCCTGCATACCAAACTCCAAAACTCGTAAACTAACTAATAGAAGCATTGTTGTTTTTTATTTTGATTAACTCCGCTTTGTGCGACATTTTTGGACGAATTGCAAGCTGAAGTTTACTTCGATGCGCTAAGCCAGATGTTAAGCGCTTCAGTAATTCTGGGTACGACCACCATGTCTATCTTACTAAGTTCAGACGAATTCTCAATTTTCTACAAAAAAACATTCCAAATTTCCAGAAAGAGTCAATTAAACCCTACAATAGTATCGAAAAGTGCCCAAAAGGTATGTATGAGAGCAGGATATAGAACCACAAAATGGATCCAGACGGAGTGGGTGCGAGGAACAGGATGATCAAGCAATTAGAGTCACGGCACGTTAGCCCAGTTGATTACATGTCGACCTAGTTGACTTTTTATGTATAGAGATTATGTACTCTTTTTTTTTTTTTTTGAGAGCTATCCTAATTGGGAGGTAACTTCCTTATTGGGATGGGTTGCACAAGGAAAGCACAGAGGGTTTGAGAACCACGACGAACCAAGTGAAATGATGGACTGGCTACTTGAAAGGAACCTTGCTAACCCAGCCTTTTCGCTATGACTAGGCGGTTGGTACCAGCTGATTTTGGGGGTTCATGACGTTGCTTTTTTTCCATTAGGGGGTATCTTTTTTTTTTTTTTCCCTCTAGGAGTTTTGCTTTGATCAGTTTGTTTTTTTGTTTTTCTGAGGGAAGTTTTTTTTTATTTTGTCATTTCTTCTTAACGTTTGTTTTGATTACACTTCAACTAGTTGTACCAAAGAGCAGTGAATTGTATGTATAGCAGACAGATTAGTCAATCGGGTACATTTGCATAGCGGCGTGAAGAAGGACAGAAGAAAAAATAGCTTAAAACCTCAGGGAAATGATACTTGAACGTACGGTTTTGAGACATTTACGAAACTGATAAAAAACAAGTCTGATAATTTCATTTTTGAGCTGGGAAACATCACGCAAACTAGTCTTGGCAGTATCGGATTGGATTCATGGTTGATGCCACTTAAGCTTGGAGCGTTGTGCCATACCCTCCTACCTTTCTATTTGCCCATTCTGGTCTTCTTAGCGACATGCTTCCTGGCAAAAGAGTTCTAGTGGTGGCGTCCCATCTTCTTTCCCCCGCCTTATCCTAATTGAAGCTCGTTGAAAAATTTCCATACCCATTTCATCCCCACCTTTTCCCTTACGAAATACTAACTGACTCTTCTAGATGTCTGAAGCTAGCGAACCTAAATTAGAAAGCAAATCGGAAGATTTGCAGAGAAGTACATTTGCCACGCCATCAACCACAGCAGCTCCAACTGTTGATGATGATGACGATGACGAACCATCTGGAGGAAAGACCCAGAAGGAGAGAAGAAAGATTGAAATCAAATTTATCCAAGACAAATCCAGAAGACACATCACGTTTTCAAAGAGAAAAGCTGGTATTATGAAGAAGGCCTTTGAATTGTCAGTGTTGACCGGTACTCAAGTCTTGTTGCTTGTTGTTAGTGAAACTGGTTTGGTTTACACATTTACCACACCAAAGTTGCAACCTTTGGTCACCAAGTCTGAAGGTAAGAATTTGATTCAGGCTTGTTTGAACGCTCCCGAAGAAGGCATGGGAGATGAAAATGGAGATCAGTCTGATGATAACTCACCAGAACAGCTGCCAGAACAGCTGCCTGCTCCACCATTAGCACAACATCAACAACCACAACAACAGCAACACGATCAAGCATCAGTTGCTGCCCAACAACATCATCAACAACAGCAAGCGGCAGCAGCTCAAGCTGCTCATCGTCATGCTCAGCAAGTTCAATCTCAAGTGCAACAATTACCTCCTGGGAGCCACTTACCTCAGCATGGCATGCCATTCCCAGGAGCTGGTCATCCTCATGCTGGTATGCACCCAATGCCCCAACAATCTTTTAGCGATCCAAATGTTTATCAGCAATATTTTTCAAATATGCAAAATGGTAATATGCCAAATCAGCAACCATATCAATAAGTATTGAATAGAGATTTAACGAGATGATGATTATGTCTTGGTAGTTTAGAGAGGGAAAGTGAAAGAGAAAGAGAAAGCGAAAGTGAAAGTGAAAGAGAGAGAGAGAGAGAGAGAGAGAGATAAACCGTGAATAAAGTCATACTATTGATGTGATTGTAATATATAAAATTTCCGTGAATTGACAGACATAATGGATTAGTATGAGGGGTTTTAACGTATTTGAAATCTTTTATAGTTGAGTTTAAATTTGTTTAGTTATAAGAATTTTGTTTGGAACCGTATTATGTAGTCATCAGAGGTTTGTGCTCTGATGTATGTTGTGTCCGAGTGGTGATACACACTTGCTTCAGTTCTGAAGCATATGCTGTGTCTTCATTATACTAGATAATGACAGCCATTTCAGTATTACAATGGAGATGCGAGAGAGTACATAGTGTATCAGTAAATGTCATTAGAGATTGGTGAAACACACAGTGTACCAATAAGAGTATTAGAGATGGGTGGAACACACAGTGTACCAACAAAGAGTATTAGAGATGTGAGAGAGCACACAGTGCACCAACAAAAGTATTAAAGATGTGAGAGAGCAAGCAGAGTACCAGTAAATGCCGCTAGAGATGTGATACAGACCTCCCGCCATGTATTATGACAAGCTACTCACACCACTCTGCCTAGATGTCAAGCGAACAGACTCCCGCCCTTTCTTATTGTACATTACTCACATTACTCTGCCCAGATGTTACCATGGCTGCAAAAGCCCAAGCTCTTCAGAAAAAAATGCCAAGAAAGTTAGGCGAGTTAAAGCTCCATAGGAAACACAACATGTTAAATTAAGTGTAATTGAATAAAGTTTATGCGCGATTAAGGCAAAGTTACGCTACATATGTAGTGGGAAAAGGAATGTAAGGGACAAGGTTCAAACAACGAGGAGAAAAACCCATGGGCCACAGCAAGAAAAGAATGACGAGAAATGCTATCTGATATTGGTAGACTCTCCAAATGTGGGATCTGGAACCATGGCCAGCGAAGTGGGACTGCCCGTTGCTAGACTAGTGTGCAAGCTAAGAGGAGCCTAAATGAATGAAATTAAACAATGTTAACACTGGTTCACCGGATGGCTCACCGTATGGTGGCTAGACTGATGCAGTGCAGATGTTCTCAGGCGTACGAGACGCACTAAATATTCCAGAACAAAGGGACTGCCGCTGAAAAGAAAAAATAAAGAGTATGAAAAGGACCCTGTGTCAGGTTACAAAGGAAAGAGACGTAGGGCAATTAAATTTGGAAAACAGCTTGAATGCGTTATTTAGTCTGTTCTCGCTTCAATCAAGATAACATATCTACCCCTCTGCGATTTCCTGACACCCAGAAAACTTTAAAACTGGTTGTGACAGTAGACAGTTCTAGTCGTAGGCGTACGCTAGGAAATCGAAAGCAACCCCGCAATCCGACGAGTAGTCCGAAGGATGAAAAAAAAAAAGAATTAAAAAATAAAAATAAAAAAACGCTAACCCTCATTTTGAGGATGTCTTAGTCGAAGTTTATCTGTCATACATTTGCCCTAAGATGTTCGGTATATCTATTGGATGGACTTGAAACTCTTTTTTGCAATAAATGCTGATGATAAACAGTAGGATAACGTCGAGTGAAGCCCATTTATTCATTGCCTCTTCTTTTCTTTATACCCTTTAAGTTTGCTGAGTTGCAACCTTTTTGTAGCCTGTCTCAGCACTCTCTTCGAAACCTAACTTAATAAAAAAAGATTCACCTCCCCCTCCTCTCTAATTTATTAGGCAGATTGTGTGACGAACTAAAAGAACGTTAAGCAACATTGCGCCGCTAGGAAGCAAATCTAAAAAAAAAAAAAGTAAGGAGACACCTGCAGGAAGGTCTAGCTCCATTATAAGCAGGTCACTACTTTCCCTTCAAGACATACTAAAAAGTTGAAAAAAGGATAATACCAAAATTATAACTTAAAAAAAGGATAAGATATATACAAAGGAGAACCAAGAGACTTCTACTGCAATAGATAAACGATTCTAAGGTGAGCTTTATATACAATACAGCGTACACTCTTGGATTGCTTCATACAATAGACTAGATAGCGCCACATTCTATACTGAGATCGATTTTTAACGAATTAAAACAGCAACACTGGGTACTAGATTTAGAATATTAACTGATAGAAGCTAAGGTTACTGAGTGTTAGAAGGTAGGAAAGATGTCCTTCAGTAATTATAACGATTTCCAAAACAGACCAAACAACTACATGCAAGGTGGTAGTGGTGGTGGTAGTGGTAGCGGAACTGGTGCTGATTCTGATGGCGGTCATGGTAGTACAAATAGCGCAGCAAATCAGTCAACGCCACCAGGAATATTCGGTTCTTCGCCAAATAGCTTTATTGATCAGGGAGGAATGGCTTCCAACTATCAGTTTGCCAACCCTTGGCAGCAACCATTACCTTCGCAGAACCTGCAGCACTTATCACAAAAGCTGCAATCCAACTTGCAAGCACCACACCAGCAAATACCACCACCGCAACAGCGTAGACCTTCTAGTTTGGATTCCATGAGTATCTGGGGTCACAATATTGGTGGTGTCGGCAGCGTTAGCGGTAGCGTAGGAGCAAGTGGTGGAGCTGGCACTGGAGGCAATAACTCCATTTGGTCTACACAACATAGAGGAAGCACTGGATCATCCATTGGAGACTTTATCCCTGCCAGTCATCCACAGCAACAGCAGCAGCAGCAGCAGCAGCAGCAACAGCAACAGCAAGGAGGATTTTTTGAACAAAGGAAGTCGTACGATGAGTCTTCCCAAATATTTGACTTGAACTTCCGTATGCATAGTTATGTTGAAGATGTGCAAAACCAGCACTATCCTCTGCAACAAGGTCAGCAACAATACAGTAATATCTCTCCCAGATTTCAGAATGTAATGCCCTTAGAAGCTCAACAACATTCTCAGCAATCTCAGTTGGATAAGCTGTCACAGCTGCAGACCTTCCAAACTCAATCACAGCCTGTCCCACTCACCGAGGCAAATTTACATTCAATCCACGAGTACTTTTTATCAGATTCACATGAAAGAGTTCGTGTTACATTGAAACTCCTTCAAGAGCGGTTTGTCGAAGAACAAAAATATTTAAACGACACATACCAGTTACCGAATTTCCCAGTGGAGAATTCATTGAGGAATTATCAATTGGTGTTAGTTGGATTCAAGGCCGGGAGAATTGACGTCTTTTATCTCCCCATGAATCAGAACGAATTCTGGATCAAAGACTTGAAGATCGGAGATCTCGTAATAGTTGAAGCAGATAGGGGCAGGGACTTAGGAAAGATTTTCAAATTGAATGTGTCAATTGATGAGGCTAGATTAATGAAGCTCTTACAATTCCAGGAGCAACAAGCAGCGTTATCAGATTTAGATTTGCGGATAGATTCAATATTGTCTATTAGGAACTTTCATCAACATTCTAACCCACCAACTTTACATTTTCCCAAGCCAATTGTTGGACTTGCTCTGAAGAAAGAGATATCTCAAATTTTGAACAAAAAGCAAGATGAGGAAAAGGCTTGTAGGTTGTGCTTGGCCAAAATTGCAAATACAACTACTATTGGACAAAAGGATCTATTGCAAATGAAGTTAATCGATGCCGAGTACCAATTTGATAGAAAGAAGTTGATTTTTTACTATTCAACATCGAAGAGAATTGATTTTAGAGATTTGGTGAGAGAGTTGTTTAGGATTTATAAAACAAGAATTTGGATGTGTGCAGTTATTGGTTTACCATATGTCCCAGGAGAAATAAGCTCGCAGCAGCATAAAGAATTATTTTATCAATCGAGCCAAGGACAGCCACAACAACAACAGCACCAACAACCAACAAAATCGTTACCACAACAGAGTAGCTCGACTTATAAGTATGATGGAGGAAATAATATTGGAGTTTCTCAACCATTCAACCAGTTTCAACATTTTGAACCAAATCTGTTAAAGGACCCATTCAAATACCAAGGGCAATATTTTCAACCACAATCACCCTTTGTTAGGCGTTCATCTATTTTATTTGACCGTAGGTTGAGTGACCCTTCAGAAACTGAGGATGGAACCAACGTGAGCGATGGTACGATCAATGTCACTAGAAATGGATCTAGCGGAATTGTCCATGGGGGCGATATTCCAAGAAAGTTCAAAGGATATGAGAGTAACCACGAAATTGAAAGGAATGCTGAAGATGTGGATGATATCTCGGGCACAGAGTCTTCATTTGTATTGCAATCACTTGTAGATTCAATAGACCATTAGAAACATAGAAAATATAATTTGGGAGAGTGGACCCCAGGAATTATTGGAACAATAAAATAAATAGGTAGAGGGGAGAAAACACTAAAATACAAAAAAAAAACTAAAAAAATACAGACAAATAAGACATGCCGAATGAAGGTAAGTCCAAAGAAATGGCTATAAGATAATTATAAATGGAGGGAATAACCGGAACTAGTACTTGTTGGGGTTACATAATGAGTACCAGGGAAAAGTACACGGAAGCATGGCTTCAGGAATAAAAAAAAGGAATAAAAAAAAAGTGATAAATTAGGAATAGTTACAACGAATGTTAATATTTAGAATACGTCTACCTTTTGTGGGTAAGGTACATAAAGGAATACTGGAAGAAAAATGCTTAACGCAAGTCTCTGAACCCTGTAGTACCAATTGTAGGTGACGATAGAACAAACGTGAATAGAATCATACCAGTGTGTAGCACTAGTAGAGCAACGGTTTAGATGCTGCAGCATCGTGCAGTTGAAACGAAGGTGCTATGCAGGTTCATCTGGCTTGAAGGAATTCGGAGGGTATCTGTTTGCATGAACTATGTGCAGGGGTAATACCCTTTTGCGGAGGTTCGATGTGCAATTAATACGCTAACCGAGTCAAAGAGCAAAAAAAAAAAAAAGAAAACATAACCAGAAAATAATCCCACCATGAGACTGGTTGTGAACTAGAAAGCTATACAACAGGGGGGGGAAGATGAAGTAATACACAGCATGGTGTGAAATCCCCGGGGCAGACTCTAATTGTACCTGACAGCCCTTTATGAAACTGGAGAGGGGGGGGGGGTAAATACTCGAAATAAGGTTCAGTCCGAGACTATTCTTTACTTGTATTGGTTAGAGATTACTTTATGAAATATGAGGGCCGGTAACGGGTAGGAATCATCTGAATCAGGGAGAAACCAAAGTAAAGGCAAGCTAAATCAATGAAAACATGACACAAAACAGGAGATAATAATAAATGCTAAAAAAAAAAATTAAAAAAAAAGCAATTTCTAATAAATACATCAGTCCTACTTGGAAGACACTGCTTGAAGGACAACGTTCTCAAGAGAACATATGTATAGGCTCACCTTCTCACTCCTTTCACTCTTCTTTCATTCTCTAAGCAGCCATCATTGCCAGACCTGAAATTTGTAACGGAAAGCCTTTATTAAACTTCTTATCCATAGCAAAGCAAGTGAAACTATTACCTATTAAGGTTCAAGATCTCCTCCTCTAAGTTCAGTATACCTCTACTACTAACCCTGCTTAAAGCTTACTTTAAAACTCTAATGTAATGATGGCTGACAAATATTGCACTAGCAACTCGGGAGGGGGATATCTTGTCTCAATTAGTGAGCTCAGTTTTCCGCGGAAGGAAAAATATTTGGCCCTGCTGAGTCACTTAGTACAGGCGCAACCGAGTCGCACTAAAAAGAAACCCATTCACAAAGAAAAAATTTTCTTAGTATAATAAGTCAAGGATGTAACAGAAAGTTTTTTTTTTTTAACGCCCGAAATTTTCTTCTGCTTTCTTTTTGATTTTCTAACTATTCAATCTAAAGCAACATGAACTTCCAGGCAATGGATTACTTGAATGGGTTGAACCTTGACTTTGATGTCTCCCCAAACATCTCTGAAAACAGCAATGAATTGGATCTCTTCACACACACCGAGTTTTTTGACCTTGACGTATTCGCCAAGGATGCTCCAGAGGGTACCAAGCAACAGCAAGCACAATTTCAGACCAGTCCTGATGCGCAATTCGCACAAGTGCCATTACCAGCACAAGCGCAGCAACAACCTCTCACACAAACTCTGACTCCATACATAGAATCGTCACCACAAAGCACACAATACGACGCCACAAATGACGATAAGCGTAGAAGAAACACAGCAGCTTCTGCTAGATTTAGAATCAAGAAGAAGCAAAAGGAGCAAGAGATGGAATCCAAGGCCAAGAAGCTTCAGGACACTGTTTCCAACTTGGAGAAAAAATTGAAAACTTTGGAGATGGAAAATAAATGTCTTAAGAATTTGATCTTGCAACAAAACGAAAGAAAGAATTCGGATTTATTGGAAAACATCAAGAAGAGATCCATTGAATCTCCTGTGTATCAGTTCACCAACTAAGGAACCCGCTGATATTACCAATACAAAACAAAACAAAACAAAAAATAATGACGATCCAACAATTTTACTTCTGTTAAAATCCAACTTTTAACTCTATTGCCCCTTTCCAAGTGAACTGGGGTGGATCCCGTCATCCAACTGGCGGTGATTCGACTTTTTTTTACACTATTTTAAAATCCAACTTTTAATGACCCAAACTTTAGTCCCTTCCTTATATGGTAGAGGAAGGACCTCCATGATCCAACTCGTGGCGGTTTTTTTTTGAATTAGTACTCTCTTACGTACAATTTTTATAGAGCAAGAAATTGCAAAAGAATATACCAAACGATATATCACATCGTAGAGATCGAGCTTCTACTTCTGTGTGCGAAAATTGAGAAGGAAGGAAGTGGGTTGAGCTGATTCCAAGGGTGTCAAGAGCAGTGACTGTTTCGGTAGAAAACTATGCAATATGTAAGTTTGATGTATCTGTAGAAGATGAATGCAACTTTGGCATTCTACCTATAGTGAAACTAATGGTAGGGAACGGACAGATATGACTACTGAAAGAGCAGACTGTGCAATCTGAAAAAGATTTATTTTATGTAGAAGACTACGCCACGTGAAATGAAGCGTATGCTACTAACGCATCTTTCGATAGGAAGGTCAATGGGAAGGAAAGGAACAGATGCAAATGTTCATGAAGAGGGCAGGTAGAAACACCATGCAAAGACGAGATGAGTGTATGCAACTTACCCATATATTCTATAGTGAGGTCAATGGGAAGAAAATGAACAGATGCGACTGTTCATGGAGAGCACAGGCGGAAACACTAAACAACCTGTAAAGAATTATATGCGTATTTCCTACAGAGGTCAATGGTAAAGAAATAAGCAGATATGACTGTTCTAGAGATGGGTATACAACCCGTGAAGGGTTATATGCTGCTTAAGCATATGTCCAAAAGTGAAATAATGGCATGCTAATGAACAGCTTTGACTGTTCGCAGAGAAGACACGGAGAAACGGCCGCAGACTGTCTGTAAGAGCAGCACACAGATTCTCATCTGTCTAAGACGAACCGAAATACATGTGTAGTAATTGTGAGTTTTTAATCGAAACAGATATGGGAGCAGTGAGAGAAAGAGCAAGAAACTAGCAGAGATAGCGGAGACAGCGGTGGAATAAACAGCTCAACTATAAGTGTAAAACTAACGCCCCACGAGAAAGAGTGACTTTCTCAGAACGAAAGCAAGCAGATTACTGGGATTACACCAAAAAGTACTCAGCTACATACACCGTCCGAGCCAAGGCTCCGCACACTGGCGCGTGGCTAAGTAATACCCCTTCCACTCTCGACTACATTACTATTCCAGTCTGGTTGCACTTGACACTCCTCTCATTCCTCATTTCTCTTTGTCTACTCATTCCTCATTCTTCTCTGACTGCCCACTCCTCTCAGTCTGCCTTGTAATATTTTCCATATATACGAGACACCATAGCGCAACGCACTGGAATTCCGTTTCCCGTTTGAGCTTGGGGAAACGCCCTCACCATCCAATCATATCGTACAAAAAATGCCCCCCTTGTCCCACTTCTGTACACCCCTCTTACCGCAGGAGTATTGCTTCCAATCTTTGCACCGATTACCTTACTCTTTTCTGCAACTACTGTCTTGGAGATCTTGCGCTTTTCTTGATCTGCCCTTCTCAAATCTTGGCCCTGATCGCGCGCATAAAAAACTTTAATAATTCTGCAAACAAAAACAGCCTGGGTATTGTGGTTCAGTAGAGATAGGTTGTAAGCATCTCGGTTGGTACTTCAATTGGATAGCTTAGCATAACAGCGTACTAGCATAGCAGTGCGGTCTTGCGTAGAACATACACGCATACTGAAATATAACGTCGACAATTGGCTAGAATAGTAGAAGACAGAGACATCCAATTCAAAATAGATAAGCATATCCAAACCCCACACACTCGCGCAATCTAGCGAAGACATCCACTTTAATAAGATAACCGCCATTTATCTCAGCTGATAAGTTATCATAGGCTATGTCTGACCAACATTTGACTACTCCCTCGAGCGATCAGACTCGTCCTCAGGACAAAATCTACTCCAATGATTCGTCTCCGGGCACAAGCGGGTACTTTTATGCCCCCCACTTCCAGCTATCGCAGCAGAACTTAAGGGAACTAGAGAGGTCCGTCTCTCCATTTGAAATACCATCTCTCAGCGGAAACGAATCCGTGCATATACAACAGCAACAGCAGGATGAACCTTTCAGTAGGCCTGCAGGGTCTGGAAGAAGAGGTCCGAACATGGACTTCCCCAACTTTGTAGAGGTAATACAGGAGCAGATAGACCTTCGAATAGCGTCTTCCAACAATCCAACGGCAGTTATGGAGTTGGACATGGACGGTAATGTGCGACATCTAAGTAAGAACTGGGAAATTATCGTTGGGACCAACATCAAGAAGATAGTTAACAAACCGATACTGAAGTTTATCATTGGAAATAGCGAAGAGGACCAATCGGTCTTTTACAAAGCAATAGAGCAAATGACTAAAGATGATGGTAGCTACAAAGTGAAGTTTGTTACTGCTACCAACGATATAGCTGAAAAAGAAGAAGGAAATAACTCCACTAGTGGAAAAGACAGCCCTAACAATTCTTTGGTAGACTTGACCGAGAATCCTGAAGACCAGGATATACAGCAACAAGAAATACAGGAGATCGAAGTCGATCAAAAAAGTCATGCAGACAGCTCAGGTTCTATGCACCAGGATACTACTAGTCTGGATTTAACTACAAATGGTGATATAATTGAATTGGAAGCACAAGGTATTTTAATTCACGACAGCCGTACAAAATTGCCCACACATTCAATGTGGACCATTAGACCCTTCCTTGTAATAAATCTTGACTTACAATTACCACCAAACCTAGTAAATCTACTTGGATTTGGATCTGAATTCTTTGAAGGATACTTGATGAATTTGAATGAACTAGGAATTATCAACGAGGAAGCTGTACCACAACCCAAATCCATCTTATGTAGAATATGTGAACAGCAAGTGCCTGTGTGGTTCATTGAGAGACATAGTGAATTGTGTATTGTAGAACATCGAGCTGGCGAAGACTTTCAAGCTTGCCATGATCAAATAAGTGAACAAAGAGATTTGATAATGCAAATTTCAGAAAACTTATGGCAACACCAAGTACAACAGCAGCAAGCGCAGCAACAGCAGATACAACATATTCACCAGCATCAGCATCAGCAGCAGCAGAACTTGCAGTTACTGCCTCAGCACACTCCTCATCAACATTCATCTCTTTCGCCACCTCAGACTGTTTCACCTTCAAGTACGAGTCCCAATTCTTCTACTTCATCACTTTTCCAACCGCCAGTAGTCATTCAAGAATATAAGGGGTTACCACTTCCTAGCGTGACATCATCGTTAGATTCTTCCCCGAGAATATCTACACAGCAGCTGTTAGTTAAAAACAAGTCGCTAGCTCAGTCAATGTTTCAATCAAAAAAATTTCCATTTGGTATTTTACAGAGATTGGTTGAATTATGCGATGAAGCACTTCAAATAAACCCAGTTGAGGAGATCAATGTTACTGAGGGATTTCAATTCAGTCCCAACACAGAAAGTGCAATCAATTCAGTTGTTCAATGGAAAGTTTTTGAGACGAATGATCTAGCCATCAGAACTATGGTTGAAGACACTCAAAGATTGACTAATGAAAAGATTGAGACATTATCAAGGTTGATATCTGTTTTGCAATATAGCAAGAGGATCAAGAATGAAGTGGATGAATTAGTTTTACAGACTGTTAGAGAAACAGTCAAGAAGATCAAAGACCAAACTCTACTAAATGATGGTGAAGACGTAATTGAAGACGTAATAGAAGACTTTGGTAAACAAACAACAGATCACAGCATCAGCTTGAACAGAACGAGGAATGGCGCCGATGAAAGCATCATTGGTGTGGGCGACGATAGTACTTCTGATATCTCACTAAATGAGAGTAGTCATACGATTAGAGACATCTCATCTCACTCTATAATCCATTCTCCCATGCCTTCGAAGACAAGGAGCCCTTCAAGTAATAAGCTATTTGAAGATACTTTTGAAGTTTTGCGCAGCACATCCGCTTCCCCTACATCTCCGGCGAATAGAAAACAGAATGTATCAATCACACCTAGGGATATTTTGTTGAGGGGGGGTAGAAATCAATATGATTTATCGAGACATAATTCAACTTCAAGACTGCCTCTACACAAGAACTCAAAAGGAGATCTTTTGGAACAAAGCTTTAATGACCTTGACTTGGGTGGTGGCCAACAATCTCCACATAAAGCTGGTAGCATTGGGGGTGGAAGTGGGAATGGAAGTAGAAGTGCGACTCCCGTAGGTGGCACTTCAGGTTCAGGTGGGGGTAGTTCAATAAGTGGTGGAAGGGGAAGAGATGCCACGTCGAATAACTCATCGTTTTCTTCTAGAAGACATCTTTCTCCAGCGCCTTATGTCGAAAAGGCAGCATTATCCTCACTTCAAAGAAATTCAAATGCCAGGTTTGACACAAGTTCTAGTACACCGACATCCTCACCTTCAATTCAAACTTCTGAATACAACAACGATAACATCCCACTATTAGGCGAAAGGAGAACTAATTCTGGAAGCAATGTTTCTAATTCTAATATGAATGCTTTTGGACTGATAGGACAGAGTGCTTCAGCTGCTTCCGGGACGCCACAGAGTGCTACTAACTCATTGAGTGGAACCATGACCTCCGGTTACTTCGGAGGAACCGCTAATAGTAAAACTTCATTTAGTAAACCGCCATTATCGCCTTTGTTAGTCTCTCAAACTCCGACGACGAAGCCTTCTAGCGGTACAATTAAGGACTACGAAATTCTAAAGGCCATTAGTAAAGGTGCTTTTGGTTCAGTGTTTCTTGCAAGAAGAAAACTTACAGGAGATTATGTTGCAATCAAATGTTTGAAGAAAACCGATATGATCGCCAAGAATCAAATCTTGAACGTGAAATCAGAAAGAGCAGTAATGATGAGACAGTCTGACTCTCCATACGTTGCCCAATTGTATAGCAGTTTCCAAACGAAAGATTATTTATACTTAGTTATGGAATACTTGAATGGAGGAGATTGTGCAACTTTATTGAAAGTCTTGGGTACATTGGGCAACCAATGGGCTAAAACGTACATTGCTGAAGTCATTGTGGGGGTTGATGATTTACATGGCAGAGGTATCATTCACCGTGATTTAAAACCTGATAACTTGTTAATAGACAGCAAAGGTCATTTGAAACTCACAGATTTTGGGTTATCTAGAATGGGGGTCATTGGGAGACAAAAAAGGCCTCATAGGAAAAGTAGTACTTCTGATCAGTCCATCGATTATTTCAGGAAGTCAATCATTCAAGCCCTGAGTCCGCTTATACCACTATCGGGCTTAAATCCCAATAGTGGTAGTATCGTGGATTCACCGGTTGAATTTCATAAAAGGACTAATTCAGTCACTCCGTTTTCCCTTTCACCTACTTTAGATTATGTGAAAATATCTGGATCGTTCTCATCCCCGTCCGATCAAACTACTGGGTCAGGAGGAGGAAATACTTCAGGATTGAGCCATAGACCCTCGCTAACAAACTTTAAACAAAAGCGAGAGGGCTCGAACTCCAGTGGTCTTGAATCGCCTTTATTAAGACCATTGATACCTAGAAACTCTTCCGAGACTTCTTTTGCTATAGTTGATGATGATTACCATGTGACGACTAATTACCAAAATACACCAGGTTCGGTTACGTCTTATGCTTTGTATGACCCCCAAAATGAAAACCATGACATTAAGAAGTTCGTCGGTACCCCTGACTACTTAGCTCCTGAAATTATTACTGGTGCTGGACAAAGTGAGGCATCTGATTGGTGGTCTATTGGTTGTATCTTATTCGAATTCATATTTGGATATCCACCTTTCCATGCTGATACTCCTGAAAAAGTGTTTGATAATATTTTATTGGGTATGATTGATTGGCCACCATTGTCACCTGAAGAAGAATTGGATATCTGTCCACCTGAGTGCAAAGACCTTATTGAGAAATTATTGACGTTGGATCCCGAGGAAAGATTAGGCAACAATGGAGCAGAAGAGATCCGGAATCATCCTTACTTTGATGGAATAGACTGGGAAAACTTATTCAGCATTACTCCATCTTTTGTACCTACTCTTGATAATCCTGAATCCACGGATTACTTTGATCCAAGAGGAGCTGACATTTCACAATTTCCTAAAGAAGATGATGATGACAAAATTGGCAAAGATGATCTTAATGTATTTCCGGATGTTTTGTCTGGACCGGGGTCAATCAATACTACAGAACTTGGCTCACCATCCATAGGAGGAGACCACTCGCATATGCTTGTGCCTCCTGCTTCTGGACCAGGTTCTATTGGTGGCAAGAAGGAAAGAAGAGGCAGTAGATTTGCTGAAAGCAATACTGAATTTGGATCTTTTAATTTCCGAAACCTTGCAGTTTTGGAAAAAGCAAACAAAGACGTAATCAATAGATTGAAGAACGAACATCTAGAGCATAGAAATAGCTTCTCAGCATCTCCATCTTCTTCGGATTCAGTCTCTTCTTCATCTCGATCGAGGGGATATTCATTAACTGGAACTGGTAGCCCCTTCAAGAGACCGCTTTCCCCATCGCATCGCCCGGTTTCTCCATCAAAAACTCCAAGTACGAGCTCCAATAATCAAACTGAAACTCCAGCTAGTGACTTGCATGTTGCAATACCTTCTCCTCAAATATTCAGCTCAGGATCTTCTAAACACGAGAGGTTGGGATCTGCAGTTAGTACTTATTCATCAGGAGATGAATTTCCATTTGACATGGGAAATAAATCATCGCCTGGAAGTGAAAGTGGACTCGCAGGTGGATTTAACAAACTTTACAATAAAAGCGGATCTGATTCTGGTAGTGGCTCAAATGCTGGTAACACTGGTAGTACCAGTGCAAAGGAATCGACTGGACAGAGAACATCAATCAGCTCTTTGTCGAAGCAACTTTTGAAGAATGTTAATGATTTCTCTCCTTCCAGCTCAGATAATGAAGATACTAAATCATCTGCATTGTTACGAGTCAGGAAAAGAAGGCAAAGCAGTAGAAGGCCCGGATCATTTTCAGTACAAGGAGGAGATGCAGGCGGAAGGCCAACGTTTCATGAAGTGGATGTATTATTTTGCGAACCGATTCCCATTGTTCGACATTCAATTACAAGAATACTCGAGAGATTAGGTTGCATTGTTGTAGCAGTAGCGGATGGAGATGATTTAGTTCGTAGAGCTACTGGTAAAGTGAAGTTTGACATCATTTTCACGGCATTGAAGTTACCGAAAGTGGAAGCACCTGATGCAGTAAAACTTATTAGATATACGACTGGCCCTAATTCCAATACACCTGTTGTCTCAATTACTGGATTTCCCAAGGAGGCCTTAAAGGCAGAGTGTTTTGACGAGGTATTGGAGAAGCCAATAGATTCGAATGCTATTAGAAGCTGTCTCGTTAGATGTTGCAGCTGGGGGCCAGCCATTGTTCAATCCCATGACGTGGGTAATGACGAAGCTATTGAATCAGATCTAGAAAAATGAAGACAGGAGCTTTCATACTAACCATTTTTTTACTCCTCTTAGTATTAGTGTACTTTTTTTCAATAGACTTATATATTAATTTATATTACACGATTCTAGTATTACTACTATACAACTGTAGACAATTCGATTGTTGCCTTAATCTCTGAATCATTCGGTGCCTCGACGGGGGCTTCCTCTTGTGAGCTCTCATCTGCAATCGGCTGAACAAAGTAGTTATCTCTATACCATTTCAACTGGTTAAGACTTTCCAAAATATCAGACCGTGCAGTATGAGCACCTTTCTTCTTTGGGAACTTTTTCATAAGGTTAGGGTTATGTCTGAATCCAATCTCCATAACCGAAGAAACATCAATTATCCTATAATGCAAAAATTCAACAACTTTTGGCATTTCTCTATTCATGAAAAATCTATCCATGTGAACTGTGTTTCCTGCAAGGATTCCCTTCTTTGGGTCCATGAATTTGGTCAAGTACTGTAGGAGTTCTTCTTGTACAACCTCAATAGTTTTTTCTTTGTTGGCTAACACTTTATCTATTAGGCCCGAGCTCCCATGGTGCTCTAAGCACCATTCATCCATAGCATCTAATTTTTCCTTTGGAACGTATATAGTTGATTCATAGCCCTCATCATCTATTAAGTTTAAATTACCGTCAGTGATCAAACAACAGATTTCAATGATATTATCTTCGTATACATTCAAGCCTGTCATTTCACAATCGACCCACACCAATGGCTTCCAAACGCTTTCTGTACCAGCATCTGCTACTTCAGATTCCTTTTTGGCACTCTCTTTCGTTGATTCAGGTATTTCTTGAACCAGCTCTGGTTCTGCAGAGTCTGTCACTTTTAAATTTTCTACATCAGGACTAGGACTGAGCTTGACTCTCTTTGTGGATTGCATTCTTCTAAACGATACGTTCTGAGGTTGACGATATTTTATTAATCTACAGATTGGTCCAGTATACACTTTTGCGTACAAATGATGGGAAAGTAATGAATATGGTTTAATATGTCTACTCAATATCCCATTCATTACCCAGGTAGAAAGAAGAAAGATCCTGGAAGCTGATATCTTAAATCCATGCTTCCATTTTTGATCTTGATGATGATCATCGCGACTGGAACTTAGTTCTTTAAATCGGGCACAAGAAAAGTTTATAAAATTCTGAACTGTTCAAGAGAGGTTAGAGAAGAATTCATTCTACAATTGTATATTACAAATTACAAATTATAGTTTACTTTGAGAATGTCGATATCCAGAAAGCTAGATTGGTTTTACTTTTGGTACTTTGTAGTCCATATTCCTGTAACGTTACTCATTGACTCATGCTTGATAGTACCAGCAACCTGGCAGTTCAATATTCAAAAGACTTTAGTGCTGTTCCATATCGCTACCAATAAAGATTTCTTACTAGACACTTTACCATTGTGGCTTAAAGTTTTTGGATTCATTGAATTGACCTTCCAGTTACCATTATTTTTCTTTGCTGCAATTAAGTTGTACCACAATAGTAGCAGTGTATACCCTTGGCTCGTGGTGTATGGATTTAACGCATCATTTACCACGTTGGTCTGTTTAGTACATGTCCTTGTCGAAGGTAACAGCCATGGGTTGCAGGATGCAGAGGTGTATGGGTTGTTTGGATTGTACGTACCTTACTTCATTATCCCATTGGTGATGTTAATTGACTCCATGAAAAGGGTCATGCCAGCTGCTACAAAGGTGAAACAAAAAGTGTTATAGATAAATAGAAACGGCCAGATTCGTACATAAAAAAAATATAACACATTGAAACTACATTAATACTACGTAATGAAACAATTCTCCTTTATCTTCGTCTATTGCCTTACAAAATCACTCAATTACATACATCAAGCAGATTAAGCGTATTTAGCGAGTAATTCATCGGCGAGTTCAATGTACTGAGTTTCAGCGTCTTCTTGAGAGGTACCTTTCAAGTCAGCCCATGCTTGCCACTTGTACTTACCCTTCAAGTCAAACATACCTGGTTTAGAAGTTTCATTGTCACCGATGGTAGTTTGCTTAAACAAACCGTATAATTTTAATAATTCATCATCAGATGGACGCTTAGTCAAAGCTTGGACAGCGTTAGCCTAGAGTAATGTTAGTAGTTAGAAACTAAGGTCAAGCCTGAAAGCGAGGAATAAATCCAACAACAATTCAATGCCACTACAATTGGTCCAGCTACATACCTTATCAGTGAATTCTTGGGAAACCATATTTAATTGTGTATCGAGTTGATTAATCGAAATAGTTCACACAGAAGAAGGGTTCAGAAGGATCTAATAAAATATTAAAAAATGCCGGCGTGGACACGAACCGACAGTGAGGGACAGTGGCGTGTACAAAATACCCCACCCTTCAACAAAATAGAATAAAATTGGAATTGTTCGCATTGAAATATTATTAGGGTATGGGTGCGTATGTCATTCTTAGGTCATACAATAAAATTAGGGCCTTACGATGAAAGTGGGCTCACAGTGGGATCATAGTAAGTGTCTCGTTAACATAGAGTAAAACCTGTCGCTCAGTGACGTGGAAGAAATTCTCTCATGTTATTCTCTAAAAATTTTCAGCTCTCTTTAAGTTCGTTTGAATTGTATGCGTTTGGCCAATCAATAGTATGCTCTGTAAAGTTCAAGCTTCTGCTAGGTTCCATGACCTGTACAATGGCGCAGGAGGCCCAAATTATTCTTGCTACATTCTAAGTAGACTATTAAAATAACCTAGTTCTCAGTTAGTGTATAGCACATTGAACATAGCCACACTCTATCTACAAAGCTCTTCAAAACTCTTTCAGTCCATCAACCATCTACCTGTCAAGCAGCACTAGACCCACTTCCACTTTAGGCTAGGAGCTAATTTGGGGTAAGGTGCCAAAATATTTACGCACTTCCTCACGCAATGTCTTTTGGCTACTCCTTCATAGTTGCTGCATTTTTCACTCTTATGCACGATTACCGCATAAATATCTAGGCAAAATAGCAACTTTTAGAGGGGACTCCCCAATTAGCATTATTATAAAAAGACTCTCCAAACCCCTGATAATATGACTATTTTCTTTATTTCTTCTCATACTTAATATTAGTGACCACAACTAACTCACAAAGTATTTTCTATTAATTCTTTAACTAAATCAAATTTTTAAATTAGCCACTAGACAAATTAATTAGCATGTCTTCCCCACAAAAACATTTTTACAAAGGTCAGGATAGCGACTTCGTAATTTTTATTGATGATGAAGCAGCTGCCGAAAAGTTCCAAAAGGGCGATGGCACAGTCCCTTTAATAGAAATAGTCTCTATCTATAAGGTCTTCACAACTAGAACTGGAGGTGCTGAAGGTAAGCTCGATGAAGCTTCGAAGGCAGAACTCGACAACGAATTTGGTACCTCATCAGTTGATGAAGTAATCAAGAAGATCTTGAAAGAAGGTTCTAATAAGCATGGTGTGAATTTGCGCAGAGGTGGCAGTTCTACCAATGACTCCATGGGTGCTGGTGACACTGGTAATTAGAGTTCCTCTTTGGCTTTAAACTATTGCTATACATTTCATTTAAAAAAAGTTTACACCTAACACTATAAATATAAAATAATAAAATATCATAGATAATGACGAGTTCTGAACATTGTAAAAGCCATACGTTTATTCTATTATAACGCTCTGATTTTCCACCTCCAAGCTGCATGCTTTCTGGACTCATTCTGCGATATTGCTTTAGTTCCAAGCAATGGGAGACTGACTGTCCAAATTGCCTGAAGTAATTCCTCTACTCTGAGCCTGTCACGAAACTTCAATTCAATGCTTACACATTCACTTTGCCTTAACCCTTTACCATTCAGTTTTGTAATTTCAACAGGGATCACTTCCAAGAAGTAACACAACCGTAGATTTTCACAATCATACTTCGAAAGGTGAATATCATACGGGTTTAGATTAGAAGGACATTTAAATACATCATGCTGGTTGTTCCTTGAATAGGAATAATCAAACTTATTCTCTCCGTTAAGAAAGATATAGGATTCCAAATGCTCCTTCCATATTAAATATTCCAACTCAATTATCGAAGCCAATAAAAGTTCGTACTTGCAATAGCTGTTCTCAAATTGAAGTTTTAAGCTCAATGGATAATCACTTACAAGGCCACCGAAGTTTGCGGAATTGATGTAGTCTTTTGATACCGAGCAAGAATTGAGAGGTATGATAAACGTGTTGGTACAAGTGGTTTGGTTTTCGTTCAATGTTACCGAACTTATCAAAATGTAAGACTTAAAGCAGAGGATGGAAGCCCAGCTACTCTTGACTTCACCACCTTCAACCCATATACATAGCAATGAACCAGATAGATTTAACTTTCCAAAGTATTCAATGGGTCTGTCCAATCCCTCGACCAATGTATGGATGTGGTTTGATACGTTTAGTTCTTTGATTTTCATTAATGACTTGTTAACAGTATTTAATTTTGCTTTGATCACATTCAAACAGTTCTGGACGCAGTAGTAATTTTGGTCAATTTCAAAGGTATTATTTAATAGTAGTTCTACTATTAATCTGTACTTGGATATTCGAGAGACTGGTCTTTGCATCAATGAAAAAAAGGAAAGATCCATATGCATAGTGGAAGGTTGAGTATGCTGTAGGTAAGTCTCTGATCCAGATATTATCTGAGTTTGAAGTGCTAAGTAGGAAGCTGTTGAGTTTTCCGCATGCTTGGAGTTGATTAGTCTGGTAATATCAGCATACTCAGATATGTACTCTTCATATACATAAGTATCTATTCCGTATTCACATATCCCTGATGCAAATGCTGCGGCGGCGATCAGTGAATTCTTTTTAATGGAAACATCGTCAGCTACAGAATGTAAAAATCTCAATAACTTATTGTGATTAACTTGCAAAACGCCGATGCTGGATTTCACGAGTGTAAACATAATACTGCAAGACTTAGCGTTAGACAAAGGTGTTATATAAAAGTTCAACAACAATTGCAAAGAATTAACGTAGTTGGTTTCACTTTCAATGAGTTCCTCGAGAATTCTTTCTCTCTGTATCAAACAGCTGTTTTCAAAAGAAGCTTTGGGAGAGAATGCAATTTTAGGCACCGGGGAAACGAAGTCTGAAGGTGTCAAAGGAGATTGTATTGCATCTATTGGAGGACCTGTCGGAGAAGGTGAATCAGTCATATAAATATTGAGCAATTCATTAATTGATATAACTGGTGATGCTATTGCGTTTGAATTAGGATCAGATAGTAGCTGTATGTTTGAGCCATTCTTAAGTATCAAATCCGAAGTAGTGCTTGCGCAAGTATTGGCACGGGCTAATTTTTTCAAAGTTTTTTCCCCGTTTTTCTTCTCTCTTGACAATGGATAAGAATTTAAACGATTCATTAAGCAAATCTATCCTCTTAATACCGACCCTTATAGCTCCGAATCAAATTTTAATTGTATTTGCAGCCATTGAATATTCTCAATTGTGTTGCACAAGGCAAAATCAGTGCGTACAAAGTGCGCCTCACCATGAGCTTTGAAAAAAAAAAAAATGATATATGACTCTTTAGCAAGACCTTGGGTTGTTCACTGGAAATTAACATTGTAAATATGAGTTCAAGGGCAGTTAGAAGGTTACAAAGGCAGAAATTAACCGAGTTCGATGGACGGCCAACAAAAGGAACTGCTGAGAATAGTGAAGATGAAGAACTAGTGGAGAGCAATGATGAGCAACCCCCACAAAAATCGTTCAATGCATTCGCATTCTTGCAGGAAGACGAAGACGATGTTGAGGGCGATTCGGACTCTGCAACAGCACAAGAAGCAGAGTCTATTACTCATATTGCAGAACCAGTTAACATTCCGACGACTGCTAAAGCGAAGAATAAGAAAAAGAATAAGAAAAATAAGAAAAACGGAAAAACTCAAGATGACCTAGACGATGATGATTTGGATAAGTTTCTTGAGGAAGTCAAAAAGAAAGACCAACAGAAATCTTCTTTCAAGTCCAAGACACCCGAATTATTTCTTGATGAAGATGATTTAGACGATGAAGATGACTATGTATTGTATGAGGCAGCATACGAAGAAGAGGATAATGTAGAATATTGTGACTCCAACTTCAAATATTTCACTAGTAATAAGCTAAAGAAGAGTTTGCCACTTTTGTCTATTGGTAGCATTAAAAACTTAGATGCAGACAATGAATTCCTGAGCCTATTTGGTAAATTATCTATGGAAACCATAGAAGACGCCAATACTACCACTTCTTTGGCAACTTCTCCTGAAATATTGCAACAATTCAAGAGGTTAGCCAGACTCACTCGAGGTTGGTCTGGAAAAGACCGCCGTGGTGTACCAGGAACAGCTCGTAAGCTACTTTTCACTAGAATTAGAGATGACTGGTTACCGACGGCACAAAAGCCTTTAAATATGGATGAACTAACGCCGATTGTAGATAAGGTTCTTCAATATTTAGAATATAAGGAGGACTTGGATTCAGAGCACGATGTACGGGAAGAGTTGGAATACAAGTTAAAGGCTGAGAAAGAGATGGGTGTGAAGTACTTTAAATTCAATAAACTCAATTCTGCGCAAGAAAGAATTGCCAACACAAGGTTCTTTGCTGCCGTTGTTATTACCCCAGATCCTGAATCACTTATGCAATTGCTTCAACAAAATCCTTATCATGCTGAGACCTTACTTCAAGTGGCAATGGTTTTACTTAGACAAGGTAGTGATAAATCAACGAGCAATGCATTGATTGAAAAGGCTCTATTTGTATTTGATAGATCATTGCACAAAAACTTTCATGAATTACTTTTAGAGGGTAAGAATGGGCTCATTAAATTACCATATGAAGGGTTCATGAATAGACAGTTTCAATTGTGCCTTTTCCGATACATTATGATCCTTGGTGAGAGATCCACTTATTTTACTGCATTGAATTATTGTAAATTGCTTCTATCATTTTGTCCCGGTGATGATCCTCTTGGTGTGCGTTACTTCATTGACTACTATGCGATAATGTCAGAAGAATATAAATGGCTTGGTAAATTTGCAAAGTCCCCCTTAGTCACTACATATAAGAAATGGTTAACCCCTGGGTTGGCGTACTCAGTAGCTTTGGCTCACTTTAGACTTAATCTGATAGATGAAGCTAAAAAGCTGTTAGCATTGGCATTTGGTAGACACAGATACCTTGCGTGCAAGCTTTTGGAAACAATTTGCCTTTCTAGCAATGAAAAATTGATCTCGGAGGAGCTATCTAAGGCTCATTCTGACGAAGTCCTACTTGAATCGGAGACATATCTTGTACGTGCAGCGTTACTTTGGAAAGATCAAAAGGAAAGAGAATTTTTGAATGATGAGTTGTCAAAGCTTTTCCAAGAGTCCGAGGACTTTAATCACAAAAACAAGCCTTCTAAGTTGAGTACTTTCTTTGGACTCTTGCCTGCTAAAAACATTGACAATGGTTCAATTCCGTTTAATTTAGTTCGTTTTGCTGTTTTATCGGGCGAGAATAAAATCATGGCTAAAGTCCCAGAGGCTATATGGGCGAGAGATGATGTATTAGAATATGATGTTCTACCACCACGAGACGAGAGAAAGCTATACGACGTCTTTACCGGGGTTTCAAATAGCAAAATAGTGGACACTATGATAGACTATGTGGATCAAAATGTGCTAGGTGCCATTATTCAAAACCAAACCGGTGAGAATGACATGGATGATTTAATACAGAGGTTGCAAGCCGAGGGCGGAGAGCAGGAGGGAGAAATTAACGACATAGCTGAACAGTAGCTAACAGTAGCTGAAACGTCGAAAATTCAATTTCTAATGTCATCAGTGTAAATGCAGATGAAAGAGCTACAGACAATTGAGTAGAGTATTATTATAAAACATACATAGAAATATTACACCAGATACAATCTACGCCAATGTAACTAATCACATTAACCTAATCTACCGTTACCCAGTGGCAGCCACTGGCCCACCCTGGCACCTCTGGGTGCAAATTCAGCATTGGAGATCGTCCACCTGCATTTAATTCACATTCAGCCTCTCGGTGTATTTTTTATTTTGGCGAGAACCATGCGACTCGCAATTTTGAAATTTATTGAGCGATTCTGTACGAGAGTAGCGTTGCAACGTAAAGGCATCTTCTTTCACGGCAGGGACTTCTTTTATTGCATCAATTGTTCACTTTCTGTGTAAGTATGATTGCTATAGATCTTAAGTTTGAAACCTGGCAATGGCAGTACCAAATTCTGAGTACATTCTTCGTGTTTGGTATATTACCGACTTTGTACTATTTGTACCAGCGGTACATTTCTAGCCATCCTAATCGTTATAACAAGTTAGAGGCGCCCGTCAAGCTCGATGTTCCTGTTCCTGAAGAGGCCAAGCCACACTGGAAAGGTAAGAGGTTGTATGCACCAAATTTGACCACTAGAGTTGCCTCTGACCCTGGTAAGATCAAGTGCTACTGTCCTGCAACTGGACAGTCTTTGGGGATGCTTCCTGCAACCACCAAAGCCCAAATGGACGAGCAAATTGCCAATGGGATTAGAGCTCAGAAAGAGTGGCAGAATCAAGGACAGACTGGCAAGTTCAGCTTTAGCTTGAGAAGGAAGCTTTTACGCACTTTAAATAACTTCATTGTTGACAACCAAAAGGAGATTGCAAACGTAGCTTGTAGAGATAGTGGTAAGACCAGACTCGATGCTCTGATGGGAGAAATTATGGTAACATTAGAAAAAATTAATTGGATTATTTTGAATGGAGAAAAGGCATTGAAACCCAGTCAAAGACCTGGTCCCGCCAACTTGTTGATCGGATTAATGAAGAATGGTGAAGTCAGATATGAACCATTGGGATTAGTTGCTGCTTTGGTATCTTGGAACTACCCATTTCACAATCTTATGGGTCCAATTATTGCTGCATTGTTCACTGGAAATGCTATTATTGTCAAGTGTTCCGAACAAGTATACTGGTCATCTAAATGGTTTGTTGAAGAGTTGGTACATACTGCCTTGAAGCTGTTGGACTTAGACACGGACTTAGTACAACTAATTTGCTGCTTCCCAGAGGATGCAGACCACTTTACCTCACATCCAGGGATTTCACACATCACCTTCATCGGATCTAAACCTGTTGCTCACAAAGTAGTTGAAAGTGCAGCTAAGCAATTGACTCCTTGTGTCGTCGAATTGGGGGGTAAGGATTCATTTATCGTATTAGACGATATGGTTGACTCTGTCGACCGCTTGTCCTCTATCATAATGCGGGGTACTTTCCAGAGTGCTGGACAAAATTGCATTGGTATTGAAAGAGTAATATGCTTACCAAAAACGTACGAAAAATTGGTAGATATTTTGAGCACAAGAGTCAAGCATCTTAGAGTTGGTTCTGATATTGATCAACTTGACGAGATTGATATGGGAGCAATGGTATCTGACAACAGATTTCCACATCTAGAATCTTTAATTGAAGATGCTGTTTCCAAGGGTGCTAGATTAGTATCAGGTGGGAGAGCATACCAACACCCTAATTATCCACAGGGCCATTACTTTGAGCCTACGCTTTTGGTTGATGTTGATCCCAAATCAATGAAGATTGCTACCGAAGAAGTCTTTGGACCAATATTGACGATGATAAAGGCAAATACCGTAGAAGAAGCTATAAGTATTTCTAATGGTACCGAATTTGGATTGGGCAATTCTATCTTCGGAAAAAGCTTTCAGCAGTGCAGTGAGATTGCTAACCGCTTGGATAGTGGAAATATTGCAATCAATGACTTTGCCACGTTTTACGTAGCACAACTTCCGTTTGGAGGAGTAAAGAAATCAGGGTATGGAAAGTTTGGAGGCGAAGAAGGTTTGACAGGTTTGTGTGTTGCCAAATCAGTGGTTATGGATAAGCCATTATTACGATTATTTGGTGTTGCAACTAGTATCCCACCCCCAATTGACTACCCTATTAAGGACGGCAAAAAGGCTTGGGCTTTCGTGAGTGCATTGAATACTGCCGGATATGATTATAGAGTTTGGAAAGTTATCAATGCGTTTAAGAAGTTGGCAAGAGGAGGAGCCTAAAGATTGGTACAGTAGAATCAGCAGGAGTGAGCCAAGAGAAGTAGAAGGACCCTTAGATATAGATAGTATCAAGAAATTACCCATGAAGACAGTAAAACGCAAATTTCAAGTGATAGAACTTTGCTTTGTAATTCATTGATACCAACATAAGCGTCAAATACTTCAATAAAGGGCCATCAAGTAGTTTAAACACTCTTATTAGATGTATATATTACGAATAAATGATAATCAGAAAAATAGTGGATTGCCTACCTTATACACCAATAGAGTTATACTTTATGTATTCCAAGAACTAAATAAATAACAATAGTATACTAGAAACATTATTATTGTTTTCTTTTTCCATTTGAATAAGGCTATTCAAATCTAATTAAATCGACTAAACCGAACTCCTTTTCTATTTTTATTTTATTTTATTTTATTTTATTTCGGAACTTCTCCCCTAAGCGTTGATGTGCAATTCTGGAGCAGGGGTGGTAGTGGCATCAACCAACAACTTTACGACAGAGGACTTCTTGTCAGCGTATTTACCCTTAATGTCCTTCAATGCGCTCTCAACTTGAACGTCAGCATCCTTACTGATAGAATCGTTCAAACCAGAATGGTCACTTTCATACTTCTTCAATTCGGCTTCCTTTTGGGCTTTGTATTCATCTATTTCCTTTTGAGCATCTGCCTTGGCAGACTTCAAACGGTTAGTTCTGTACTTTCTTGCTTCATTGACAATTTCAGCAGCTTCCTTTTCGGTCTTTAACAAAGCTTGAATTCCTGATGACATTTTATATCGATTTTATACAATTGTTTGTTTCTGTTTGGACAGTATGCTGAGGTGAAATGAAATTGAAGTCGTCGTTATCTTGGAAGAGTAAATTAGAAAGGACTGAGGATTGGCCGCGCACACTTTATATGCAGGAACTCTTACCAAATTTCGTGGAAGTTTTGTATTCCGGGCTCACAACGGTATAGTAGTGCTGCGCAAAGGAAGCTAACCAACCCACTGCGAATACTATGCACCACTACTTATGTATCCTATATTTCTCTACTTCTGCTTGATATTAACTAGCTTGGTTTTACTAGTCCTCCACTTTTGAATGATATTAATGCTTTAATTTTACTATTATACAAAGTATGATACAATCATACATCTATTTTCTGCTTCGTATACTCAACCCTCTGGTAATCATCTTACCCATGCCTTTTATATTCCTTTTCAATCCCAGAAATTACCATCTGCGATAAACCGTAACATATACTCATCCACATGTCCCACACCTTCTTCGAAGTCGATATCTGCCAAATCAGTATTAACTTCAGTTGCCACTACTGGAGTGGCAGATTTTGTATCCATGCCAGGAGTGCCTGTAGAAGGTACCGGAGTAGTTCCAGCTGTAGCTGGTTTAGATTCTTCATCAAAATCTTCGTCATCTACTTGAATTTCCTTCATTGCAGCGTTTGCTGCAATTCTGTCCTCTTCATCTTCAGCTTGAGCTAATACATTACCAACATTACCTTTACCAACTCCGTCGCCCATTATTGGTCTATCAGGAATATCATCATTGCTGTTCCCTTCTCCACTTACCAAATCTTTAACGGAAAATTTCCCAAAATAATCTGTTGTGAACTCACCCTCTTGAATGACAACATTGTCTAACTGCCTCTTCTGGTTAGCTTTCTTCAAAATATTTGATTCAATGGTGTATTCAGAAACAAATCTATAGATATGAACATCTCTGGTTTGACCAATTCTATGACAACGATCTTGACATTGTTTATCCATTGCAGGATTCCAATCAGAATCATAGAATATAACAGTATCAGCACCAGTTAAATTAATACCCAAACCACCTGATCTAGTAGATAAGATGAAAACAGGGATTTTATTATCTCTATTAAATTTTTCCGTCAAAAGTTGACGGTCTTCAATCTTAGTGGATCCATCCAATCTCATATACCTGTAACCATGAATGTTTAAAAATTGTTCCAAAATATCCAACACTTTGGTCATTTGCGTGAATATTAATGCTCTATGGCCACCTGCCTTCAAATCTTGAAGCAATGTAGCCAATTTCTGTAATTTCCCGCAATCATACTGTAATAAAGACTTATCTGGGAATGCAATTGATAACTTTACTTGTGATTGGTGAAATGGATTGGTGATATTATCCAGGAAAACTTCCTCTGATATTCTATATTGAGTTGATACTGGAATTAACTGATCTTTCATGTCTAGAGCAACAACTGCGGGAGTTAAAACTGAAAATTTTTCAATGTAATCAGTCATTTCTTCTTTTCTTTTATTGAGAGGCAAAATTATATCTCGATAAGCATCAGTTTTAACGTTTCCAGTCCCTATTTTTCTGATTTCCAGAAGTAAAGACTTTCCATACATAGGTGTCCTTTCACAGCGCAAGTTATTCAAGTAAATGGCATGTTCTAACCTAGCCCTTCCTTCTAATTGTTGTCTCAATTTTATGAACTTGTAATATTCAAGATGGTCCGTTAACTGAGGAGTTTTATATTTAGATGCCTTTTCAATCAACTCATCAAGTTGGTTGATTTGTTCCTCGAACCCTTTAATTGATTTATACAACTTCGAAGAATTCGCAGTAAAAATATTCAAATCTTCACAGTTTGTGATGTCTAAATTCAAAACATTTAGTGATACTTCATCTCTAAAGTTTTCTTCTGCCTTAAATATTTTTTGAACAAAGTCTTTGTCACCTTCTAAAGCATTGGCAATACCTTGGGGCATTACGAAAGATGTAACAATTGGACGAACTTCGAATAAGTCAGGATGATTACAAACCTTCCTCAATTGCATTAAGCAATTAATGATAGAAAGAAAGTTACCAGAAGAAAGTGTTTCTTTGGTCTTAGCTCTTGACATAAAGTCATCATACAAGTACCTCTGCCTCTTTGATAATCTGCAGTATACAATATGTTCATATTTTCCAGGCATTTGCTTCTCAACATCTTTCTTTAATCTACGAAGTAAGTAAGGTCTCAAGACTTGATGTAACCTTGAAACAGTGTTCCTTGTCTCTGAATCCATTTTGGACGTAGCATTTTCATCAATAAGATCATTTTGATTACCATTACCCATAGTTGTTTGTTCTAAGATCCTATCGACTGGTTTTCCAAACCAAGTCTGGAAGTCTTCTAAATTTGCAAAACCATCAGGCATGGCTTGATTAACCTTAGAAGAAGGCATCAAGAAGTACAACAAAGACCATAGTTCCATTAAATTATTTTGCAATGGCGTACCAGTAAGCAAAAGTCTATTTTCCGTATTGAAATTCAATAAAGCTCTCCAACGTGTAGACCTAAAGTTCTTGATATTGTGTGCCTCATCAAGGATCATATATCTCCATCTTCTTCTTTTAAATGATTGATGGTCATGGACAACTAATTGATATGATGTGATACAGACATGGAAAGCATCGGGTTTGTTCCATCCTTTTCTTTTCGCAGCTCTTTGCTGTGGAGAACCATAGTAAGTCAAAACCTTAAACCCCGGAGCAAACTTCTTAAACTCCATTTCCCAATTAAGCATAACTGAAGTTGGCACAACGATTAAATGTGGGCCCCAGATATGATGTTCACTTGCAAGGTAAGCCAACAACGAAATCGTTTGAATGGTCTTGCCTAGACCCATTTCATCTGCTAAAATTCCATTGGTGTTATTATTATACAAACTTGCCATCCAATTCAAACCCTGCTTTTGGTAAGGTCTCAAAGTTCCACGAAGTAATGGAGGAACTGGTACATCCCTAACTTTAGATCCATTGATCTCTTCCTCAATTATTTCCTCAACACCTTTATCATCACTAATTGTGCCTTCGGTGGATTTAGGAGTAGTTGGCTCCTCTTCCTCATCAGTGGTTTCTGACATATTTTCATCATCAGAATCGCCTTCTGACTCTAGATCCTGACTGATTTCCTCATCTGACGAGTCTTCTTCAATATCACCATTTGAAAAGAGAGAAGATAATCCGCTAGCTTTCTCTGTTCCAACATGCGGACTCCCATCTTTATCGCTTTCAGATTCACTTTCATCATCGGAGTCAGACTCACTTCCTGTAGATATGCTATCATTATCACTTTCTGCATCTAAAACTGAATTCTTCTCTTCTTTTGCTATTGAATCTATTAATTCAATTTCCTTAGTCGAGTATTCTCCATTTGCGGTAATGTCTGATGTGGAGACCTCACCTCCATACAAAGCGGAGAGACCTTGAGAAATGTCTATTTCATCTTCTTCGTCTTCTTCCTCTGATTCATTGCCTGAGCTATTAGTCTTGGATGAAGGGGGAGATGTAGAGGCCTTGATCTCTTTGTACTTGAGTCTCAACTCCTCTAATGATAATTTTTCATCATTAGCATCAGTGTGAATATCAACATGGCTCAGTTCTTTTTTCACTTCTTCTCCTTCCTCTTCTGAAAGGTCATCAGAACTAGAGCTAAGATGGTGATCTGAGTCTTGTGAACTTTCACTTTCAGAACTACTATCTTGTGGGTTTTCCTGAATAGGGTTAGCCAACTGAGCTTCCAAAAGTTGCGTTGAGTGCTCTAACATCTGTGAAAGATGTTCCCTTCCCTTTATTCTTTTCAATTCTTCTTCTTCTTGTTGCTGCAAGTGACGATACACTTTACTGGCTTGTATCCATCTCCTTTTCACGGCTTGAACTGCCAATCTACTAATCCTCCTCAAATTTTGCTCCTTTTCTCGTTCAAGTCTTTCCTTTTCTCCAGCTTTCTTCCTGAAGTACTGTTCAATCATTTGGGCAATCCTTCTTGTCTTTAATAGATGTTGCTTACGTGCATTTTGATGAACTTTGGAAAATGCCATTCCTTGGCGAAGTAAAATATCCTGATGTGTTGAATTTGGGGTCGAGCCATGTACAGATTTGGCAGTTATTATAAGATCGTTTGCTCTAAATGGATCTATGTTTAGTTTGGAATTAGTCTGGGGCAAGACTGTTTTTCTTTGCTCTACTTTATCTCCATGAAGCTCGAGTCTTCTCTCCACATAGATCTTTTGGTAAAGTTTCTTAACAAGCTCCTCTTGTTGTTCCATGATCTGATTGTACTCTTCTATGCTGTTATTATAATCTGGCATTATAGATTCATCGATGATCGCAGATTTGTACTTATTTTCAAGGTAATTATGGATCTTTTCCTGAAGACTAGGATAAGTTGTCTTGGATCCATCTTTATTTATGATAACCTTAATTTTCTCAGCGTTAAATGGGATTATTGAATCCTTCTCGGCTTCGTCAGAGTCGTCAACATTATTGAGTTGTCGCATTTGTTTTCCATCATCATGTGAAGGGGTAGGTCTCCATAATGGTATGTGAGAAGGATGCATCACCAAAGGAGGTGGCATTGTATAAGAGGTTGACTTTAATTTATAATTAGTGCCTACATCCTCGTCACTGCTTTCTTCGGATTCTTCAGTTTCTTCTTTTACTGGTGCCTTGTCTTGCACCTCCTCTTCTTCCAGAGCTACTTCCTTTTTAACAGGTGTAAGTTTCTTTCTTGAAGTTCGAACCTTCAGCTGAGGGACGGATTTGGATTTTGTTATCTTACTATTTGGTCGAGAAGAGCTTCCCTTAGCGGTTTTAACTGGTTTTACGTTAACGTCTTCTATGACCTCTTCTTCTTGCTCTTCTTCTTCTTCCTCCTCCTCTTCTTCTTCTTCCTCCTCCTCCTCTTCTTCTTCCTCCTCCTCCTCTTCTTCTTCCTCCTCCTGCTCTTCTTCTTGTGCTCTCAAAGCAGCTTCGGCTTCAGCCTTCTCTCGTTCTTCAGCTTTGCGGAGCTCCTCTAGTCTTAATTTTTCTTCCAATTCACGCTTCTTCTTAGCCTCAGCTTCAGCCTTTATCCTTCTCTGTTCTTCGAGTTTTGCATTCGCAACATATACCACATCAATATCATTGAGTAGCTTATCCTCCAACGCTACGCTCTTCTTTATAGCAGATTCTTTGAACGGGTACTTTTCAAGCAACTTCTTCTCCCTCTCAATAAGAAGTCTCTTCTGAAGTCTTAGCGGGATGCTATCGAGTTCCTTTTGGTCAGCTTCTGGTGTTTCACTCCAAGACACCTGATAAGCAGGATTGGCTGTAAATTCTTCGAATATTTCAGGAAGTTGCGGAGATTTCGTACTAGAATACAATGACGGATCCCAATACAAGATATTCTTGTACTCTTTTAAATTGAACAATTCATTCACAAGCATATTGTGGTTCGTCATCAAGCTGGAGATCCTATCTTCAGGAGATTCAAGCTTCCTCTTTTTATTTACATTATTATTAATATTTTCTTCGTTAGGCTGTACATGTTTGCCTCCATTACTAAGACTTCCATTTGTGGTGGTTCCTACAACTGCTGGACTAGACGTATCATTATTAGAGCTATCCACAGTCTGTGCCAAACGTCTCGACCGTCGAGTAGGGGTTCCGGCCATCTAGCTATATTAATTGACTGAAAGTTAGTGATGTATTAAAAAAAATGACAAAACTATCCGTTCTTCCAACCAACTCTACTTCGTAATCTATTTACAATCACTGTGAATTTTCGAAGACTGTATCTTAGCGATTCAAGTTTTTTTTTTTTGGTTTGAATTTTTTTTGTTTTCGGTTTTTATTTCGTGGTACTATATGCAGTACTCTAAACTACTAGTGCAATAAGAGGAGCCTAGGGAAGAGAGTTCTACATGGACTTACAAGAATCCAATACTAATGGGGATTGATATATTGCCGCTGTATGCTAACTTATTCATTGTGATGTAATGTAATGTAATTTGCGGTATATTTCTATCTCATGGTACCTTTTCTTTGTTTTTTTTTTACTTTGTTATGTTGTGTATGTTCTTTTCATTTAGTTTTGAATGTTATTATGTTTTGTATGTGACGTTATACGCTTAGCTCAGGCCAGTTGGCTAGTTTGAGGGAGCCGCTAGCTAGTCTGGAAGCCATCTCGCAAGTTTGAATACCAGTGGGCTAGTGTGTTGTTTGGTTTAGTATAGGTCTCTAAGCGGTGATGAAATCAGCATTTTCCTTCTTGTATTGTTCTTCATTTTCAGTTACGCTGCCAATTGGCTTCAAAAATCCAAGCTCCTTCTCAGCAGTTAAATCTGGCCTAACTCTGTAAAATTCATCGTCTTCGGCCTTACCTGAACCCAACTCCTTGGCCAAACCTCCAAATGGGAATGATCTAGGCATGGCAGGCTTCTCTGGGTTTAACTGGAAATAATATAAAACTGCACCGAATCCAAAGAAAAGTGCAAAAAAGACACCGTTGTGCTTCAAAGCGGTCTTATCTGAAACAAATTGAAAGTAATCTGGTGACCAGATATCGTACAAATCGTAGTCGTGGGTTAATGGATCGTTGAAGTTTCTTCTGTTTTGTGGGTCATCATATTTGGCGTATGGATCTTTATCTTGTGCCAATACCCCCTTATAAGCAGGATAGTCACCCAATTCTGGATGACTTGGGTCTGTGAGTTGGATGGTCTTACCAGTGGTGTGGTCAACGAGAGTACTTTCTGTGGTTAAGAAACGAACTGCTGGTGCAGTCACCGTTCTTCTAGCAGCCAACCTACTAGCACTATTTAAACCTACTCTACACAACATAATTTGTTTAATAATAATGCTATACTATGAACTACGACTATGTTGCTGGTGTGCTTTCACTTGTACTTGATTTTTCTGATTGGGTTTATTTTTTTTCCCTACGCTCTCAGGAGAGCCAATGAAAATGTGAGAGAAAAATCTTTGGAGAGTAATACAGTGCATGATTGGTAAGAGATTATGTAAGCTCAGTTGTAGGAACTAGGTAGAGAAGACTTTGACCATGTTGACGATAGATGTCTGATTGCAAGCTAGGATGCCAGTTGGGGGGCCTGCTGATGAGTCGAGCTTCTTTCTACTGACAGAATGTGGTAGTTCTAATCTATTTATTTACAGTTTGAAATTTTTTTTTTGTTTCTACTTGATTTCATTTATTGCGATATCTATGTGATGTATAAGTGTACATTTATGCTGGAAGGATTCGAAGTTGGTTTAGCTCAGATTCTTCTTTCTACTCTTTATTCTTCCTTGGTAGAGTCTTTTTGATCAGGGTCCCTTCAGAAACTTACTGTGAATTAAATCTTCTCTCCTATTTTTTTTTCTTTCTTTCTTTTTTTTTTATAGTTTCTGTTTCATTCGTTTCAAGTTTGTCTCACTCATTTGTCAAATGGCTTACGAATGGCAGACTTGGAGAAGGAAGCGGCATTGACAGCGTCGAAGTATCCACCGTATATGTATCCACTGAAGGCAAATACTGACACACCAATACCGAAAACCAAACTGGAGTTATACAAGTTCCAGTATTTGTGGGTTTGTGGAGGGCTCAAATCAAAGTTGTACTTATTGGTAAAAGTCGATTTGGCAGGGGAAGGTGCTGCAGCATGTTGGAATCTCTTGGACACTAATGGAGTGTATGACTTGGCTGATCTAGAAAGCATTATATAATTGAAAACAAGTCAGATTAACTAAATAGAAACTATAACTGTTAATGATGGCTAATATGTATCTGGAGATTTTCCGCTATTATGGTTTTCACATTAGGCCAATGAACTGCACTAAATTGATAATTCCTCTGAAAAATGTAACACAAAATTGAGAGTTACACAAAACTCCTCAGTGTGCTGCACCGCTTATGTGCACTGCAGTAGACCTGGAGTAGATGGAAGGGTACGATCAGTTCTTTTGGGTAGGTGCAGTGTTCTCTAAATATCAACATAGGTAAGCACATCTGATATGTTTATGACTTTATGACATATACGTGTCTACTAATTTTGAACTGCCTCAGAAAAGCTCTGTTTAACTCCATGGACTTCAATTTTGCTAACTACTAGCAATTTCTATCAACATTATTATTCATTTACACTTGCAACTTTTCGAACCCAATCTGTACCTTGTTTTCACATAAATACCAGAAATCGGCCCATTCAGTAGCTTCCTACTTGAAACAACACGCAATACACTCCCCAGCTCGTTCATCGTCATACTTAACTCCCTATACTGCCTTCCCCATCCTCATTGCTGCAAAATCGACTACATCATTATATCCTGCACATAAGCCATCATCGAAGCTATGCTTCAAAATTTACACTTATAGCTGATAATCCTCCAACGGTGTTACTTCAGCTATCTGCACACAGGTACCTTCTTCTGATGTCAAATTACAGTGGATATAGGCCCAACTCTGGTACTGGCGGGGCTAATGGAGCTCGTACACTGCGGCCGTATAATAAGTATAGCGGAGGTGGTCGCACTGCTGGTGCTGGATACTCTGGCAGTGCGTATGGATCATCAACGAATAACTATAAGAATAATTACAGGGGAGGTGGATACAGTGAATACGACAACACTTACAATAAAAGCCAAAGCACAAGTGACTACAGTACAAACAAACCATATTTCAAGAACAAATTCTCGACTCCAGCTGGTAGAACTCAATCATCTTCGCCCCCTTACCAGGATAGTTTCCAGATATGGATGGGAGATTTAGATCCAAGTTGGGGCGACCAGGATATCATAGATATTTGGAAGTCCATGGGTGAATTACCTACTGCGGTAAAAATATTGAAAACAGATCCCTACAAACCTGCGTACTGCTTTGTCTCGTTTGGCAACCATCAGAGCGTCAGCTCTGCAATTCAAAAGAATGGAATGCAGATCCCAGGATCGGCAAAGATATTCAAGTTGAATTGGGCAAGCGGTGGACAAGCACCTGGAAACACCGGAGGAGCGAACAATGGTACCGCTGGCAATAATGCATACCAAAGAGGAGGCGGTGGCCCTGGATCTTCTTCAAATAATTACAATGACCAACTTTCTGTATTTGTGGGTGACTTACCACTAGACTTGAATGAGTCGGTGTTGTACGAGGCATTCAATACGAAATTCCCGAACCAAGTCAAACAAGTCAAGATAATGTTGGATATGGCTACTAAAACATCCAAGGGATTTGGGTTCATCAAATTTGCTACGCTACCAGTGCAACAAAGAGCAATCAAAGAAATGAACGGATTCATAGTTAAGGGACGTCCTATAAAAGTTGGCCCTGCTTCGAGAGATGCAGCAGCAGCATCTTCCAGTTCACTGTCAAAAACTAGTGCAGCGGAAAGAGGTCTTTCTTCAGGCTCGGTAGACAACGACTCAAAGTTTCAATTGCCTCAAGTGCAGCCTCCCCTCTCCCAGTTCACCGACCCTAACAATACAGGAATCTACATAAAGGGATTATCGGGCACACTTACAGAAAAAGACTTGCGTGAGTTATTTACTTCGTTCGGATACATAATAAACTGTACTATATCATCTAATGGCCAGGTGGGCCACATAAAATATCTTCAAAGAGCAGCAGCAGAAGCCGCCATGTTGGCATTAGGTGGAACAGAAATAGCAGGAAACAGACTACTTATTAACTGGGATAAAATCAACCTGAAATCTACACCAACTCCACTCCTATATGGCGAGTTAAATACCCAAAAATGGAAAGAAGCCGAAGAGGTGACAGAGCCATCACCAATAAAGAAGGTCAATGAAGAGTATATTAGTAAAAAGTACCAGAAATATGATTTATTGTTCGATTTATGATAATTTGTGGAACGATTCTTCCACTCCCGGGCAATTCACTCTCATATCATTAGCATCATTATAAAAGCATCCACAGAAAAAGCAGTAGCTATAAGTAGTTCGTAAGTATTGTAGAAGATTAGTGATTTGCACACCTATGGGAAGGTCTCCTTGAGAGATAGTCTTTTTGGCCTCTTCATCTTTTTCTTTTTCTTCTCTTTTATCTTTCTCTTTGAATAAGTGTTCGCTTTCCACACCATTGTCATCTTGCCCCAGTGCAATATCTACTTCTGGTGCTATTGATCCTTCCTCTTCTGGCCCTAGCTTCTTATCTATTTCAATGATCTTATTATACTTTTTCATCTGCCTCTCCTTTTCAGCTTTTTCAACTACATACCTTCGCCAAAGTGGATTTATCTCCATGACTGGCTTATCTTCGTCCTCATTCAATTCCACGCACAACTTCATCAACTTCTGGCAAACCTTCTGGTTGTGCTTCTCCAATTGCTGCTCTTTTAAATGGCCCATGAACTTGTCTTCACTAGTTGCGGCCACCTCTTGAGCTGAAGAGCGATCAGCCTCAGAAAGAGCTCCAATCCCTGCTCTACCAGAGTTTGGTATGACCTTAATTGGCTCTAGCAAGGTAGACGCAGAAGAAGCACCAGATTTACCAAGAGAGTCTCCCAACTTGAACCCCATTTTTTCCATCATTGAAAGCCCAATTGAATTGGAATTCGACTGGAACAACGGGGTATCGATGCTGGAGGAAAAAATATCCTTTTCAAGTGGATATAGCATGAAATCCGTGCCTTTAGCATCGTCTTGTGCAACACTCGGCTCACGTTCATTGAGCGCACGATCCACAGCTACCACCTCCGTAGCACTCTCTTCACTTTTAGGAAGTACCAATTTTTTTGGCCGCCTTAACCTACTAGCGTCCCCGTCACTTTCTGACAAGTCAGAGTCACTACCAAAGACATTGGGACGCTTTGGCATAGAAGTATGGGGTAAAAAAAGCTCTGACCTAAACACAAAAATAAATTTCTGGAATTTTTCACTCCAGCGAGAAAATCCGCCGGTATCGCTATGAGCTGAAATTGAGATTCGAGATTTGTTTCCTTCAAGGTAAGGTTGGCTATCTTGAGTTAATCGAGTAGAATTAGACATAGAGGTATATCTAGATCACTTGTAGAAGCAGAGAGATCAAAAAGACCAGATATTTTCAACTCTGAACATCTGTTTATATACGTGTTGTCACTCACTCATACCCACACTCGTACTATTCACTTCATATCACTTTTCCTTGGAGATGCTACCACATAGAAAGTCCGACCAGGCGTTCCTCTCGGTGCCGGTGTCTAGAGTGGCTTCTTCACAGAGACTAAACCAATTGTCTTCGCCGCAAGCTTCTGGAATTGGGTCTCCCAATGCTTATGCCAGCATACCAACAACTCCAGTTCCATATGTTTCGTCTTCTCTCAACCCGACTAGAAACCAGCCGGTGATATCTGGCAGCGCATCCACTTCCAGCAATAACAAAAACACATTCCAAACCGCTGAGGAGGCCAAGAGGTTCGAAAAACTACCCATTGTTGAGAAGCTTGGGAGCTTTGAGCGTGCCTTGACGTTGTTATCCCAAGATATCACTTCCTACAGAGAGAACGACGACAGAATTCAGTCTACAGTGAAGGAATTAATAGACTTGAACGATTCCATTTATTCCGATATACTGCAGTTGGATGTCCACCAAAAACTCGGAGGCCAGATTAAGGTGCTAGAGGAAGAAAAGAAGCGACTAGACACAACCTCCAGAGATACATTGAAGCAGTTGATAGAGTATCGAAATGAATTGAAAAAGTTACCTCTACTCCCCACCAACAAAAGACTGAAGAGAGCTGGTACAGACAATAAAGATGCCCAGTTGGTCGATATTAAAGAGATTTTGAAGTACGCCATGAAGCTTTCCAAATTTACAAAGATCCCACCCAGCGCAGTGGACCTACCACAGCAAGCGCACCCTAACAACTACATATGGCCAGCAGAAGATGCACTCAGAAGGGGGATGTTAGCGATAAGTTCACTCAGACCAGATGAGTTGATTCTGGCAGAGCTAGGCGAGGAAGAGAAGGCTTCTACAGAAACAACCAACGAGCCTGCTGCGATGGAAGACGTTGAAAACGTGCACTCGAAGGCCGCTCGTAGTCCCCATCAGCATCGTGCAAGCCATCATAGCGCTCCAGTTGCGAAGGAAGAACCTAAGGACTTGGATGTGGACTTATTTGACCCCGACGATGATTTCTCTGACTGATTTACAGGCAGTCTGTTTTGGCTTATTTATGTATTTGAAATAAAGTGAAATCTAAAGCCTTTTATACGTAGAGTGTGAAATATCTATTCTTCTATTTACAATTTATGTTAAGGAGGAAAGAAATAGCTCTCAATTCCTACCAATTTCTTCCTTATGCCCTTTTCACAACTTACTTCGTTCTATGATCTCCAAACATCTCACTAGGGTGGTCGAAGGTATCAGATGCATATTCTCCTGCTAATGATACGTCTAATTCTAATTGCTTGGAGTATAAAGTCTCAGAATTCAAGTGGTCCTTCACGAGCTCAGCCAAGCCTTCAATAAATTGTTCGTTTCCGTTTAGTGATTCGGCTCTCTTGATCTTTTCAGGGAAATCACTCTCCTCCATCAATTCGATGTCTAACTCGTGCAAGGTTTCAATATGGTCGGAGGTGAATGCAACTGGAACCAATACCATGCCCTTGATTTCGTCCTTCTTCTCTAACCTCTTGACAATCTTGTCAGTTTGCCCACCAAGCCATGGTCTAGGGCCGACTTGAGATTGCCAAACCAATCTATACTTGTACTTGAAGTTTAAATTCTCCATTATAGCATACACGGTAGACGCAACCTCAGCAGGATAAGAGTCTCCACGGTTGACTATTTCCATAGGCAATGAATGCGCAGAGAATAAGATGGATACATTACTTCTTTCAGATTCAGGGAATTCGGCTACCTTGTCTTCAATGTGTTGGGAGAATGCCTTGATCAACCCTTGGTGCTTTGGCCAACGATCGATAAAAGACCAAACTATACTTCTTTCAGGGTCTAATTCCAACGTTTTTCTATACAACTCGTTCATAGAAGAACCTGTAGTTGAATAGGAAAACTGAGGGTACTGCGAGAAGGCAACAGCCCTTTCAACTCCATCGTTCAACATTTGCTTCAAGGTGTCCTCAGTTAATGGATTAGCATACCTGAACGCCACGTAAGGCTTGTGAGGAGCGGTTTCGGGGTTGATCTTATCCAATATGGAGCAAACCTTTTGACACTGGTACTCAGACCAGTACCTGATGGGTGAACCCCCACCAATCTCTTCATAATGGCTCTCAATCTTTGGGGTTCTTCTACGAGCTATGAACTTAGCCGTCCAGTTCTGAAATGGTCCCAAAGGAATAAGATCTTTGTCAGAGAACAAACGATATAAAAAGTCATAAGTTTCGCTGACTTTAGATGGGCCCCCCATGTTCATGAAAACTACACCTGTGGGTTTCTTCGCTTGGGGTGCCGCAGAAGAGTAGTACCTAAAAAGGCCATTTCTTATACTGCTTTTTGCTAACAATCTTATATTCATGCTTAAGTCTAGAGTTTTACTTAGTTTCAGAAGAAATAACACAAGAAATCGAGATAATTCAATGGCAATATTGCTGCCCAGCCTGCCTTGGTCTCGGCCTTAAGTATTGGTGAAAAAAGTCCATTGCTCTTGCTGAGCCGTTGGGTCCTGCATAATGCACCATTACGTAACAATCTTTGCATGGATCCTAACTCGGAAATATCGATGGCCAGGGTCTGGGTGCAAATTAGAGCCATTACAGTGGTGGAATGATGATGGAATGATGATGGTAAAGTCCATTACCAGGTCTTTTCCTTTGTTTGCTTGATGCTTTCTGTAGTTCTTTTAGTTCAATTTTTTTTTTTTTTATTTCAGTTATATCCATAAATAATTTTACCTAAAGTTCCTAGTCCTTTTTCTTACTCTCCTTGATCTTGTTAAGCTCATTTTTAAGTGAATCACTCTGAGAAGCGAAAATATCATTTATCTCCTCTTTAAAACTATTGTACGCATCTTTAAGTCCTTCGAAATCGTCGTCGCTGATGGATTTTCTTCTTGATCTGAACGAATTCCAGACACCAGCAAGATCCTTCATATCTTGATCGAATTCCTCCTTATTCATATCTTCCAAAACATCAATTGGTGGTAAACCTAACGTTGGGATATCATCTGAAGTGTTTAATGAATCACCAGGAATGCTATTGACTAATACTTCTTTGATCTTTTGCTTTTCGTTGGAGTTCAATTGGTACTTGCTCTCATCTACCTTCCCAATCTTTTCTTCCTTTGCTTGAACAGCTGGTGGGTGGAATTGCTTTAACCAATTTATGACAACCTTACTATAGGGACCTTTGAATATGACCATTGTAAGCCCCGAAAGAATGGCACCATAATAGTAAACAGTAGACCAACACTGCAAGGATTTCTTGAAGTCCAATATGACGAATGGATGAACGGCATATCCAAAGGCCAACTGAGTTACAAAATAAGATATGATATCATAAATGATTTTAGTTGGCTTCCCAGTACCATCACTCTTCAAGAAGATAGGTCTGAAGTTCCGACGGTATATTCTACCAATAGTTTGATAAAAGGCACCCATTACAAAGGTCATGTAGTACCCGGGTCTAGTTCCGTGCCAGAATGCACTAGTCACGAATGTAAATAATGTGCTCTTGAAACCTGGTCTCTTTCCCTTCTTGGCGACTCTCAAGTAAACATAATTCTTCAACCACTTGTTTGTATTCATATTCCATGATTCCAAGCATGCATGGACATTCTGACCAGTTTCAAATGCCCATGGGTCAATGTTTTGTACTCTATTCCATCTAAATGAGTTAGTTTCTGCATCATACCCGTTATAACCAATTCCACACAAAATACAACTACCTTCCGCAACTTCCCAAATGGTATAGTACTTCAATCTGTGGACAAATCCCAACGCCCACAAGTAGAAGATTCTATAGAAGAATGAATGTTGCTGCACGAATTGGGAATCAAATACATAATCTAATGTAATATGCTTTCCTAAGAGTATCAACAAAGTAGCAAAGAAAATTCCTAAGGAAAATTTACCGAATGCCTGCCATCCACTCTTTGGAATCTTACGTTTCACGGTACGACCAGGCCTCTTGGAGTCAGGTACGTCATCGAACATGGTGGAGTGAATAAATTTATCATAATCTGCATAATCGAAACTAGGCCCAGTCAAGACGGATGCAAAGAAGAAGACGTACCCCAAGTAAGGTAATATGTTCGGATGCCTTCTGATCACTCTTGATTTGTTAAATTCTGTCAATTGATCCTTTGGTCGTCTACCGTCGTAGACATTCCAACCAAAGGAAGTCAACTTAATGATAAGAACCATGTGCGCTCCAGTGATATCAATCTTGGAATTGTCCATTTCAACAAAGAACTGAGTATGCAAGTGACTAATACATAAATGGGACATCAAAAAGACAAAGTTGAACCATGGCATCGCTGACGTACGAACATATCTAGTAATGAAGTAGCAACCCAAAGCGGAAATCAAAAGAGTTTGAATCCCACTGTAGAGGTTCAAGATTCCAAAGACATAGAAAGATGATACCAGCACTACGTAAAAATTCTTCAAAGTATAGTTAACGTCTGGCAATCTTTTAAAGATTACTGCAAAGGGGTACGACAAAAGTGAGCACACAACAATCCTGATACTAGCCTCATCAACCGGCGTATTCTCCTTAAGGAAAGAAATTCCATCTTCAATAAAGTGGATTCCCATTTTTCAATTAAATTTATGTCAGCTCCTAATGACCTACGGAATTGAATTAGAGTAAATAGAATTGAATCGAATTGACCTGAATTGAACTATTGAATAACCTTTCTAAAGGATTATTGCTCTTTGATTTATTTTCTTATGGTGCCTCGTAGTGCCTTTACTGTGCGCACTGTATGCACTACCACTATACGGGGACATGTACAATACATACAGTTTAGGTAGAGCGAGACAAAGATCAAAGATTTCCTAATTAAGGTATAAATATGTAAGTTGATCTGTCAATGTCATTAGAGTCTAGTGGTAGCAGCCAAGAGACCTTTTACTTACATGGATATATTTCATTATTCTTTCTTTAAGTATTGGCTTTCTATGTGTCGTACTTAACGTGCTTTGGGAAGATTAACATACTCATACTCTTTCTATACTTCTCTCTATTGCCTTGCCAGAACCATCTTGTACCCCCCTTCTAATGCTTGACTGATAACTTCATTTTTGAAGGGAATGACATTTAATACATATGCTAGATCATTCCATTGGCTTTCTTCTTGAGACTTATTCAACCTGACGAGTAACTTCTCTGCCAATTGTTTTTGGTGCTTCTCCTTCTCGATAAACCCAACTAAGAATTTGATGATTCTTTTCATAGAATCCTTAGACAAGCTTTCATCGTTGGATAATCCACTAAAGATGTCAATGAATCCGTTATAGATCGCGTTATCCTTAGTAGCCAACTCAGTGAAGAATAATCTACACATATCACTGATTCCTTGATCGGGGTTTTCCAAACATTTAGCCATAGAAGATAATTGTCCCTTAACTTTAACTTGTCCGGCAAGAATTAAAAATGTTACTGTCATTAAGCATGTTCTTTGCACCATGATGTTTTCATCTGCAAGTCTTCGGTACAAGAAATCGGTATTCTCGTCAACTAAATTATTGAAACAAACTGCCATGTCACCGAGTCCTAAGACACAATTACATCTAATAATTGGATCCGGAGACTTTTCCATGATAGTGATAAGCAATGGCAAATTTTCTTCACAATACTTGGAAGAAACACACATTAACTTCGCCAAACATAAGGTTGCAGATCTCTGTAACGATTCATTGTCATATATTTTATTGTTGGAACATATCTCCTTAACAAGTGGTCCAAACTTGGATAGCAAAGCATCCTCACCATAGAGTAATTGACGCTCCTTGATATAAATGACTGCATCCGTAAAGTCATCTTCAGAAGTTCCACCAATCATCTCCAATTCCCCAGCATCCTCATCTTCAACCTTTCCAGCTCCTGACTCATCGTTTGCTTTCTTTTTACTTTCTGAATCATGCTTCTTCTTCTTGAATTGACCTTCTAGCTTTTCCAAGTAGACTATCGTCTTGATCGCTATATGGCCAACGATGAACAACAACTGTGAAAGTGAAATGACCTTGGATTGGCCATCTATTTCTTCTGATTGGAAAACTAATTTAGCTTTCTCACGAATGATCTCTGATCCAACTTCATCTGGCTTACTTGAAACTTGATATATTGCTCCAATAGCTTGTTCAGCAATACTGTACCATTCAGAATTTTCACTATATTTCAATAAAGTAGATTTTAACTTTTCAACCGACTCATCTTCTCTCGCAATTCTTAATGAGGTATCATTGCTGTTACTAGGAATCACTCTCTGCATAGCGATACAGGTGTACTTAGCTAGAACAGGGTCTTTACTGCCTCTTGCACTTAAGCCAACATTCAATAATGAATCAAGTCCTTTGATGATGATTCCATTGTCTGCAAGTGCCAACATTCCCAAGATAATAATAGCACCACGGCATCTTCTTCGAGACGTTTCAATATCACTGTCTTCAAAATTGTAAATTTGCCACAAAACTTGAATAATGTCATCAGGTATCAAACTGTTGTCGTACATAAGACAGAGTAGTTTTTCTAATGAAGCCAAATCTGCAACAGAAGCAGAATAAGTCAATTCAATTAAGTTCTTGGCAATATAAGCAGCTTGCTCAACTCTAGAGTTTGTAGATGGAGCTGTAAGAAATAATGATTGGTAACAGTCTATTAAATGTGCAGCAATTGATTTCCCTTCATCCGATGAGCCTTTCATCCACACCAAATGGAGCATTTTACGAATACCTTCACTAGAGCCTTGTATATCATAAGCATCTGAGAGTACCAAGAAGTCCATGGATTCGAGAACTTCATTTCTATTTCTTGAAAATAAAAGTTGTGAAACGACAACAACTCCTTCTTCGATTTCATCAATAAATGCAAGTGCATCATGATAATATTTGATGGTGAGTTGTAATTTGTAATAAGCATTGACCTGCTCAGGAGACAATGTAGCTAAATCCACGCCTGACTCATATTCTACTCCATTTTCGTTCTCCTCATCATCTTCGTTGTTGTCTTCCTTGTCATTGTCATCTTCGATTTGTTCCTCATTTTCATTTTCGTCCACCTCCATCTTAACATTTTGCTTTTCGACATCATCCTCATCTTCTTGTCCCTCATGGATCGTATCCAAATCCATATCATCATCTACATCCTTTTCATTCAGGTCATCCTCATTCTGTAGATCCTTTTTTCTTTGAGGAAACATACTTTCCAATTCGGACTTACTTTCTTCTAATCTATTTCTCCACACTTTAGAAGATAACTGAGTTCCATGGATAGTCGCAAATGGGTGAGTAAGAACAATTTTTGAAAGCAACTTAATGCTATTTCTTCTAACTAATGTGCTCTTGTCATTCAATGACCTGACTGATAATTTTATCATCTTTTGTCTGCTAGACATGAGCTTGTCAGGCAAGCTGCACAATTTGGTCAATGCTTGGATTGCTTTAGTTCTAACGTACGGATTTTGATCAAGAAATCTTTCTTCTAGTAACTCTAGTAATCCATCGACTTGCAGAACTCCGTTATTAGCACTATGATGTTCAGAGTCAGTCTGATCTTCTCCAGACACCTCATTTTTCAAAATATCAACAACAATGTTCCCACAAGTCTCCACCACAGAGCATCTCAAAGTCATGTTACTATTATCCAATAATAACGCTACAGATGACATCTGCTTTAAGATCAACCTTGGCAGTAACTCAGATAATTTAATTAAAAATTCAGATATGGATTTAGGTCCATTGCTATCGTTAGAGTTGAACTCAATTTGACTGATTTCTCTCAAAACTTCCTCCGTAAGCATTATGTAATCGTACAGTTTGGACAATGTATGTAAGAGTTCCGCCATATAGTTGGGCAAATGAAGATAGTACGTCAAGGATTGCAAGATCAAATTTTGCACTGACCCAGCTTGTCCATGAAACTTCACTGCCATAGAAATGTTCTTAAACATGTACATCTTAATTCCTGCTTGCTTCATCCTTTCTGGTATTTCCATCAAATTGAATATAGGTCGTATAAAGACGTCTAGAAATAAATCTCTTTCTGGAGTCGTTATGAAGATTTTGTTCAATTCTATTTTCAAAACGTTGGACACTGCGTCGAGGCAGTTCTCCACTTGGATACAATTGGCCTTCCAGGCAGCAGTGCTTTGAGCAGAGTTTCTGGAGTTTCTACTGTTGGCAGTATAGTCTTCTTTACCAAGAAATATGAGTAAAACATACATAAGATAGCCGTATCTCTCTAATGATTTTTTCAATGTTTCAACCTGACTCGTATAATCTCCACTTTCGATGGTAGAAAGGCACACATGGTTGATACTGTTAAAAGATGACGTTACCAAATACACCAACTGTTTTTGAAATTTAGCCTCAAGCAGCTTATAACTCTGAGTGAGATCAACCACTTCCTCGAATATTTCATGATTATAATATATAGACTCTGGGTTATTTGCTAATGTTTCTGTGACGCTTTCAAGCTTGGATTCCACATTGGATAAATCTGATCCATAATCTTTTTCTGCCTCAAAGGAATTGAAGTACGTCAGTAAGTTAAAATCCATCTTAATCTCGAGTAAGTCTGTGTTAGCAAAGGTGACTCTTACAGCACAAAATCCTCTGTATCACTCCTTTCTATTACGTTATCTGGATGAAGAGAACTCCACTGTTAAACGCGCTTCATCTTCTCTTGTTGCTTGGGATGTTTATTTGTTTACACTTTCCTGCATGTGGTGTTTTGTGGCAGATCACAATGATCTGCACCAAAGCAGCTGAGCTTACGTAATGATAGTGATCACCTAGGTCTTCCCAGTGTGATTCATGTTCTCCGGTTATTATAGCTTGGCTACTTTTACGTTACAGCTTGGCTAACTACTTTGCAGAAATGTTATATTATAAAATACATAGAAAAGGCAATGAGCTCATATTCTTAATTTGTTCAATTGGCAAATGTAATGGTGCTTGTCGGATTGAACGTAAGCTAAATATTTTTTTTGTTTACATTTTTACATTCATTTCCCAATTGGTTATTTTCTTCTTTCTTTCTTTCATTTCATTTCATCAATCCTTAAGCTTCGCATACCCCTTTATTAATGCCTTATCCACTCCCATTCTCTCATCTTCCAAAGCTCCTAGCAAATCCTTCATCGTAACAGACTTACCTGTTCTGATCTCCCTGTATCTCAAACCATTGTCACCTCTAATGGCTATGATGGAACTTTGCTTAGTCTTGCCTTCAGATTCTCCTCCATTCCCACTGTCGTCTCCTGCACTTGCTCCAGCACCACTGCTACCAAGTCCTCCGCCAGATGGACCAGCTGTCATCCACGAATATTTCTTCCTACCAGTCATGGTCATCATGGTAGCAGTTGCATTGGCTGCTCTGTGTAAAGTCTCTTCAGCACCAGCCTTTCCGTTCTCAGATTCACCTGTGGATCCATTTTCTAAGCCTAATGCAATACGCTTTTGAACTCTCTTTTCTTCTTGCTCCTTTTGTCTTGCAGCCATGTTACGGAGTTCTCGTGATATTTCAGACCGTTGAGTAGAGGGCGTAGTGCTGTTGTTGCCTCTCTTATTGCTGCCTTTACCTTCTATCAAAGTAGGGATACCCCTTCGTCTGTGGCGTGACAAAATGATAGTCTTTGTAGATAACGTGGATATCCAGTTTTCACATGCTGCAGACATCAATTCTAATAATTCTCCGTCCTGTAAGAAGTTCTGCTGTACTCCGTTATCTCTTGCTGCCTTCTGCATAAATGAAGCTAGATGGTAGGGGTTCAAGAAGGGCGATTGACGTTGTGCTTGCTGCTGCTTCTGCTTAAGCAAAAGCTGCTGTTGAGTAGTATACACTTTGTTCCTATGAGCGTGTTGTTGCATCAATAACTCTTCTTCTTGTTGGATGTCAACTCCTGCCGCTGCTAATGCATCATTAAGCTTAGTTGGGTCATCGGTATGAAGCTGGGATGATTTAGGGCCCCCGACAGTGTTGTTGTTGTTAAGAGATGAGGAAGGCTTGATTATACCAGGATTAGAAAGAACATTACCTGCACCTGTTGGATTAATGGTAGTTGACCCATATGGCGCAGAAATATTGCCGCTGGTTGTTGCTGGAAGAGCTGGCGCTGCTGAGCTGGGCCCAAAATTATTTGGGCTTGATCTATCAATATTTGTCGTATTTAAGCTTTGAACGCCCTGAGCCTGTTGAGCTACAGTATTCACTCTATTAATAGGAGGAGCTGTTTTGGCATTGTATATCAACGGTCTGGTACCACCAGGCGCAGTATTATTATTATTAATATTATTATTATTGTTGATGTTGTTGTTGTTGTTGTTGTTGGTGTTGTTGTTGTTAATGCTACTGTTATTCTTACCGTTTTTGTACACAGCAGGAGGGGTCGAAGTTTTAGCTCCTCCAACATTCACGCTACTATTACTACGGTTAATGTTAGCAGATGCGAGGTTCGTTGAGCTGTTCGTCGTACTGACAGGAGTACTGCGATGTGATATAGGAACTGCAGTTCCTGCACTAACATTGTTTATTCCTCCATTCCCCGTGTATATATTTAAGTTTTGAGGTGTTTGTTGTACTTTCGATGCTGTCTGCGGCGCTGACGAGCTTGTGAAGCTCTTATTAATATTTACTTCAGGCGTGGAGCCCTTTGAGTTTGTGTAGGCATTTGAGCTTCTATTGGTTCCAGCGGAGTCGTTACCAGTCGTATGCTGTTGTTGCTGCTGCTGCGGTATGTATTCATTAGAAGGTCCAACTGAGGCACCTCTAGATGGGATTGCCGATGGAATCTGCGAGGGAATACCTGAGCCCACGCCAGAAGATGGCATCGCGGACTGTGCTCCGGATGGAACCCCTGAAGGAGCACCAGAGGCGTAATCAGAAGCTACGCTTTCATCTGCTCCTGTATGAGGAGTACCAAATGTGCTATCATTTAGGAAATCAGTCAGAAGGTTATCAAAGTTAAAGTTGAGGGCATCAGGATTGGAATTAATATCAATTCCAGGCACATTGTCATTCAAAATGTCATCCAATTGATCGTTGTTCAACTGGAAGTCGCCAAAATTAGTATTGTCGTTTGTATTCGCATCAGATGATAATTTCTGCCTTTTAGAATCCGACCCATCTTCATCGTTTGATCCGCGCAATTGATTGCCGCTGTCCGACATCTCTAACTCTAAACAGTACTTATATTACTGTTTGTGGCCAGATAAAGTGAACCTATAAGCAAGCAACCTGTGGTGATTTGTATCCGCACTCTCTCGAACTTCAGAAACGAAAAATGCACCAAAAAAAAAAAAAAAAAAAAAAAACACTACTACCATTTAGAGGTAGTGTGAGGGATAAGAAAGTGCAGCCCAGTGGTTGGTGTTTGGATTGGACTAGGAGATATACTGGTTGAAACAGAGGTAAATGAACTCCATTGAGTGACTGGACCTCGGGAATGTTATTATTACAGCTTTCTCTCACGCATGCTGGTAATTTTCACTGAATTTGCGCCAATTTTAACGGGGATACTGTTACCCACTGTCTCTTACTTAGCTCTCAATCTACTCTCTATAGAACTTCCGTATGCACTCTCACAGTAGTTTCGCTCACTAGCTTGGCTCACAGATAGAGCACACCTTGTATGCACTCCGCGATGAAGGCTGCTTGGCTGCCTGAAAAAAAATATGCTTACCATAGATGAGATGAGCTAGCTAGAATAGATCTAAGTATATACTTTCCAATAAGTGGTATTATTTGATCTGGTGGACTGCGTCTTTCTCAACATGTCATCTAAATCAAGCATAACAACCTTTGAAGGGCATAGAAACCTCAGAATACGTCTTATCCTAGCCACTTTAGCCGGGAAGCCCATTAAGATTGTCAAAATCAGATCAGATGACATGAACCCAGGGTTGAAGGACTACGAAGTCTCGTTCCTTAGACTTTTAGAATCTGTAACCAATGGCTCTCAAATTGAAATCTCATACACTGGTACGACCATTATTTATAGACCTGGTATCGTCATAGGGGGAGAACTCACTCATAACTGCCCACCTTCCAAGCCAGTTGGTTACTTCATAGAGCCCATGTTATACTTGGCACCATTTTCGAAGAAAAAGTTTTCAATTGTTTTCAAAGGTCTTACAGCATTATCAGGAAATGATGCTGGTGTAGAAGCAATCAAATGGGGATTGTTGCCGATAATGGAAAAATTCGGAGTAAGAGAAGTATCTCTCCACATATTGAAAAGAGGATCTCCTCCATTAGGTGGGGGTGAAGTTCACCTCTTATGTAATTCCTTGATTGCAAACCCATTGACTTTACATGCCACAGAAACTCCCAAATTCTCTGCCATAAGAGGTGTGGCATACTGTACTCGTGTCTCACCTTCAACAGTCAATAGAATGATTGACTCTGCCAGGGATGTGTTGAGGCCCTCTGGAGTTGAGGTTAATATTACAGCAGATGTTTGGAGAGGTGAAAACTCTGGAAAATCTCCAGGTTTTGGTGTTACGCTTGTAGCTGAACTGAAAAAGGGCTGGAGAGTGCTTGCAGAGGGCGTTGGCTCTGCGGGTTCGTTGCCTGAAGAATTGGGAGAGAAGGTTGCCTTACAACTTTTGCATGAACTCTCCAATAGTTCTGTTGTAGGTCGTAATCAAATCCTTATGTGTTTGTCTTATATGGTGATTGGAAAAGAAGATATTGGAAGATTGAAGTTGCACAAATCTCAAATCGATGAGAACTTTATTTGGTGGTTAAGGGATATCCGTGCTATCTTTGGCACTGAAGTATACCTTAAGGATTTGGCAGAAGAACCGATACCTGAAGATGAAGAGTATATGATGGCTTCCATCAAGGGTATTGGTTTCACAAGTGCATCTAAGAAAATTGTATAATAGTTTAAATGAAAAATCATATAGAAGAAATAAAGATGAAAATCTAATTTATTTTGCTTTACTCTATTTTATGTAATCCTATAAAGAGCTTTTCATTACCAGAACGAACACCAACCAATATAATGTTGGCACAAATTTTCAACACTTGTAGCTTGTTGAATTAACTTATCAACTTGAGTGGGTACATCGAGTCCCTTTAGCCTCTTAATATCATTACCAGTCAATTTATCAGTGATTCTCTTCAAAACTAAAGCTGCCCTTGCATTTCTTATCTCTAATTCATTTTGTCTTGTAAGTCTTGCTGCTTCTTGCGCGTCAATTTGACCATTTCTCAACAATTCAACAATATTGACTTGAGGAACTCTAATTCCTGTGGCCTCTGCAACCGCTTTCGTTGGGAAGTCGAAACCCCAGTTGATCAACGGATCATAGGCAAAAGCTTCCAATATAGCCATTAAAGACTCTTTGTTATCTCTTAACACCCTCATTACATGTTCACAAGTTATACGGAATGAGCCTTCAATACCACTTACTTCCATTGCATAGTTAAGCATTCTAGTCAAACGGAATGGAACCTTTTCAGGATACTTTTCACGTAAAATCGCTGCTTCAAAACAATCACCAAAATCGATATGGACAACCTTACCTGTGATTCTATCAAGCATCAAATTGGAAGGATGTCTATCGCCTAGGCCAAGAATATATCCTACCATGGACATAACTGCCAACGACCTGGTGTAAGTGGTACGACGATCAAGCCATGACTCCGATGACTTAGACTTCAACCACAATACTTTGTACAAATCTTGTCCTCTTGTGTTGTCTAATGCTCCAGTGAAAACTTCGACCTTCTGTAAAAGCGTCAAGCTGTCATAGTCTGGAGCCATTTGAAGCATGATACGATGTTCAATGTTCAACAAAATTTTACGGCTCTCACGATATTCTTTGATAAGAACGTGGAAAGTATCACTATTAGGAACCCAACTTAAAAGGCCAACCTTTGGTGATAGCGGAATAGCATTAAATTGTTGAATATCTAAATGTCTCTTGAAGCATTCAGCATCATTGACCAATAATGTGTTCACTAAACCGAAAAGTTGCATGACTAAATTATCTTGTCTAATGTCTTCATGACCCTTCAACAAGTACTGGTACTCTTTACCATCACTACCACGGCAGCAGACCTTTCTGGGTCTTTGCTTTGACATAATGATACTTAGAGTAGGATCAAACTTAGATATTCTAATTATTGGTTTTCCAGCTTGATAAGTACCTGGAGCTGCCAATTCAAGATCGCGTATTTCTTCAAGTTTAGGAGAAACATATTGCAACTCTAAACTTTGAGATTGTTGTAATTGACGATGGATTCTTCGAGAAACATTGTAATATATATCCCATGCTTGGTTCAAGTTTGTAACATCTTTGGTACGTCTGTAATTCAAGATCCATTCATAAGCGTCTGAAAGTTCTCTACCAAATGCATTATTGAAGGTAGATTCTCTCATAGTCTCAGATCCATTCTGAATCATCTTATGTAATGGTTCTAAAACTTCAAACATCTTCTCCGTATTGTGTTCACCGAAGAATAACCTTGACGCATCTTCAAGACCTTCGTACCATTGTTCATGCCATAAGACCGCAACTCTAATCAATTCGTGACTCACAAGCTCTGCTTGATCCACTAATTCAGCGGAATGCAATCTCATTTTATCAATGATGGACATTGCGGCCTTTTGTCTCTTAACACTTTCAGAAGTCACAGCAACAGCTAATGGATACACCAATGCTTGAGGATGTGCTTTACCCAAATCAGTTAAAAGACCGAATAAAGATCTACTTACGACTTGATTTGGTTGGTGGATTCTAGAAATCAATTGAGGAATGACTTCCAACCAATTGTCAATTTTGACCATACTAAATCCTTCTGTCATAGCTTGAGCAACTTCAGCAATTCCTCCAAATTTAAACCATAAGGTAAGAAGTCTCAAGGTGTCCTGCAAAGAATTCGAATTCGACAACGTAATGGAGTGGAAGAAGCCCTTAACTGAAGGCACAACATGGCGTTGAACGGCTTCAATTGGAATGACATTTGCTGGCTGAATTTGAGTACTGCTTGGAGGTTGCAGGTCCTCTCCTTTAGTATCGGGAAGTGATTGAGAAGGTAATTGGCTTGGTGACGCATTCAGAGCTATTTGGGCATCCAATGCTGGTTGTGATTGAGAACGTTGAAGATCTTGTTTCTTCAATTTATCTTCTATCTCATCATTTGTTGGATTGGTGGTTCCAACCTTCATAGTTTCATTCTGTTCCATGATTTCACCACCAGTATCAGCAGCTGAATTGGTATTGCTCAGTGAAGTGAACAACGAGATGACCTCAAAATTAGCCAACGCCCAATTGTGCCATGCTTTGTACCATTTATCATCAAAATGTGTGGCCAAGAGATATGCACCTAAGATGATTTCTGATGTTTCCATTCTCCAATTACTGTTGAGAGCAATTTGCCACTCACCTTGTTTTAAAAAGCATCTTGAGAGTAATTTAGTGTATTCTTCAACGTGTTTTGGAATACCTGGCCCTTCGGAAGGTAAAGGTTGAGTAATAAGATCATTAGGATTCAATCCTAAATCTTGGGACATTCTAGTAGTAAAGTCAACCAAGTGCCTCAAAGCTTCCTTTTGTTGACCCTTGGCCCACATGTACTTTAATTGGGCATAAACAACTTGTGGAGGAGCCTTTGAAGGATTCTCAGGTGACCCTTCTTCCAAAAGGGAATTCAATGACTTCTCTGCAAGATTCAATCTACCAGATTTACGACACAAGTTTGCAAATTTAATCCACATATCCATATCTTGTTTTGGTTTAATAACAAGAGCCCTAACCTTGAGCATTCTCTGCCAAATATCAACATTTCTTTGGCAACCAAGTAACCTGGTATTCCATGTTTTCCTCATTACTACTCTCTTTTCAGAACCTTGAGGCAAACACTTATACTTGATGATTTCTTCCAATTCTGCCAACATTTGGACTCTGACAACCACACCGTAAGCTCTGTTGTAACTTTCACTTACCAAAGCAGTAATTTCAGTGACCAACAAATCTCTGGCTTTTAAGATATGATTCGAAGCATCTTCAAAATTATTACGATGTAAGCACAAAATAGCGTTAAAAAAAGCTTTGTCAGGAGATTCTGTTTTCATGACCTTAATACAAATATCCATTCTATCCCATTGACCTAATCCCCAAGCAGCAGCGGCAGCTAATGGTGCAACACTTCTCTTGATATCGCTTGAAGAATTATTCCACTTGCTTTGGGCTAACTCGGATAATTGCTCCCACTCTCCTAAAGCATGAAGACACCTCATCTTACCCATCGTAATCTCAATATTTTCAGGTTCTAATCTCTCTCTCTCATTGTAAGCTCTCAAAGCATCATCCCATCTCTGTAACTTTTCGTACCAAGTTTCTTTCAATTGAAGATCATGATGCATTTGAGCATGTTTTAAAATACCAACTGCGGCATCCGACTGTTGCAATTGATTGTTAATACTAATAAGAGACTCGATTGTAGGAGTAGTTGGTTCTTCATAGAATTCCAATTCTTTATAATGTAATGCCTTAGCGTAAGCGTGACAACGCTGAGCATATTGACCCAAAGTTGATATACTTATTGGCAATGATTTGTCATCATGTTCCATAAACTCAGCCAAGTTCAATAAAATTTGGTGAATTTCCGGTGGGTTATTTGGTGAAGATAATGCAATGCAGAACGCTTGAACTAATTCTTCTTGGTTCTGAGAGTATAATTCGTTCCAGCAACTTGCAAAACTGGCATTGAATAAATCTTTCGCTAATGGGTAGTAATCACTTGCCAAACCAGCGCATGATCTCATAGCATGTGAAGGAGATTGTTTTAGTAATTCCATACTTAATCTCCCAATCCACTCTTGCCAATCTTCCTTAGTTCTTCTTTGGCTGGAGTCCCAAGCAAGTTTCAAGGCAGTCTGATTAACAGGTAATTTTTTAGAGGGCATGTCAACATCTGGCATGTCAAAATTTATCATATGGGTATCGGAATCCTTATAGGGAGTAGACGTTGATGACGGTAATGGATCGCCACTTAATAGTTTATTTACAAGCATCTCAAAGTGAGGAGCATTAATGTGTCCACTGATCAATACCTTCTTGATAGCTGGAATGAATACTGTAAATTCAACTCCTAGAACAGTTAAAAGTGCCAGTAGAGTATTCATGCATGCAACTTTCAAATCCTCAATTGTGGATCCAGCACTAGATCCACTTCCGTTGCCGCCAGAAACGCCACCTACTCCACTCGAAGAAACGAGGGCGGTAGAAGTAGTGCCTGGAGTGTTTACTAATGATTGTAAATCATTATAACCCAGAGCTGTAGTACTCTGCAACACTCTCAACAATGGATGTATAATTCTTGAAATCATATCATTCAAAATTACGTTCTTCGACAATCTGCCAATCGCTTCGATGGAAGCTCTTCTCAAATGAATTGGACCAACTTCAAACATTCTCACAATAGATGGGACAACAATATGGACATATTCCTCAATATTGCTACCAAATATGACAAGCAGCCTCAAAACGTATATAGAGGATTCCCTCTTAGGTGATTTGTCATCTTCAAAGACGTTAAGTAGTGTAGATAAAACTTCAGGTAAATAGACCTTAAACTCTCCTTCTAATGCTCTTGAGATATTTTCAATTAAAGCAATTATAATGATTTGTATAGACTGCTGAGAATTGATATCAAAGAACTCTTTGATTACTTTGAATATTTCTCCTAAAAACGGTCTTATATGCTGCTTCACAATTAAGATCAAGCCACTCAATTGTTGGAAATAAAACTTTAAAATAGCCGGCTGACACGTATACATCACATTGATAATACCAGGAATAATCTGAGGCAAGAAAGAGACACATCTTAAACCTAAAGTTTGAAAGATATACATGATAGCTTGAATAACTTTATTGTGGTGATTGCTCAATGAAGGATCTTTCAATATTTTCATGAGGTTACTAATTGCAACTGTCGAGTAATATTCGTCATTAGAAGGAGACATTCCTTGCATCAAAAGAGCAACATCGATAGGAGGCGCGTTCTGTTCAGCAGGAATACTTTTAGAGTTCTGTTCAACCTCACGGTGTTTATAAGGATCTAAAGCACCTAATATACCTAATAATCTTACGGTTTCTCTTCTTATTTTAGGTGAAGTTTCCAGTTTCAAAATATTTACCAACATACCGAGTAACTGTGGATAATCAAGTAGTGGCTGAATCACATAGCCTGAAGATGATGCTAATTGTCCCAAAGTCTTTAAAGCCGCATCTCTCTTGTATGATGAACTCTGATCTTGAAAAGTATCTAAAATCAATGGCATAAGATCTGCAATATACGGCTTTAAATCTTCTCCTCCAACTACAGCTAGTTCCCCAAGACAGTTAATCGCACTTGACGCGACTGCTGAGCTGGTGAGATCCTTAGCTTTGGGTAATAACGCTTCAACAATCGGTTTAACGTATGGTCTTGTCAATTCTTTTGAATTTGAGATCAACAATGAGAGTAGTACTGCGCTTTCTTCCTTTTTACGACTAGCAGTTGAATAGTCTAACCTTGATAACAACTGGATCAATGTTTTCCTCAACGACGGGACGATGTATGCCGGGTTTATCGAAGACAATCTACCTAATATTTTGATTGTGACCTTTCTAATGCTAAATACTTCATCGTTTAAAGCGATAAATAACAACCTCACATTGGTTGCTTGTGAGAGTTGAGGGTCAAAGCTGCCACTTGATTTTTCTCCAAGACATTGCAATACTTCTAGCCTTATCTCAGGTATAGGGTCCGTAATCGCCAACGATAATAATTTATCCAATACTTCATTTACTGCACTTAAAGCATAGACACTTGTTTGATGACATATAGGGTCTTTGACAAATATTTCACAGGAAGTAATAGCAGCTACTTGTCTCACTTGCGGGTTGTTATGTTCAAGATATGATATTGTGCAATATCTCACAAATTCATTCAATTGATAGTTTTCAAATTTGAAAAAAGCCAACATTTCCAATGCCTTTATGAGAATTCCACTATCATAAAAATCATAGTTTTCCAAATTGGATAAGATATTGTTTATGCTTAATCCTGTATCCCTAGTGATCATAATCAATCTATAATCTTTGGCAAGAGGTATATTCATTCTAATACTTCCGTATGGAGACCCAGGAGGTTGGAATACTTTACCTGAAAGAACCAAACTTAACAAATTTAATAGTTTCATATTAATCAATGCAGTTAATGTAGGGATATTGATTATTAAAGTCTGCAATACATTCTGCATGTGGTGGGAGAGAGAACAGTTGCTAAACATCATATCTAAAATATCCCTCTGTAAATGCTTGGTTAAAGCAGGTCCAACGGCAATAGATAATTTGCCAATACAATCGAAAATGGCAGGCTCTGTTTCCTTTCTTGATGATTTGTACTTTGTAGAGCCTGTAACCGTAGATGCAAGAGCTGTCAAAGCAGACGACCCTAGTGAGGTAGAACCTCCGCCTGAATTGAGATGTATGTTACCTGTAACATTCACATTGTTATTGTTTAACATGTTACTATTGGATCCGGTTATACCCTTGTTATTAACAGTATTGGCAATAATATTGGAATCACTGGATGAGATCGAGCCCTTACCATTCATATTATTTCCATTATTATCATCATTGATAGAGTTCCCATTTGGATTTCCACCATTAATAGCGTTATTATTAGAACTTCCTCCAGCCCCGCCGGTGACGGCATTAACTATGATCAGTTGTACACTAGAGTTTCCGGGATATGACAAGCCGTCTCTGATATTATCCAAGATGGCATCAAGGTATGTCGCAATTTGATTCCCCACTTCCAAAGAAATTAAACCGATACTCCTGAAGATTGCAGACTTATCAGAATTTGCAGACTCACCATGATTATTCTTATATTTTTTTAATTGTGATAAATAGTGAACCAATGTTCTATGCAAATAATTATCAACAAATAGAACAGGATTTACTCGGCAAAGCAATGGGAATATGTCGGTCAATGCCTGTCTTATAACTGAAAGCTTGTGGTTTTTATACAAGATAGTACTCTCGAAGATTAACTCGAATTTGGCCTGAATGTAAGGATCCTCATGGTACTTTACAAGTTCTCTATAAACCAATAGAGAGCCATGGATGGCCTCACTTGATTGCAATCCTGATGTAGTCGCAGTTATAAGATTATATGCCGTGTTGGCAGCAATGCCGAAGGGTGTGGAATCATCGTACCCAGTGATCTCTTCAGCCTGGTTTGCCTGATGCTGAGATAATTGTTTTTCGTTTAATACTTTACTAGCCAGGTCTATCAAATTCTTGATCCAGAACCTTCTTGAATCGACATCACGATCGTAGATGATAGCCATACATCTCTGAAGAGCCACCGCTGCATCGGTTCGGATTATGAGCTTATGGTCTCTCAAGGGTATCCACAAATGCTCCAATATTTGATTAATAAAGGGATACAACAAGGTGGGGGCATTATCTGCCAACGCCGTTATGATGAGAATGGCGGCGTGACGTCTATTTTCATGTTGCCTAGTATCACTCTGTAACCATTCAATGGCTCTTTTTGCTTCAAAATCGACAAAGTCAACAGTTAGTGTCCCCCCTGGAGTGGCTAATTTCCCCAACGTCTTAGTAGCCTGCTTCATAATTGTCAAATCATTCGAGACAATCAAAGTACCCAAATAGTTGGAGAACCTGGCAGTCTTGGTCGCATTTTCTTCTCCAACACCCGAATCAAAGTCAATCAACGAGTTTAATGCCGCAATACCTCCCAATTTTTCTGACAGATCTGAGGAATGCAATAACTCAAAGATTTTCTTGTTAATATCGTTATTATATCTATTGAATTGTTCTGATGAGTAATCTCTCGCAATGGAGGCTAGGTAATTTCTTAGTTCGAATGCATATCGATTCCTTTCCTCTTCCTTATTGGACCGCAAACCATTAAAGATTTGGGGCAACGCCATGCCGTCTACAATTTGCACTTGCGTGGCAGTAGACATGTCAATTGAAGAAGATATACTTTGTTAGGTGCTACTACCATTCAATAGCCTCTTGAAACTGACTGACCGGCTTCTTTGGCTTTTTCCAATTGCGTGCAATGGAAATTTGCTTATCATTTTGACTTTTAGAATTTGAGTGGTGCACACCCATTGGGAAATCGAGGAATGTGGTGGAGAGGGTGTATGGGAAGGAAGATCACGATCCTCTGTGTGATCTTTATATTATGATCTTTATAGTCTTCTGGGATTCACCCAGTTATACTGCCTCTTACAACTCTTACACTCATTCATATAAACTTATTTATTTTCATTTTCTTTCGTCTTCTAATTGTATACCTAGTAGCTTTTTTTGGACATTTTTATAGTGAGCTACTTTCTTTTGCTATTACTTGAATAAGGAAAAGTTTCTAACCAAGTTTGGACCTTCTTCATCATATTGCTGCTTGGTGTATGAATAACTCTTGAACTCGGAAGTTTGAGCCAATAAAGAACCACCAAACCAAACCGCGTTCCTTTGTCTACTGTGTGAAATAACTTGCACATCAACACCACTGCTTTTGACACCTCCGCTTAATCTTTCACTTAACTCGATTCTTTCCTTCACCAAGGTCTTCAAGTCTCTCTGCAACCTTCTATCGAAGTCCTTAAACATAGTACTACCACCTGACAAGACAATGTTCTTGTATAATTTCTTCCTTACATCAATAGGCGAGGCTTGTATAACTTGATCTACAACAGTTGGTAATGGGGTCAAGAAGTCCAGTGAACAGATCTCTGGGTTGAAGAAAATTTCTGGAGCCAAGAATCTTTCGTATCCAACATCAACTACTGTCTTTGATCTGTTCTTATCAGCGTACTCAACCATGTACTGTGCAAATTTTTCTTGTGGATATTGATCAAACTTGTTAAACTCTTTGACGATATCTGGGCAAACATAACAGAATTGCTGCTTGATCTTTTCAGCGGTTTGCAACGAAGTGTCCAATTCACCTCTATCTCTCAAGAATGATTGAATGAAGAGAGTGATATCTCTACCTGCCAATGGGATGTTCTTAATAGCCCCACCAATAACGTAACCTTCCGCGACTGGGATAACGTGCGTTACACCGTCACCAGAGTCGATAACAGTACCGGTCAACGATCTGTCGGAAACCTTTGAAGACGTCCAAGAAGCGGCCAAAGCCAACACAGCTTGAACGGCAATGTATAAACCAGCACAGTTGAAACTTTCAAACATAATTTCGGCAACCAGTTCTCTGTTTTCTGGGGGGTTCAATGGTGGTTCAGTCAATAAGAAATAATGATCTTCAGGCTCACATCTCAAGTACTTGAATATAGAGCTCTCCCAGAATCTCTCCATGTGATCCCAATTTTCAATCTGACCGTGTCTTATTGGGTATGACAAGTTATAGTTAGGTCCATTGGCAGCAGCTAAGGCTTCGTTACCAATGAAAAAATCCAAATCTTCCAATCCTCTCTTGGAAGATAAGAAGGAGCCAGTGGACTTTGCATTGTTACCGGATGACTTGGACGACGATGCTGACAACGTCGAAATGGCGGTAGGAAATACAAACGAGGGTGAATCGTTACCGGCGAATCCCAATTTGGTCAATCCGGTACCATTGTCCATCACCACTGCTGGTGTTCCCATAGAAGCCATTCTGAATTTGAACTTGAATTTGAAATGAAGATGAAACGGAAAACAAAAATACTCGAAATACCTACTTTTTTGCAAATTTATTCAATTGGACTCTTGTCTATCGACGAATTGAATCAATTTCCTGATGGATCAATACAAAAATAGAATAGTACAACCTAAACTGTGTCCTGAAGCAGTGCCAGCTTTCACTTTGCTGACTTGACTTCGGCTCAGTGATAGAGGCATTTTTGGGAGGGATAAACGGTAGGGGCGCGACTTTCGAAAAATCGGCTGTGTGCAGGCTGTACTATCCAAGAGTCGAAAAAAAGGTTGCAGTTCTTAAGAAATGCCAAATGGCCCAGTTGCCTTTTGAGTGGAGCTTAAAGTAAGCAGTTGTAAGTAAAATATATGGGCTTGGTGACCTCGCTAGAAGATAAATAGTTACAGGGTGAAAAAATGGATTTGCCTTAAATTAAATATCTTTCTTATAACATATATACCTACGTACATACATCATTATCTATATACTATTTGTGAGATTGAGTTTGCTTTTTTTTTTTTGTCTTTTTCTTCACTTGGGGCTAGCTTGTGCATTGACCTGCCAACCTACTCTCCTAATACTCGTCCTTCCCGCTGATAATCACGTCATTAATCTTCAATATCATTCTGGTCAATTGTGTAGCCAATAACAATTGCTGCTTCTTACCAATCAATGGATCAATAACAAACAATTCCTTCATATCATTGGTTCCCTTTCCTAAACAATCAACACCCAAATTAGATGAATTTTCGTTCACTTGCTTAGCCTTTAATGAGGATAAGGTGTCAATTGGGTCTAAACCGGAGTTTTCTGCTAAAGTCATTGGGATCTTATCCAAAGCTTGAGAGAACGCTCTGAATGCATATTGATCAATACCCTTTTGCTTGTCAGCAGCATCGGAAACAGCCAATGAACAAGTCAACTCTGCTGCACCACCTCCATAGACTACTCTGTTATCTCTGATAAGATTCCTTACAACACATATAGAGTCATGTAATGCTCTGACACCTTCGTCTACAATCATTTGGTTGGATCCTCTAATAAAACAGGTTACAGCCTTTGTGTTTGAACATTCTTCAATGACAAGCATTCTGTCTCTGGTGGTACCAAATTCTAATTCACGAATGACACCAGCACGACCTAACTTTTCAGCAGCCAAGTCTTCGAATCTTGGTACAATTCTACCATTGGTAGCAATAGCCAATAATTCCAACTCAGAACCACCAACCCATCTGATGGCAGCTAAATCGTTACTTAATAACAAGTGATTTGCTTCATCGTCAAACCCCCACTGACATGCGACAACATTTGCTCCTGAATCCTTTACAGAATCAATCATTTCTTGGAACTTCTTTTGTTCATATTCTTGAAGGACTCTAAACTCTTCTACGGACGATATGTCCAACTTATGCTTGGTCTTTGGCTTAGGTGGCTCAAAGGGACATGTCAATATAGCGATCTTACAGTCTTCGATTCTCTTCTTCATCTGCGGATGAGAAAACTCTTTATCTAATATAACCCCTCTGATCAATTCAGAATTTTCTAATGATCCACCAACCTTACTTTCCATCTTGATCAATTCAAAATCAACATCTTTTCTTTCAAAGTCTGCTACTGCTAAAACGGCATCGACAGCCATCTGGGCAAACTGCAGGTGTGATTTACTTACAATCTTAGACCCCAAAGAAGTCTTGGCAGCCTTCAAAAGGTTGGAGTCGTTAGATTCATTCTTAACATCGATCTCATCACAGATTTTGTCCAATTGTTGACAGGCAATCTTACAAGCTTCGTCGAAACCGTTGGCAATCTTGATTGGATGGATACCTTTCTCGATTAACTCTAAAGCCTCATCCAATAAGGCAGATGCTAACACAACGACACCAGTAGTACCGTCACCAATTTCGTCATCTTGAGATTTAGACAATTCAACCAATAACTTGGCAATTTGATTATCCAAGTCCATAGACTGTAAAATGGTGGCACCATCATTGGTGATGGTTATTTCTCCATCTTGCAGAATTAAAATCTTATCTAAACCTCTTGGTCCCAAGGAAGTCTTGATAATAGAGGCAACCGATCTGGCAGCCAATATATGAGATTTGGTAGCTTCTAATCCATGCTTTCTAGTCTTCTTTCCTTGATCTCTGACAATAATGAATGGTCTTCCCATTTCATCTTGTGCCACGATAGCATTCGAAAGATCTGGCATCGGCATGCCTTGCATTCCTGGTTGAGCCATTATTTAAGGGTATATAATATATAATAACTTCGGAACTGAAGGAAAACTCACTCTTGCTGATGATCACCTTCTTCGCTTCTTACTCTTCTTTTCACTTTCAACCAACCGCCAAAATTGTCGATATTTTTTTTTTGCCTTTTCGCGTTGAAGAACACAAAGAGGTACTGGGGTCACGTGTCTAGAATAGGATGGAAGCGAAGTCTTGACAGTGAGCTATGGAAGCGAGAGAATGGTGCCTAAAGGGTAGAGAACGGTAGGTTGGATAACAGAGGCACCAAGTAAGAAGGCATTTACTCTAGTTTGTTTGAATTTTACTCCTTCTGACTGAGATTAGATTCAGAATCCTAGGAATACTTAGAAAAATCAGAGTGTACTTCCTTCGTGCGAGTGCTGATGAATTACCAGGAGGTTGTCTTTCTCGGCCTCAGCTGTTTAGCATAGTGCGATATTGAGCAGATGGTAAAGAACAGAGCAAAAAGTACAGAGCAGTCAGCCAGTTAGCTCACAGCCCGATCAAGCTCGATCTCCGGCACCCCGACCAAAGAATTTTCAATACTTGCCAAAAAGTCTAATAGCTGTTTCAACACTCTCTAGTTCACATCATCTCAGGCTAATTTTCATTCTTCACTCTTGATTTTTTATTTTATTTTTTCATTCGCTTTCCTCTGCAACTTCGGTGCTTATACCTCGAACTTATCTAAAAGATCAGTTCATCGGTTTTCCTGCATACGAATTTTTCACTTTTTTTGTTTCTTTTTCATTTTTTTTTTTTGTTAATTTTTTTTTTTTTTTCAACCACATCACCTTCTTCATTCCTATTCTCTTCACTCATAAACAATGTCCGACATTAACATCGATACTGCTTCCTTGGAGCAATTAAGAGATGTCTTAGTAAACAAAACCGGAGACGTTGCCTTGGCTATCAGATTTAGAGCACTTTTCAACTTGAAAAACATTGGTGCCGACTCCGCATCATCCACTGAAGACTCCCACAAGGCCATCGACTACATAGCTGAATCGTTTGCTGATGACTCTGAATTGTTGAAGCACGAAGTCGCCTATGTTTTGGGTCAAATCAAGAGCTTGTATGCCGCACCACACCTTAGAGCTGTGTTGGAGGACAACAACCAACAGGTGATGGTTAGGCACGAAGCAGCTGAAGCTATCGGTGCCATTGGTGACAAGGAATCTTTACCTATGTTGGAAGACTACTTCCAAAACGATCCACAAATTGAAATTAGACAAACCTGTGAATTGGCCATTGAAAGAATTAAGTGGGAACACTCGGAAAAGCCTAAGCAAGAGAACTTAAAAGAGTCTATGTACTCTTCAATTGACCCAGCTCCACCTTTGGCTCAAGAAGATGTGAAGATTGAAAAGTTGAAGAACATCTTGAACGATCAAGACAAGCCATTGTTTGAAAGATACAGAGCTATGTTTAGATTAAGAGAGTTAGGAACTGACGAAGCATGTTTGGCTCTTGCTAGTGGGTTCGAGGATCCATCTGCACTTTTCAAACATGAGATTGCATACGTTTTCGGACAATTGTGTAACCCAGTCACGGTTCCTTCTTTGATCAAGGTTCTTAAGAGTGAAGATGAAGCTGCCATGGTTAGACATGAAGCTGCTGAAGCCTTGGGATCAATTGCAACTGATGAATGTTTGCCTGTTTTGCAAAGTTTCTTGAACGACAAAGATGTAGTCGTTAGAGACTCGGCCGTAGTTGCATTGGATATGTATGAGTATGAAAACTCCACTGAAATGTGATACGTTACTGGAACCAGAAAATGTCTGAATGTAACAGTATGAAAAGTAATAATAATAAATGGGTCTAGAGGTTATAGTAAATGTATGTACATATTTATCACCTAGGGGTATTGTAAGTGAGAGAGAAGGGACTACTCATCAACGCAGTGTAATTTCGACTTTTATCTTATTCGGACTATTCTATTTAACTAATGTACAGTGTGTTTTTGAGTAGGAGGTGGGAGTTATGCTTAATTATTGGTTCTGAATCTGTATCCACAACCTGTGCAAGTATAAAAGACCGTAGCACCTTCATCGGCGGATCTAAGTTGTAAGGTATGATATTGCATTTCTTCGTTTCCACATTTTGGACATTTTTCCTTGATAGTAGCACCTTCTTCTAACTCATCTTGCTTCAAAGAAGTCTTAACAACAGATCTATTCATCCTTAACTTGGATGGAAAGGCATCTTCTGCAGACTGAGTGACAACCTTAAGATTGGAAAACGCAGATGCATCGTATGATGCAGAACATACTTTACACTCAATGGATTGTTTGGATCCTGTGGAGTCCAATAAGTTACCACAAGATGTACAGAAGATCAAAGAACCTACGGCTGACATTCTAGACCTAATAAGGATGGAGGAAACCGTTCTTTTATGTGAAGTAAGAAATTCAATTACCTTTTGATACAATTTTTTCAGTTCTTCATATGTATCTCATCGGTTTTATGTGCAGGATGTATATCACGTATCTCATGCGGGAAAAACACTACATATGATTGCAACATAGAGCAGGCTGATAGCTGGAGCCCGGCGAGACTACAAGTACAAAGCTTCAAGTCTCGATTTTTACGATGAAATGAGAACTTTCGTTTTCTCCTTTCTTATTGAAATAAGGTGTAAATTTTGTCTTACGCTCTTATTTCACTTTGTGTTCTTCACTTGTATTGAGCTTAAACTCTTCCTACGAGAAATTATTTACTTTGCAAAATTCGCAATGCGAAGAAAATATCAAAAAGTGAGCTTCTAGTTGGTGTTTCTGTCAGTATAGTGCTACCATAGAGTAGTAAAACCAGTAAAGTACGGCTCTTTATTGTGACATATCCATGTTCTCTGATAGCTGTGCGGCCCTCCAGATATTTTCATTTCAAATATAGAGAAAAGCGCTTCAAATACAATGAACACTCTTCTATCATATTTTTATTCGATTTACTTATGTATTATAGTGTATAAAGTATATAAATTTATGGATTTATTTCTTATCTCATTTATTCATTGGAAGGTGTATCATATATTGATTGGAACATGTTTCTTCTTTCTTCTTTCTAAAATAGAAGCACCTCCTAAGTTCAAGTCAAACAAATTGACATTGTTGTTGACGGTATTGTGTTGTTCTTGACGTTGTTGCTGCTGTTGCTTCTGAAATCTAGGTGCATGTCTTGGAACACTTGCCAAAATACGACCATCTTTATCTACTAGCTCTTCATTCCTTTCTTCTTCTTCCTCTTCTTCGACTAATTCTTGAATATCCTTAGAGCTGCCAAATCTATTTGATAACGCTGCTTCTTCTCCCATTCTATGTAAGGCAGCGGAAATATCGAAGGCATCTCTCAAGGCCACAGCTGCTGGTGAGTAAAGACCACTATTTATGTACTTCTTGGAGTATCTTGCTCCATTGGAAGAAGCCAAGGCTGCAATCTTGTTGTTCACAGGATGTCCATCTTGTGGAATAGGTTCCCTAGGAACGGCGGAACTTGGTGACACAACCTCATATTTAGGAGCAACGCCCAATTTCATCCATGGATCGTTCATAAATTCATCAATCGTGTATCTCTTCGTAGGGTCCACCGTTAATAACTTGGAAACACAGTTCTTGGCCAAGGGTGAAATTTCATCCCACCATGGAGATAAAAAGGTATATTCACCACGGGCAACCTTTTCAGTCAAAGATTCAATTCTTTCATCGTAAAATGGTGGGAAACCACACAATAAAGTATACAACACACATCCAATTGCCCACATATCAACTTCTTTGGAGTATTTTTCATCTCTAACAATTTCTGGAGCAGTGTAACCTACAGTACCACATGGTGTCTTGGTGTTTTGTTCCCAGATTTGCTTGGAAAGACCAAAATCTGCCAACTTCACTTGACCAATACCACCACCACCAACACCACTAGTGAATTCACCTTCGTCTTTCTTGGTGGCTGCATCGTCAGATTTTCTTAATTTGGCGATTGGATTCGAAGAGGGAATAAATTCGATCGGGACGTAAAGAATATTTTCAGGCTTGACATCTCTATGAACAATTCCAACTTCTTCATGCAAATACCTTATTGCCGAAGCGACCTGTTGTATTACATGCCTCGACAAGTCTTCACTTAAATAAGTATATTTCACAATAGCAGTAAATATTTCACCACCGATAGCCAACTCTTGCACGATGTAGTAATACTGTTCTGAATCGATAAATTCAATGAACTTTACAATGTTTTCATTGTTTAACTGTCTCATTATTGTTACCTCTTTCAATACTGACTGCTTCTGGGCCTGGTCCATTTGGAACTTTCTTAAGATCTTAATGGCAACCAATCCACCAGTGAGTCTGTTTTGTGCCTTATAGACCACTGAGAAGGCCCCTTCACCCATCTGTTCTAAGATGGTGTAATTATCTAATTTGGGGTACGACGTTTCCTTCTGTCTCATGATATTTTCCTGCTCAACGATCTGGGTAGCAGCGTCTTGGTACTTGTTGTTGGCATTAGCATTGACATTGACATTGGTGTTGGCATTAGTGTTGGTATTATTAGTATTATTATCATTATTATTAGTAGTACTAGCATTATAATTATTGTTGTTCTTATTACTGTTATCGGGGTAGTTCTGATTAATACTAGCTTGAATATTGTTGTAATCTTCTTGCGCATCTTCTGGAATCACCATCTCCTTTTCATACTGAACCGGAATGCTTGAAATTGAGTTGCTTTCCTCACTTATGTATGCCCCCAGATTATCGTATAAGTTAGAAGGTAAGTTGGACAAGTTCAGATAGTCCGTTGTCGTTTGATAGTTGTTGCCATTTCTCTCGATCAATGTTGGTGCACCTATATCCAAGGGCTTCTTTTTGAACTCATTGGCCTGCTTACCATGTCTGATGAAGGCCTTCAAGTTCTCAAACATGTTAACTGTTTATCTAGATGAGTTGGAATGTATGGTGTTGGGGTCTCTAATGAATGGGTGAGTGGGTAGAAATTAATTATCTGCAACGCGAGAAAGGAGCACTCTATAGAAGTCTATTTTTGCCTTGAATCGAACGAGAATTCTTTCTAAGTTGAAATGTGTGTCAAAAAACGTGTTGATATACTACCAGAAAATATAAATACTAATATCTACACCTCCCTTTTAGACAATCTTATCCTTATAATGTCTTGTCGGTTCTCTGTATTTTTTGTATTTTGTATTTTTCTTAGAAATCGAATTTTTACGGATAGGAATGCGAAAAGCAAATTAAACACAAAAAAACCCAAAGCGTAATGCACTTAGGTTGCTTGATTGTCCGCAGGAAGAGTAGCTAAGAAAATAAATTAGGCAGATGAAATTTAGAAGGGCCGAATGAAATGAGACAACAAGAGTGTAGAAGATGGGAAAGGTAGGCTTATTAATAAAGGCAGTAGGAGGGCAGTATGAGCACCAGAATCTACGGCCGAATTATGATCTTGTATTTTAAGATTTCAATCATGTTGTTGATGGTGTTCACTGAAGTCTTTCTCCGGTTGGTGCATGGGTTTCTTTTCTTTTCTTTTCTTGCTTTTCTTTTTATTTCTTTTCTCAGTTGACTTTAGCGCCTAATTTTGAAAAATTCGAGATTGCAGAGCTGCTGATGCGTGGATAAGCCGGTAACAAAAAGCAAACAAAGAGTGTCACCATTGCTAGCTGAAACAGGCAAGAGGGTCCCCCCAGTGGTAGGAGGAGCTTAAATGGAAATGGAAATGGAGAGGACAGGAAAATAAATTGTTAGATTGAGCTCAAGCTACTTAGATCATGCAAAAGTTTGCATCTGTATCTGCATCTGCGGAGCTATGGCCGAGTTATAGTTTGTTTGAGGTTAATGTTGTTATCACCTACCTCGTTAAGGGCTATGGCTATGTCATTGCACATCACCATTTAAGCTTAAAACGAAAATTATCCGAAAAAGCAGAAAAAAAAAAAAAAAAAATTATACGCTAAACACCAAAAAAAGCTGATCTGACTAATCAGAAAGTAGAAAGCTGAAAAAGTAACTGGTTAATTCCCTCTGAAATTGGTCAATCCGTGTTGCAATCGTCTTCCTTCATTTATCCTTCCATAACCCACACTCCTCGCACTCATCACCCCCTTACTCTGTTAGCAAGGTGACTTACTAACTTAGTGGTGCACATTAGTCAGAAAAGCCACACCTTAATTTCTATGCCTATGTCAATAGATACTGAACTAGCTACATTTTCGACATTACCGTTTCTTATTGTTTCCTGTTCACCACCCGTTATTGCGTAGCCCCTCCACTCTTTGAGGTACTTTTTGACTCGACTCTGGTTCCCTGGGCCCAAGATTGTCATGGGTAAGGCATCATGAATGCTGGGACTCTTCACGTGTCTCCTCGCAAACGAAAAGGAACTCCATTTTGCAAGGGTAACACAAAACCGGATCCAGGCAAGAATAGATTATGGCCATATGGCGAAATGTACAACGTTGAATCTCCCTCTTATCTTATCTTCTTTCTTCAATTACTATAGAACAGACGTAAGCCGCAATTAAGAAGATGCCTAAAGCTATTGTATTCACCGACTTCGACGGAACTGTAACCCTTCAGGATTCTAACGATTACCTTACTGAAAACCTTGGGTTTGGTAGACCGCGTCGTCTTGAAATCAACGACGATATCTTGGATGAAAAGATAACCTTCCGTGATGGATTCAGAGATATGTTAGAATCAATTCCTCTACCATTCCCAGAATGTATAGATTACCTCTTAAAGAATATTGACTTGGATCCGGGGTTTGTTCATTTTTACCAATGGTGTGAGAAACAAGGCATCCCTGTCGTTGTCGTTTCATCTGGTATGAAGCCAATTATCTACGCTTTATTGAAGGGCTTAGTTGGACAAGATGCAGTAGAGAACATTGAGATCATTTCCAATGAGGTTAAAATTGATGGAGATAAATGGGAAATTGTATTTAAAGACCCGGAGAGTGGATTTGGTCATGATAAATCAAAATCCATTAGGGAATATTTGGTGAAGCACAATTATTCACCGAACACCACCAATTTGCAAACTGATGGTAACCCAATTTTATTCTACTGCGGAGATGGAGTTTCAGATTTACTGGCTGCAAAGGAAACAAATCTTTTGTTTGCCAAACATGGTAAAGATTTAATCAAGTATTGTATTAGAGAAAACATTCCATATACCGAATTTGACAGTTTCAAAGATATTTTAGAGAAGGTGGTTAAGATTGTTGAAGCTGATGGGAAGAATATTGGTGAATTTCTTGAGAATTGAGTTTTCAATTGCAACAATGCAGCCCACAGCGCGCTCGCAGTGCAACGTTTCTTGCCTGCCCTGATGAAAAAAAAAAAATAAACTGCAAGGAACCGTTTGTATTTATTAGTTAGAAATAGATATATCTAAAAGTACCGCAAAAGTAGCTTAATGTAGCTGAATGTGGCTGAAAGTACCTAGAATTAGCTAGAATGGCCGGAACCCCCTATTTCTACCCTCTCAGCTTCATTGGTGGATTCTTATTCTACTACTCAAAATGCAGCTCCGCGGATTTTGATTAGTGGGTGCACAGCCTGCTGTGTTGCATTTCGAGCTACTGGAATTTCATCGCGGGAATATCTCAGCCACGCAGCACCCCAAGCTGCACACAGTAGATGAGCACAACCACAACGGTCGAAGGGGGAGAGTGTAAGTGAAGGTAGACTCAAAATATTTTGTTCCTTTAACCCTCGCCTACTGGAGTGCCAAGATCAAAATCTAGCTGAAATATCTCATCGCACTACGATACACTATTGTGATTTGCATTCATGAATTAGAACTCTTGGCAGCTCTTAAGCAAGGCTCTCAGCAAAATTAGTGGAACATAAAAAAAAAAAAAAAAAAAATTAGAATACACCTTAGTGGTACGTTCCCATGCATAGGATCAACACAGTAGAAATCGTCCTATTACTGCACTTGGGTTCCGAGCTTCCGTGATATCGCACATCGCTATATAAACTTGCACCTGTCCCAACACTTGACAGAAATACTAGCGCATCTTCGAGTTAAGATCACCAAGGCTGAAGACATTCTGCATACATAAAGAACTTTCAAGCGCTCCATTGAGAGTCACGTATACATCAAAAGATGAACCCCCCTCATCAGAGAAATAATAGAAGGTCTTCGACTTCCACTACATCCACGGTGGAGGCCCAAGTACCTTCAACATCTTCTTCGCTACATTCAAGATACTCCATTTCCCATTCGTCTACAAACATAAGTAATAGCTCGACTGCTACCCCAGTTACAAATGAGAGTACCAGTGCAGCAGTTACCCCATTTCAAAAAAAAGTAAATAGACTCAAAGAAATAATTTGCAAGTATTCTACCTTTATTGGCCCAGGTTTAATGGTGTCTGTCGCATATATGGATCCTGGTAATTATGCCACCGGTATCACTGCTGGTTCACTGAATAAGTACTCTTTACTTTTCTTCGTGTTACTTTCCAATATCATTGCAATTTTCCTTCAGTCACTCTGTGTGAAATTAGGGTCTGTCACGGGTTTCGATTTAGCAAGATGCTCTCGTGAATACTTACCTCGTAAGCTAAACTATGTCTTGTGGTTCCTTGCAGAATGTGCCATTATAGCTACCGATATTGCTGAAGTAATTGGGTCCGCCATTGCTCTTAATATCTTGATTAGGGTTCCCATTCCTGCTGGTGTTGTTTTAACAGTGGTAGATGTATTGTTTGTATTATTAGCTTACAGAAATGATACGTCATCGGCCAAATTCGTCAGATATTTCGAATATATAGTTGCGGTTTTAGTGTTAGGTGTATGCGTTTGTTTCGCAGTTGAGTTGGCCAACATCCAAACAGAAGGAATCAAAACCGTACGTGAAATTTTCAGAGGATTTGCTCCTTCAAAAGAGATGTTTGAAGGAAGTGGATTGACAATTGCAACTTCTATTATTGGATCCACTGTTATGATCCATTCATTATTCTTGGGATCTGGTATAGTTCAGCCAAGACTAAGAGAATACGATGTTGTTAACGGATATGTCAAACTTGACGAACTACATGACGATGATGAAACTCATAGTGATGACATTCATGAGGTTAATGGAGAGAAAAGTGAAATATCCGAAAGCCAGATCAAAGTCATTCAATTGGAAAAAGAAGCAAGGTTTTTCTACAATTCTTACAAGCCTTCTATCTATGCTATTGATTATTCATTGAAGTACTCAATTATTGAATTGGCTTTAACATTATTCACGGTTGCCATTTTTGTTAATGCAGCAATCTTGATTGTAGCAGGTTCCACATTGTACGGTACCGAGGAAGCAGTTGATGCTGATTTGTACACCATCCACAGTTTATTGTCCAGTACATTGGCACCTGTGGTAGGTACTGTTTTCATGTTGGCATTGCTCTTCAGTGGTCAGTCTGCTGGTATTGTCTGCACTATTGCGGGACAAATTGTAAGTGAAGGCCACATCAATTGGACTTGTAAACCATGGATTCGTAGGCTTGCTACCAGAGCAATTTCAATCATCCCGTGCTTAATCATATCATTGTCTATTGGTAGAAATGGGTTGAACGCTGCATTGAATATTTCCCAAGTGGTTATATCGATCTTATTGCCCCCATTGACTGCCCCATTGATTTATTTTACATGCAAAAAATCCATCATGAGAGTGGAATTGCCCGAGGAAGAAGGGGATAATGAAGATGGTGCCTGTGTCGAGGAAGACGGGAAAAGGTATAAGTACATGAATAATAACTGGATCACCACAGGTTTTTTGGTATTGATCTGGTTATTTATCTCCACCTTAAACGTCTACGCCATAGTTGATTTAGCAAGGAATGGGTATTAGAAAAGCAGAGGGGTGGAAACGCAGAATTGAAGCAAATTGAAGCTGTGCGAGCGAGCTTTACATATATATACAATAGAATTACCCGAAGAGCGATAGAAAGCTATTCTAGGTTAATACACGATAAAACTGGTACCATTCAGACACAATAGAAATACATTAAATTCGATATTAAATTATTTTTTGCTTAATACCCTATAATTGGTTTGCCATATAGGGACTTAGCTATCAGTAGTGTGTACTTCTTTAGCACCCAAAACTATCGCCTACTATATCCAGCAGATCACGTGGCCCTTACTTGAACAAGGAAATTGTGGGGTGGGTGCAACCCTCTGCCTCTAGCTGGGGCTGCCTGTGAGCCATAGAATTTTTTATGTGCCATTATGTACAGCAAGCACGGTAGCAGCATAATACACCACTGCATCGGGTTGGCAAGACACAGTTCCACCAAGAAGTTGGAATTTATGCATACAGGAGAAACCAAAACAAATTGGAACAAATTGAAACCAAGGGAAACTATATATATATATATATATATATATATACATATACATACACATACATATAAATATAAATATACATGTACATCCCACTTCTACAATATTAGCGCATATTCTCTAACAAATAAACCGTTAATTTTTCACACTTGCAATTTACCACTAAGCTCACCACCCATATCTCTAACCGACCACTTTCCTTTGTTTTAAGCTGATCATCACCTATCGCGAAGGACTCATCACCTCATCGTGTACAACCATCGGCCATCCTAACATTGTCTCCCTCCCCCCCTCTTAACCCCTTATAGAATATCGTCCTGTGTCTTAGCATCACTTTTTCCGCTGCCCTTTCCCTGAGCCAGTTCCTACGCATTAAATTAGTCGTGCACCACACAGTCTACACTAAAAGAGAATAATCTCGCTCCTTAATCATTTGGAATAGTGTGAATGGGGAAAAAAATACAAAGCAACAATAAGGGTGAACTAATTCATATTAGAAGAATTGAATTCTGTGGATAACTGTGTCGATAAGCCAATCAGATAAGGAAAAAAGTGCAAATTGTCTTGTGGGGCTGATATTTGAAAAAATAATAAATTGCTCACGTTAACAGAAGCTGCCCATAACAGAATATACACAGAAGTAGTCTTTTTTTGAAGAGACCATTTTAGAGATAAGGCCGACTACACCCGGTACGCTTGATTCAGATAAACAGTTACCTGGATTTGTGAAAGATTGCAGGTAAAACACCACTTTGTGTACCAATTGAGCATTATTTCAGCCTTGGTTAGCATCCTATTCGTCTCTTTAGGTTCCCCTTCGCTGATAATAGTATTGTAAATACAAACAAAAAATTGTTGCTGAAACAACTTTTGATACTGGTAGTGAACATATATGTATTATTAGGCGACAATTCCATTATCGTTTAACTTTTACTTACACTAGCTTTCACTGATTGATCATTCTTTCCATCCAAAAGTCATCTTTACTGAAAATTAGAAGAACGAGAATAGCCTCCTCAATTTCACCATTAGATGCCTTCCAACATATTAAAGAAACTTCATATTACAAAGCTGAACCATAGCAATAGCTCCACTCAAACAACAATAGAAAATAGTCACCCAGCTGAAATAGTAGTAAACCACGCCGACACACCGGAACAAATGGAATACATAAGTCACCAATTGGAACAACAACAGCAGCAAGCACAAGCCCAAGTACAGGAGCAACAAGAAAAAATGATTCAATTACAATCTCAAAATGCCACTACACAGCAGCCTGCTGTTACTCAATCTGTGCCTCAGGAACTTACCATAGAGCAACAAAGAGCCAATGAGGCCATTCAAAGATCTCTTTTACCACAGAGATCGACTGTATCCAAGGGGAAATACTCCTTAACAGATTTCAGTATCATGAGAACTTTAGGTACGGGGTCCTTCGGTAGAGTTCACTTGGTACGCTCAGTTCACAATGGACGTTATTACGCTATTAAAGTCTTGAAGAAGGCGCAAGTTATTAAAATGAAACAGGTTGAGCACACGAATGATGAAAGAAGAATGTTAAAGTTGGTTGAACACCCATTCCTTATCAGAATGTGGGGCACATTCCAAGATTCGAAGAACTTGTTTATGGTTATGGATTATATTGAAGGTGGTGAGTTATTCTCATTATTAAGAAAGTCTCAAAGGTTCCCTAACCCTGTAGCCAAGTTTTATGCCGCTGAGGTGACGTTGGCATTAGAATACTTACATTCACATGATATCATTTATCGTGATTTAAAGCCTGAAAACATTTTATTAGACAGAAATGGTCATATCAAGATTACCGACTTCGGGTTTGCTAAGGAGGTCTCTACAGTGACATGGACTTTATGTGGTACTCCAGATTATATTGCACCTGAAGTTATCACCACTAAACCTTATAATAAATCTGTAGATTGGTGGTCATTGGGAGTTCTTATATTTGAAATGTTAGCTGGTTACACACCGTTTTACGATTCCACCCCTATGAAAACGTATGAGAAGATTCTACTGGGTAAAATCCATTTCCCAAGTTTTTTCGGGCCAGATGTCATAGATTTATTGTCAAGGTTAATTACTGCTGATTTAACGAGAAGATTGGGTAATTTGAGTAACGGTCCTGCGGATATTAGAAACCATCCTTGGTTTCAGGAAGTTATTTGGGAGAAATTGTTGGCAAAGGACATTGAAACACCTTACGAGCCTCCAATTACTGCTGGTGTTGGTGACTCTTCCTTGTTCGACCATTATCCAGAAGAGCAATTAGATTATGGTACAGTTGGTGACGATCCTTACGGACATTACTTTGTTGAATTTTAGTATCTAAGACGATGTACAACAATAAGAGACAGTGAAGAAAAACGGCAAAAATAAAAAAAAAAACAGATAAAAATAAGAGGTTAATTAAAGAAAAGAATAATGATATAAAATACGAAAATGAAGGATGGTTACATAGAAACTAAATCGATAAACACTTTAAATAAACGATCAGTCTATACCTTTGGCCATTCCTAAGCTAATGCGATTGAAGGAGGGAAGGCGCAGGGAGTCTAATGGAAACTTGAGTAAGTCTCAAGACATGAAGCAGGGTGAAGAAACTAAAGCCATTTCATGAACTGAATAGAAAATGCTAGCTTAACAATAACTTCATGTGTATATCCTGGTCCTTTGTGCTCGAAGCTTAAGACTGAACGAAGGACTTACAAGCAGACACCCCGTCTTTGCTCAGATCGTACACTAGTAAAAAGAAGGTATCATAATGTGCGTACGTGGAGCACAACGGAATATCTAGTTAATAGTTCAGCTCATCATATTCTGTATCTTTCTGCCTTAGACTGACTTCTACTTTCTATATACTGCAGTGCAATGTCCAATGAGACTGAACTGGCCATATAGCGCTTGACTACTACATGCAATAAGTCATATACTGACATAGATAAATTTTGCGAATTGTCTATAGTGTATTTAGAAACGACGAGTCTAGTATTTGGCCATTATGATTATGTCGAAAGTTTCAGTTTAGTAGAGTCAGTACCAGCAGAACAACACCATTACCATTAACAACTCGATCAACACACAACGATTAACATACAACATCAACAATACATAGTCTACATTCTTATCGTTGTCATGTAACGTACTTTTTTTAACTATTTTATACTATAATACAAACACACCACTTTTCTAATACCAGTGCCTATAAAATCGACGTATGGTGCTTTTCACTTTTATGTCAAGAAGGTCCTCTCTTCTAACCACTCTCAATATTCGTAGTGCCACTTCCTACACACTCTGTTCCATTCTCTACGCCCTAAACGTTGTCTTACAATGCAAACAAACATAGAACAACACCATACTAGTATCCTTTCTTCTTTGCTGAGACTGGAAGAAAACACAGTCCGTATTATGGCACGATGGGCATTCCTTGTTCGATCTTGGTAATGTTGGATCGTTACCAATATCTTGAACTACACCAGCGGTTTCACCAATATTCGAAATAAGTTCGTGTCTGTAAACCTTTGGATTCTCTGCCAACTCAGTGTAATCACAATTACGACATGAATACAAGAGTCTTGCATTATCCTTGTCTTCCTTGGGGTACAACATATTGTTACACTCCGCGCAGAATCTGAACGAGGCCATTTTGATTGTAAACTATGAATAAAGAATATTAACGAAATGAAGTAAGAAAAAAAATGTATATTAAATCCGATCCAGCTGCTTTAAATAGTGTAGCAGTACAATAAAAATTATCCAGATAGCCAACCTTACTAATCAAAACCAGCTCTGTGTATGATCCTCCTTCACTTTGAAGTTTCCATATCTGTATTTTTTTTTTCGTACGTAATTTTTCAGTGTCTAAGATATTGAACAGAGGGCATATGCAGTACACGCTACATCTGCTTGCACCAAAAGTCTTCCAACCAATCGTGTGCCTACCAACATTGAATTTTCTGTTGTGTTCAAATTTTTCACTGGCTCTACACAAGCTGGAGGTTGCATTCCTTTAGAGCCCACACAGAAACAATTCTACATAAGAAAATGTCATTATTACGTGCTGTTAGACCTTCCTTAAGAGTCGTCTCCAAGAGAATCACACCCTTGAGCACTATCCGTTTCAACTCCACTGTTGCTGAGAAGGCAGTGGTTGATCCAAAGATTGGTGCGATCGTTGATCAAATTTCCACCTTGACCCTCTTGGAAACCTCAGCACTTATCACTGAATTAAAAGACAGATTAAATATTCCAGATATTTCATTCCCAGCTGCTGGTGCAGGTCAAGCAGCAGCCCCTGCAGCAGCCCCAGCTGAAGAAGAAGTGAAAGAAGAAGTTGAAGAAAAGACCATTTTCTCCATCAAGTTGGAATCTTTCGATGCCAAGTCCAAGCCAAAGATCATCAAGGAAGTCAAGGGATTGTTAGGACTTTCATTGGTCGAATCCAAGAAATTCGTTGAAGCTGCTCCAAAGGTTTTGAAGGACAATGTCGCCAAGGAAGACGCTGAAAAGATCAAGGCTACCTTGGAAGGTTTAGGAGCCAAGGTTACTTTGGAATAGATGGTTGATAGACTTTTGATAAAAAAACAATTTGCTTGTATATAAGAAATGAACATAATACTTAAAAGAAATGAAGGGAAGGTGGAAGGAATTGAATAAAGAATGACGAATCAACTAGAAGAAAGAGCAATACGAAGTGCAAGGGGAGGAAATGGAGAAGAGGATGTATTCAGTGAGCGCCAGCTCAGTCCCATAACCAGCACTGATTGTGTTTGTTACTTTGGAATCTTTTGTTTATTCAACTCTTCTTTGGTCTCTATTTGTAGTCTAAGTACGTTGGCCTTATCAGCAGCTTTGTTCTGGAGGCCCCCTTACTGGTATTGTTTGTTCTAGTAGGCGTCATAGACGTTATGTTTCTGTTTGGAGTATATGCTAGTTGGGGGATCCGGAATTCACCTATTTGGGGAACCTTGGCAGATCCAAAGTCGTCCTCATCGTCAAACTCATCGTCGAATTCAAGTAGCCCATTCTTATCAAGCTCACCACCACCATTTTGCTTTAATTCGTAGATTGATTTGGTCGATACTGATGGAGATAGGTTCGAGATTCGGTCCTGGAAGATGCCGTATTTCACGCCCTGATCATCAGCCGGCCTAGGGTGGACCGTAGCAGAGTTCTGCGAACTGGGTCCCGCAGAGTATGAAGCTGGTTGCATCAATTTCGCAATCCCATCGACAAGGGCATTCAAATGGGCTACCGATGAAACCTGACGGCTCGCATTTCTGTTCTCTCCTTCAGTAAGGAGCTTCTCAGTCAACGCGAGGAGGATCTCCAACGTATCAGAGATAGAATCGCGTTGTTCCTGCGTCAAATATACCTTCCTCTGTACTTCTACAGTCATCTGGAGTATTCGCGAGAGGAGCCCATTTATACCATTGCTAGGCGATGAGTTTCCATAATTATTCTTATTAGGAGTGCTCTGAAACTTGTTCGTTAAGTCATCTGAGCTAGTAGAAACACCCGATATGTTCATCTACGGGTCCTTGATGCTATATATACCTTATATCAGAAAGAAGGCTCTATCTTTTGAGCTCCGGTGGGGTGCTTCTCACAAAATGACGTACTAGTTCTTTTTCCGCGGTTTAGTGCCGAAGGCAAAACGAGAAGCGAAATGAAAAGTTAAGCTCACCGTGGAAGAGCAGAAGAGAGCTGGTAGAAAGGCACCGTTAGTTATATCATATGCCTATTAATTGTCAGCAGAGAATGGTGCACACACTTGGAAGTTACAGCTTGTCCGAAATCAAGCATTCCACGCTTATAATCCCGTCAATTGCTATGGGGAACATCCCACAGCTAACTGTAGATCTATTGATACATACGCTCTCGTTCACCAAAATAGCTATACTCGACGACACCTACCTCCACCCATTTTCGTCACCCAATGACTTTCTGGAGCTCGTTGATGCGACAGTAACTGCGAAATATGGCATAGCTAACCCCTTAGAAGTATACTATAGTGCCAAGGACAACCTCACCTTGATCCAACAGAGGTCTCCCATAATAAATAACTTCACTGAAATATTCGTGGACAGTGTGATCTACAAATTCATTGAAGAACAAGAGTTTTCCAAGATTATTCTTTTGGATTCGTCGGACGCTGGTCTTTTGGAGAACTTGACCAGTGAAAATAAGGTTGAAATATTCACCAACGAAGACTTGATGTACAAGTCGCTTGAGTCGTTGAAGATTTCCAATAAGTCTGAACCCCAGTCTCTAGCATCAAATGATCCGTACAAATACACCAAGTACATACAGCAGCTAATTAAGGCTTTGAGACCTACTAAAATTGAACTTGATGTACTTGTATCACATGTATATGAGGGTGATAATTTCAATGATGCCGAACTCTTGGCTGACCAGCTTGTGTCGAGGCTAGAAACTAAAGATTATAAGAAGTGGGTGAGACCAATAAGTTGGTCTGGAGCGTACGGTGACAAGCCTGTTCCCAACGCAATGGAACAAGGGTTATATGGTTAGAATGAGGCGATTTCTACATCTTTCTTTTTTTTTGTCTGTTGATATAAGTAATATACATACATATGGACTGATCGACCCACACTCTGGCATACAGCTCGGTTTGTAGTTATTTCTTACCCTGTCCTATTTGAAATTTATGGGTTCTTTGAGAGCGTATGGTATAGGAATGCATTGAGCCCATTTCCCGGGTTAAAGACATTGTTGAAGTGGACTTCTAACACATCAGGCTCCTCTCTTGGTCTATATGGAGAGTAAACAGGCACCATTGCATTGTTTAGCGAAGCACGATTCGGTATATATTGCTGTCCTGGAGTGAATTGTGCGGGAGGTTCATACGTTCTCTGAATGTGTGGCTGTTGTTGCTGACTTATTGAGGTACTTATATGGCTGTGCATAGTATTCCTGTTGTAGATACCCAATTGAGGAATGGGTTCGTTCGCTGACGAGCCACCCAAAAGCTCATTAGAGTACACTGCCATGCCCTGGCCATTACTAGTTATACCATTCTTTTGAGAAACATATCCCATGTGCTCGGCAAAATCCTTCTGCTTCTCTATAGACTTGTTCAAATCCAAATCTAGCATGAAACTATCAATATTTCTATTCTTGCCAGAAGATATCGAAGCTCTTTGCAGTAACCTCAAGTGTGTATTGCTTGACGGTGAAATACTCAGTGACGAGCGTCTCGATGCTACGGGGATGGTTCGTTTGTAATTCAATAATGATGTAATGGATGTCTTTGCACCAGATGAGGTCATAGGGAATTCGTCATCTTCCTTCACTGCTCTTCCCAATACTCCTCCAGATGTAAGCTTGAGTAATTTTATCCCTGGATTGATGTTGCTCTCATCCCCCTTTCTCTTGTTATTACTATTACTAGGGTGATCTTTATCGAATCCCTTGTTAATGTTGTAAACATCTAAGGTGAGTTTGAACGGATAAGAAATAGTGGCTCCGTAGATAAAGAGCTTTTCTATAATCTTTGTATGGGTTCGAAGTTCGGCATCATCTCCATCTTTGAAATCAATCATTTTTGGGAATGCAACAGCCATCAAGGCAAAGTAATCAATGAAGGGGTAATCTTTCAAATTGGATAAGGTTGATGTGTTTATAATCTTTTTAAATACTGAAATAGATTTTGTATACTCAGTGTTTCGTAATTCAACGATTTCATCTTTAATAGTAGGCGTCATTGAACTTTTCAAAGCACTTAACCTTATAGATAATATGCACCAAACCATTGCCTTCGATAAGTGTAAGAATGATAAAAATGGTGGAACGTTAACCATGTCCGGGAAATTTTCCAATTTACAATATTCGGGCATAGCTTTGAAAATAGCATGCAAATTGGATTGGAAATACGCCAATGTTTGTCTGTTCGGTGCAACATGGTTTTTTTGTCCCTTTCTACCATTTTTGGTCATTGGTCTTGGGATCTTGTAAATATCGTTATCGTCCTGATCATCTATAAGCGTATCCTCGGAAACATCAATAATACAAGTAAGAGCAAAATTCCACAATGATATAACTTGCATGAGTTGGTTGAAAATCAGTAGAAAACGACCACTATCTAGCTTTATTATTCGAGGTGAGTGGTACGAAGTCCATCCTTCCCATTCCTCCCAACCATCCTCGCTTATTAGTGGGATGGGCCAGTCAATGGCCTTTACCAATGGCTCCCTTCCCATTCTAGAGGAAAGAATTGTATTCATCATGTATACACACCCCCATGTTCTCTCCCGGCTGGTAGCATTCAGCGAATTCTCTTCCCAGGTTGAAAGCTTTAGATCGCTCTTTGAACCCGGGCTGTCTTCATTCAAATCAGAAGGAGTTTTTCGCTCAGACCAGTCAGATGGACTAATGTTCTTATTATTCTCATTTTTATGGTCTACCTTAAGCATAAGTCTAACATCAATAGCCATTCTGGTGGCTGATGAAATCAAAGTCCAAGATCTATCCCAATTTCCCGTTTGGTAATTGAAGATTCCTAAGAGAATCATTGATTGAATAGTTTCAATGCTGGTCGTGGGTGAGTTCTCCAAAGATTTAATACAATTTTTAGCATATGTTGCACATAAGATCTCGTCTCCATGATTAACTTCCTTGTCCTTGCTGGTATTGGAGACATTAGTAACCATCTTACCTAAAGTAATGGTGGCCCAAATTAATGCAAGTAAATTACATTCAGATGGTTTGAAAGTGGAAATATTTTGTTGATAAATTCTGGATGTGTCCTTCAATGCTTGAATTCTATGAACTAATCTCGTAATGAACACTCGATTCAACATAGGACACCATGGATGATACACCTGGAAGTAACACTCCACTATTTCAGCTATTTCGTTGGGGAAATTTAAGATATCCTGAGGCAATTTGACATTACTGTCGATAGATGAAGTTATGGAAGGTGAAGAGATATTAAATATGGATCCTACGCTAAATGGTCTTTTGGATTGGAGATTTAGCGTACTGCTGTACTGTTTAATGGATCTAGATGTGAATCCAGATATAAGGGTAGATAGTCCATGAAATTGTAGCGCAATTGGTGTCCAAGAGTCTCGATCTTCAAAGTCACGCTTCCTGGCAGCATCTAGTTCATCCGACACAAACGGGAATATTTCATCTTTTAATATGGCTGAGGGGTCATCAATTAACTTGTAGTTACTAGAAGCCAAACCAGAATTAGACTGGCCGTTCTCATTAGCAGTATTCAAGTTGAATAGACTATTACTGATTGCAGAGTTATAAGCAATACTAGAAGACGTCGCCATCGAATCCGTTAGTTTGCTATAGCCATCACTCTTCTCTAAGGAGGAAAGTGGACCACTTTCATAATTATTGTTTTCTACTAAAGGTTCTCCGTCATCTTCTGTCTTAATAATGTTCCTGAGACCTCTAGACGATCTTTTCGCTATATGTATGCTTTCACCGTTAGCCTTGATAAAGTTTTGGATTAGGTTAGAGAGCCTGCTGTCGTCCCAGTATATTTGCAAGGAGTCTATATTTTCAACAATAGTCTTACTCTCTTTTATGTCAATTAGACATTTCTCCAAGGTCTCCAGCAAATTTGTGGATTGCGACTTGTCTCGTATGATATAAGAGATTAGCGCCTGGAACACAAGGACTTTCTTTTCCAAGTCATGTGTGTACCCACTTGGAAGTCCCCTTCTTTTCTTTAGAGTTGAATAAACACATTTCTCTGGATTTGCATTACATGCTGTACAATGGGGTAGTTTACCATCGCACTTTGCCTTTCTTGATCTACAGAAATTGCAAGCCTGTTTAACCCTGCTTTTCTTCTGCTCACTAGACATAACTAATCACACCAGTGTATAGAAGATTTTAGTCAGCAGCTATTTAAAAACGTATCAAGACAAACAAGGATCCGATATTACCACTAAAATAGGCCAACTTTAGAAGAAGTAAAAGAAAATAAAAATGAAATACCACAACGAACAAGGAACTACCGGTACCTATAGAAAAATATAATTCAATAATAAAAAAAAAAAAGTTAAAGATGCGACTTCAAATGGAAACCATGCCCCACAAAAGGAGACCGTTGGGCAAATATACGAACATTCTTTTCCCAAGATATCGAGAATTAGAGTATTGCTAATCTGAAAAACGAGGTTTCATGTATCGGTTTTTACGAAGAGGTAAACAATTGATATACTGTGACCCCCTTTCTTCTTTGTATCAAACATATTCCATACTAGTTGAATAGATGACTAGTCCTGCGTAGTCTACATGTACAGGCTGCGAGAAGTCTTGCTGGGATTCAGTGCAGAAATATTCCGAAATTTAAGCAACTTTGCATATTTTTTTCTCGATATACACCTGAAGTAGAGTTTGAAATTTGTTCACTCACATCGCCTGGCAGGCGCCTAGATGCCTTTAGATTTCAGCTTTGAGCGATATAAGGACGGAGAGGGGAAGTATCGATAGCCACGATTTGAGTGACAGCGCTCAAAATAGATATGGGAGACTACTGGCTTCACGTTCCAGATCCATAAATTTGTTTTATCAGTTGCACTAAGAAGTTAGAGTTCGTATCTGCTTCCTCCAACGGGTTACTCCGTAAAAAGCGGAATTCATGCTGCCTGCGGAGTTACCTTAGTAATCCAGCGCACAATATATAAAGTTTGTTCAGATGGGCACGTGATGGACTGTAATGGTTCATTGCATAGTAGTTACGAGGTGTTTTAGGAGCTGTACAGGCCAGAACAGAGTTGGGTAAAGTGAAATGGGACTGTTCATGCGCGTTAATATAGTTGAACTTGGTTGATTGATAGGCGAGCAGTTTGCGAAGGGTGAGAATGCGCTAATATCTTGGCGCGTGAGGGTTGCGGGTCAATGAAATTTTAGTAAGCTTCTTCGGGACAGGAACTGAGCGACTGGGGGCTCTTCCTAGTGGGCTGAAGGGCACCTTGAAAACGAAATTGAATAGTTATTTTGCTTTTACCTCTCTCGAATCCTATCCAGCCAGACGTTAGTTGCTTTTCACTATGATCAGACTTCAGTTGCTTTTCACTACTTAGTTTTCACTATGTGTATAGTTGCTCCTGCACCGTTTAGATCTTATCTTTGTTATATCTGCACTTGACAGATGCAGGGTACCACAGCTGAGTACCACCACCACACCCCCCAAAAAAAATAGCGGCTCTTATTGAAGAAAGGGAAAAAAAAAGTTTTAGTGCGTACTTTTTATAGCGTTTAGTGCGAAATTCTCAGAGACGCTAACTAATAGTGCGTTCTTTCTCAACCGCCAGGAACTAGTGGCCAAAACAACCCATTGAAGAAACAGATACTCCATCTCAAACACTCAAGATACTCTATGAGCTGACCGAAAAACATCGATGTCACACTTTTCGGCCCACGAAGCTCCCCTATGGCACTTAATCTGCTCCATACTACTCTTTTTCTCTTATTCCCATTCTGATCTTATTTCCTACACTCTCCCATTCCGTTACTTATTCCCACATGTTTTGCAGCACTCGGCACCGAATTTCGCGGCCCTCTCTATTTCCCGCTCCGCCAGTGCAAGTTTGCTCTCAATTTACCGCCTATACCCCACGAAATATCATTCTTTGCTTATAAATAGTCGTGCGCCTAGACAACTCCCAGCTAATTGAAATTGCTCTCACGGGAAAAATAAATGCAAAGGGATTTTCCAGATTTCTCAGAACAACATTGGAAGAAGGTGATACACTAGCACCAAGAATTATACATAATTGAGCAATGCTTTCGTCTTTTAGAACTGCTTCACGTAGAACTGTCGTCTCCAATGGATTCGTAAATGCAATTAGAACCAAGGTCTCTTTACCAGACTTGGACTGGGACTTCGGTGCATTGGAGCCACACATTTCCGGTCAGATTAATGAGTTACATTACACCAAGCACCACCAAACCTATGTTACCGGTTACAACACTGCCATTGAGCAATTTGCTGAAGCCAAGTCCAAGGGTGAAGTCAAGAAGACCATTGAACTCCAAAAAAATATTAACTTCCACGGTGGTGGTTACACCAACCATTGCTTGTTCTGGAAGAACTTGGCTCCTGAAAAGCAAGGCGGTGGTGAACCACCAGCATCGGACTCGGAATTCGCCAAGAAGATTGTCGCACAGTACGGATCTCTCGATAACTTGAAGACTGTCACCAACAACAAGTTGGCCGGTATCCAAGGTTCAGGTTGGGCTTTCATTGTCAAGAACAAGGAAAACGGTGGTGAGTTAGACGTTGTTACCACATACAACCAAGACACAGTCACTGGACCTTTGGTTCCATTAGTTGCTATCGATGCTTGGGAACACGCCTACTACTTACAGTACCAAAATGTTAAGGTTGACTACTTCAAAGCCATCTGGAACGTTATCAACTGGAAGGAAGCTGAAAAGAGATACTTAGTTAACTAAATCTACTGATATGAATACATAGAGAATGATTCGTGTGTTACTGAAGTATATACATATAAATTCAACGATTTACAAACTTGAAATGAATGAACACCCTGTGCTTCAGCTCTCCTTCTGCCTCTTTTTGTTTTCTTTTGCTTCAGCATACATTACTAAAATGTCTTAAAAAGTCGCTACTCCGAGAATACTTGCTGCATTCTTAGCATCGACAGCAATCTCTCCTTCACCTTCCTCTTTCAATTCCTCTTCTGCCAGTGTCTTTGCATTCAAAGATCTGAAAGTTCTATGAGACCAAGAATCTCCGTTCACACTCTGACTCTGGGTCAAGTTGTGCTTCAAATTCGACAAATTCTCTCTATTCAATCTCGACAATCCTCCCCTCTCATCAACTATACGGATATCCAACCTTATATTCTCTAAATGCTTCAAAATTTTTCTGTGATGCTCCACTTTATTCAATGTGAAGTTCCGCAACATTCTTCTGAATTTTACCTCTGTGTGGTTTATGATCTCCTGTTTTTCAAATAGCATTTCTCCGCTGATTCTTTTGAGTTGCAAGTTCAAGGATTCCTCTGTCTTAGAGGCGTACTCTAAGGATCTTAATGCTTCGTCGACTTTAAGAGGGTCTAGCGACGATTTGTTCTTAATTTTGTTTGCCTGTAAGTGTTTGCTCTTTGTATCTTTCTCTGCAGTGGAAAGCTCTCTCATAATCAAGTGACGATTAGTCAATGCCTCCTTTATTTGATAGAAATCGTCAATCATCGACTGGATTCCATCCCCAAAATTCCCCATATCATTAATCAGCTCGATCAACACCAAGTCAGACTGAATCGACGAGATCTTAGATAGCTTTTCCCACATGTTTTTCATCCCCGGGTGAATCATTTCAAATTCAGATAACTGGATCAATTTCTGTGACAATTCACCAATGTATACAGATATCTGCTTTTCGGATTTGGATTTCCTGTCCAACGCCTTGTGTAGCTTCGTGCAAATCAAATACGAAGATTTGATTAACGGCCTGAAGTCTGCCAATTCTTCATAAGGGTCGTAGGGAACTTGGAACTGCTTCAATGTCTTTCTCAACAAACCACTAGCAATCGCCGTCTTGCGATTACTATTTATTACGGAGTATCCAAAATCGTTCTCCACGAAAAAAATAAATTCTTCATCCCGTATGAGAATCGGGTTGCTTGATATCCTGTCAAACCATTCCTGCCACTCTATCATCAAGTGCTTCGTTTCTTCTACACCTCCGCTTGGGTAGGAAGTGAGAGCCAGTGGGATTACAGGAACACACACCTCCAAGTTAGAAACGCTAAGGTATTTGTTGAACTTCAACACTTCATTGAACGTTCTCCTGACCTCTTTATAGGTAGACTGGCGAAATCTGGCCAAGCCCGCTACTTGAACATCAAAGTTCAAAATGGGGTTCCCCGATTTATTAGGTTCAATTCCACGAAGCTTGATCGTCAACAGGTACTTTTTAGTGAATCTTTCAGGGATCAATTTCCTGAGCTCTTTCTCCGTCAATTGAGCAGAGTTGGAGTTGTCAGTCTCAGCAACGTTATCTCCCTCCTCCTGGTCCTCTCCACGATCGGTCTGATGTCCAGCATGTGTATTGTTGTTGTACAGTAATGCCAGCGTTTCTCTCTCATTAAGTACAGAACGATGTTCTTGTGTTTGCACTTGTGTTGGCACTTGTGGATGTTGTGACTCGTAATGCTGTTGCTGGCCAGCCTGGCCCGTCTGTGAGTGGCTCACTGCATGGTCTTCATTGTTGGGGTTGTTATCTTCCTCGTCAGCAGGAAACATATCTGGTTCTGCGAAGGGATTATTGTCGTCGAAATCCTCAGGGTTATAGGGAACGGCAGACGACATATTTAAGTTGGTTTATTGCTTTCTTGTATGTTTACACGGTGCCACACACCTCTCACCCAATATCACACTTCTTTTCTGATGTGTTTGAGTTTTCCGCAGGGCCACCACCCCCAAAACGAGAGGAGCCGCAAACAGGCGAAATTTGGCCACCCCACCGCGAGCGATAGCGGGAAAAATAGCGGGAAGAAAAAAATAGACAGTGCAATTTAGCGGAAGACTGCATTTACAAGATATGGTTGCACCATTACACCCTAAATAGGAAACAGCAATGCTATAGCTTACTACACCATAGTTATGCCCTACTATTAGAGGTGGAGATAAATGGTTCCAAAAAATACATTTATTACCTGTTGTTTATGCGTGTTCAATTATATACATGGATCGTGTAGGTGTCCCTTTCTTTCTTTCGTTCTCTCTCTCCTATTACTCTCACTTTCATTCTTTATCCTAAAACCTCTCTTCTTGTAAATCAATTCCATTACTCTTTATTATATTATAGCCCCAAAATCCAATCACATTCAATACGCCAACTCTCCAACCATCAAAGAGTCCCAATCTCTCAATTCTCTCAATCAATCCAACGGTATTCTCGGTATCTTCTCCTCCTTCTGTCCCTTTATCGCCCCTCCACCCGTCATTAAACTCCACAATCAAATCCTTATCAGGGTCTTCGATACTGACAACTTTCTTTGCGTCTTCAAGTTCGGATTTGGGCTTCAATAAGAACCTCACCTGTTCCTTACGTAACAAGTTCTCCACAGGTAATTTGACGAAGAATTCCATAATCAACAGGAACAAGTTCACCAACGTATACACTGTAGGTGACAGGTATGAGTCAACATTGAACTTTATGAACAAGATATAAGGCGCAGCCTTACGGAATATCGTGGTGGAAAATTGATACAATACTGTCAAACAGGTAATTGTACCAGGTGGGTGGATCAAGAGGGACAATGGGTAATTGCGGATGGATTCACGGATTGAACGTGTATTAACTGGGGTGTTGATGCCTATGTTTTCAAGGTCATCTTCATCAGATGAATTGTTAGTGGTACTGGCAGTGGTGGATCCTGTCGAGACAATTGGCGAAGATGTTGGTAAAGGAGTTGGTGGAGGCGTAGGTCTGTTGAACTGAGTAATCATTAACCTGATTTTGATTAAATCCAAAGGCATCAATATTATCCCAGTCAATACACAGGCACTAACTGATAGCCAGAGTGACTTCCATGGGTCAGTCAGGTGTGTCAAGTCTAAGAAAAATGGGTCGGGTATACCTAAAAATGGCGACATGAATCCTGTGATCCATGCTTCTATTGTGTGGGAGATAGTCTGGTAGATGAAGGTCGCGTTGATACCTCTAAAGAGGGCAAATGGGCCATCCTTGGCAACTATCGCAGACATAATGTCAACAGTATGCTTGGATATCGGCTGAATCTTGTAAAGGTTAATTTGCTTGCTTCTGAAGCTCTTTTTCTCAGGAGGGTTAGCTCCACTACTACCCGCAGCATTCGGCTTCAAGGGTGAATTCGTGGAGATCAGCTGGAAGTAATTGATTTCTCCTTCATCCTCCCTGTCTTCTTCAGTAGTGTAGATTTCACCTTCTTCTTCTTCATTTGTAGAAGTGGTTGTGTATCCTTCATTGTGTATGGATTCATTGACTAGCCTGGAGTATGGAGTTCTCTTGCTTTTTCTTTTCTTTGCCTTGATCCCCTTGCTCTTTGAGTCAAGATTCTGAAAATATCCCACCTGCAATACCAATCTAACTATTTCCAATGGTTGTGAAACCAATGCTCTACAGTAGTTCTTGATGAAGCTCCATGCCAAATTCTTCAACAATTCAGAGAAATTGTTTGAGTCGAAATACTCTTGAATTTCAAGATCATAGACAAAGTTTTTGTCTCCTGATCCATTACTTCCACCGCCAAGTGCTCCTCCAAACCCTGATAACCCGATACCGTTGACTGACTTGAACGATTTCTTTGCTGATTGCTGTGCTAGGTTTGAAGCTAGGGAGGCGGTCAACGGTTTCCCCGTTTCCGTGTCAATTAGACCAACGCCCGGCTTAAAAAATACAGAGTATCCTGCATTGAAGGTGTCTCGGTCATAGTATGGCCTTAATTTATCCGACATCTTGACCTGATACTTTAGTTTGTTTCAATTAATCAACGTTTGTACGAGTTCTTTATGATGGCGCAACTCAATTCATGTAGGGGAAAGAAAAATAAAAGAAAAAAAAAAAAAATAATAACAGAGCGTATGTGGGGTCTCCATGCAGGAAAGTCGATATGAGCTTGAAGCTATACCATTTATAAGTACATACCAATGGTGTGAATTGCCGATAAGTTGTTACAGTAATGGCTTGCATTTGGACGGATTTCCAGTATGCTCAAATCCATGTTTCGGAATTGAAAGTAAAATTTTACTTTTGTTCATTTCTATTATCTCTACTTCTTGTCCTCGACCTTCTAATACTTATGTGTATATTAATTTTCATCTGCATGTTTAGGATAGGTGTGGTATTTAAACTGAAACACCCTCTAAACATTGCAATCCTCCCTTGTTTGGCATTTATTCGATGTGAGTCCTTACCCTAATGTGGAATAGAAAATTTTCGTATGGAATGTTATCTTCTCCGCTACTCAATTGCTTTAATCTGCAGTGGTGCTATTGGTTCACCAAACATCGCAAGTAGAGTTTCAAATCTGTTTAGCAGTATTAGTCCTATGCAACTCACACCAGGTTGCTCACACGTGCTTGCTTAACTTCTTCATCTCTTCTATCGGCTTCCTCTAACAAGTACTTCCCCAACCATCTCAATGGGTCTTCAGGCTTCTCAGAGCTAAGTTTCTTTAACCCTTCGAGCAAATGCTGCGACACATGTTGATTCAAGTACTGCCTGACTGAAGATCCTCCTACTATCTCATGTACTGGCAAAGTTGGAGTCTCTAGTGGTTTACCATTACCTTCATGATGTTCTGACTTGACTTCTGGATCCATCACCTGTTAGATACTCGTATTACGGTGGGTTAACTGCTGTGCTCCTCTACGTGCCTCTCTTCTCTTGCGCAGTTCGTTTTCTCTCTGCCTTGGCTCCAGAGAAGCATCCGTATGCAGGACGATACAAGCTCATGAGAGCAGTACGTCAGTCAAAAATTAAGCAGGCAACTCTAAGGAAACGTCTTGTAAAGCCTGCAATTATACAAGACTGGCCTCAATATGGATCCTTTCAATGACGTGCTGCAAGATGCCACAAGTCAACTTAACACTCTTCGACAATTTTTGACGAAATCTGTCACTCCAGACAGCATATTAGACTTTGATAATACGTATTTAGAAATTCAAGAAACGTTAGAGGATTTACAAGGAGCAGTAGATATATCAGAATCCAACCCAGGTGCCTATAATTTGACAGAAAATGATATATCGGAGAGGAAACGAGTAGTGAGTCAATTAAAATCAGACTTAAATACCGTAGTGAAGACGTGGCTGGACATGAAGACGAAGCCTACCAACTTAAAGAGACAGAGAGAAATAACTACCATGTCAAACAGAATATCTCAAGATACATCGCAAAATGAGAACCCGTTCAGCGACCAGAACAGACTTAACGATGAGTTCCAACAGTTTCAGACTCAGGAAATGACCCAGAACCAAGACATGCAATTAGACTCCATTCACGAGACAATGCACAATTTAAATCAGCAGGCAATGATGATGGGCCAGGAATTGGAGGAGCAGGGTTATATGTTGGATGATTTGGATACTGAGATGGATGTTGTGGGAAGTAAGTTGCAACGAGGATTGAAAAGAGTCAATTATGTTATTGAGAAGAACAGAGAACGTGCCAGCGACTGCTGTATAGTGTTGTTAGTTATAGCGTTATGTGTGTTGTTAGTTTTGTTACTAGTAGCGAGTTAAAAAAAGAAGGAAAAAAGGAAGAACGTGAGTAACGAACGGAAATGCAACAAAAAGTGAAATTAGTATGCATGTGTAGAGCTATTATAAAGAATACATTCTGGCTTTCTCCAGAGATCACCAATGGAAAAGTAATGACAATATAACCATGTGGTCCCCTAGCATAATTCAATACTTTAGATAATGTGTCAGACATAAAAAATAAGGTAGCTTGGTTTTTTCCACATCGACAAAAAGTCTCGAGCCAAATGCACTCTTGTCATCATATTAAATATCTAAAATATTGATTCATGTTGCAGAACCAAGTGGAGTATTAAGTATGGGAGGTGTAAAGTCTTACAGACAAAGAGAGTAAAATAGTCCGTAATATATTCTTTCCTCGTATAAGATCACAATTCCACTGAAGTATGCAAATATACAAGGAAGAACACATTTAGATCAGTATTGTTTACAAGGTAGTTTGCTGTGAAAGAGAAAAAAAAGATGTGCTGAAAAATTTATGGCGATGGCTGCTCACGTTTATATACTTTTTTTTTCCTGACAACAAATAAACGATGTTACCCGGATTTTACTTAGAGGGTTTTTGGCATAGTATGCGACATGGAAGCGAGTCGTAGTTAGAGTGAACCAGTGTAAGTAGTACATCGATTGGGCTAATTGGGAGCATTCGAAATACTTTAGTGTTCGATTTTGTGTATTGCGCTAGTTGTTTCGAAGTATTCCACATTCTTCTCTTTTTTTTGTTTGTATATTTAGCTCCGAAGCATTTTGTTTTCATCCCTTCCTTAGACTCTTTGCATACACCGTACCCACTGCTTGCAACATGGCTGATAGTAAATATAAATACAGAGTCGAAATTCAGCAGATGATGTTTGTCCTGGGGGAGACAAATGACCCCCCTGTGGAAACAACATCTCTAGTAGAAGACATTGTTCGTGGCCAGGTTATAGAAATCCTAATCCAGTCCACCAAAACTGCCACTATGAGAGGAACTAAATCCATAGCACCAGAAGATGTGATATTCTTAATAAGGAACGACAAGGCCAAGGTGAATAGATTAAGGACATATTTGTCGTGGAAGGATGTCCGTAAAAATGCGAAAGATCAAGAAGGAGGTGGTACCGAAGCACTTATAGAGGGAGATGCTGCTGGTGGAGCTGCTGGTGGAGCTGCTGGTGCAGCATCCAGTCAGGCAAACGATTCATCGAAGATGCTTTCTCGATACAAGAAGCTGAAAATCAGATTACCGTGGGAAATTCAGTTTATGTTCACAGAGCTTCACCTTGAGACCACAGAAGAAGCAGAACAAGTTGATGACGACGAAAGGGAAGCCACTGTAGCCTCTTTAAAGAGATTGAAGATGGCTGATGACAGAACTAGAAACATGACTAAGGAAGAATACGTGCATTGGTCTGAGTGTCGGCAGGCTTCATTTACATTTAGAAAGGCTAAAAGATTCAGAGAATGGGCACTGATCCCACAATTGTGCGATTCTAGGCCCCATGATGATGTCATTGATATCTTGGGGTTCTTGACTTTTGAAATTGTGTGTTCATTAACTGAAGAGAGTATTCAAATAAGGAATGCAGAAGAAAAGTTGATTCAAAAGCTGTTACTGAAAACTGGGGGCTTGAACAAGGAAATAAACAAAAGAAAAAGGAAGTATCTTTTCGATAAACCTGAGAAACTGGCAAAGCCGTTAATGCCCTATCACATCGAGGAGGCCTGGAGGAGATTACAGAATGTGGATTTCAAGCACAAGGCTGCTAGAAATTTTGGAGGTGGGGTATTGAAATCTAGAACTAGACTCATCTAATTTATAAATAACCACAATGTGCTGTCTATTCATTTTATTTCGTCTATAAAGCCAACCTAAAAGTGTTTATAATATCGTTAGTGTCACTCTGGAATTGGCGCCATCCTATAAATTTCTTCACGCTGACATTATGCTGGGCTAGGGTTTCGATCTCTTTGATATCTAGTGATGCCTGGAATGTTGCCCAGTTTCTACCGATAGGGGCTAACTCTAGTATATACGGGGTGACACTCAAGTATTTGCAGATGGATCCGTCTGGAATGCCCACGGTATCTGGTCTCCATTCCGGTGTGGATAATCCTTCACTCATTGGTGACTGTGACCCATTACCAGAGGAGGTGCCATCATCAAATGAACTATTGTTGTTAAATGAACGAGTAGCTCTTCGTGTATATGCAAAATGACTTTCAAGTAAAAATTTGGGTAGCTTCTTCGATCTTGAACCGTTGAATAATGTCACCGATTTGCGAATGTCATTGAATGTTCTCTTTGGTAGTAGTTCAAACACCGTATCGTGGCCTTCATCTTTATGTATGGTATTGCCTAAAGAACTTCCTATATTTAATTCAAATGGTAAAGTCTTCTGTCTTACTAATTTACTTTCGTCTATAATGTAGAAATCCAAGATTTCGTTTTCCTGTAAGTGTGATTTAATCTGGGACGTAGAGCTAGATGAAATGACATCAGACGAAGATAACAAATCTAATTTATTAGATAAAGTTTCAATGTCCAACTCGCCATCATCACAAGTTTGGTGTGAATCTTTTACCTCTTTTATCTCGGTAATATGTATCATACCAGAGCCGAAGTCCTTACAGTTGCAAATAGTCTGAAGTTCCAATAAACACCTTCTCAAATCAAACCCCTTGCTATCCTGAGCATTTTCCGATCGTTTGATCAATCTGTTTAGTACACCATTTGAAACATCATACCCTTGACTGTATGAGCATAGCCATAGATAATTCATTAGTTCGGCCCTCGTTTGAAAGTTGACTTCGCTGTCTATATTTAGTATCGCATTATCTTCTTTGGCATGGTCAATGATACTTTTTGGTATGTTTGAAGTATCACTGCACGTTATTATAATAGGTCTTCTTGATATGTTGATCATGTCCTGAACTACTGTCCAAAACGTTCTATCTTGTTCAAATAGCACATCAGTATCTTCAAATAGAATGATTCCTTTTTGGAACTCCTTATTACTTTTTGCCTCAGTTCCGTGATTCAGGTGGACCAATTGTGTGGTACAAAACTCTTTCAAAGTAGAGTATAAATCTCGTCTACTTCTTGATTGGCCTGAATTCACCTCATACACGTAGCCTCGTGTTTCATCGAGTGCTGCATACACTGAAGCCGACTTACCCATTCCTGAAGAACCTTGTATGATCAATACAGGAACAAAGACTTCTTCTTCAGTCTCTTCGTCTGTTTCTTCATCATCAGGCACCACGAAGTTATCCAAAAAGGTAGAACCACGCAACAATTGTTGCCTCTTTTTCTTTTTGATTTGTACATTCCTTGGGGTCGCCAATGTTTGTGTTTTAAGTCTATTAAATGCGTTTACGATCCAATTCTTAAGTTGTGTAGTCTTGTCGACGTGTAACATTAAGTGACTCGTTTCTATTGGTCTGAAATATTCGGTCCACAACTGAGTTGTCTGATTTGTTGAACTGTTACCATTATTTGGCTGAATGAATGTACTATATATTCTACTCAATGCCGGTGTTCGAATGAGATCGGGTATTCTAGTCAATATTTCTTCTTGAGTCATCTGGTTGACTCCTGAATACACTAATTTAGCTTCGGGAACGGTATCATTATTATTACATGAGTAGACAAAAGATTCTTCACCAAAGTTTTCCACCGCATGAAGTTTTGTTTTAGGTTTCAACGAAGTGAATTCATGATTAGTTGCATACTTTTCGCTACATGGAACCACAAAGAAATGATTCCGCTCCAAAGTGGGAGGCTCCAATACCTTTAATTTCTGTAAAGGAGTCAACTTCGGTGTATTGGCCATTGAGTGGGCCATCATTGATTGAAATGCATTCTTAGACCCAACTCCACTTGGGATATTGACAGTGGTTGATTGAGCAGCAAATGTCGATCCCTTCGTGAAAAATGGGTCATCCGTACTCCTCTGAATCTCTTTTAATGACTCAGATGGTATGCTCAAGGTTATAAAATGTGATTTTTTCTCCTTCTTCTTGTTTGGAATTCCTTGCAAGAGAGACAAAGCGCTAACCAGCTTAGTACCTTCAGATGATGGCTTCTTTGAGAAGTTAGTACTCTCTTTAGGATTTCTCAATGACTTGAACAAGTCCTTGGCCGAAGTCCTCTTAGCGTTCGCTCCGCCGTAGATTTTCTCTTCCAACTCTCTACTAGATAATTCCTTATCACTCTCAATCTCAATCACGTCAGGATCTATGTCCTGTAAAATTTGAACTTTCTCACTAACAATTCCACTTTCTACATTCTCTGCAGCTTCCTTGGTAGTTCTTTTAGAGCTCAAGAAATCCTTCACTGACACCGATTTGTGATTGTTAGAAGCAAATATTTTCTTTTCAAGTTCCATCACATCATATTCGTCTTTCAATTGCAAGCAGCTGTCCTCCGAAACCAAATCCGGGTCTATTACTGTATCAAAATCCATTTCTGTTTCCGTCTCTGTTTCGGTTTCCAACCTCAACTTCTTCACTTTACTATGTTTCTTCGTATTTTGCTTTCCTGACAACAAGCTCATCAAATTCTGTCGTACTGGACCTTCAGTGCTATGTAATTTATCATGTGAACCTTCTCTTAGCTCATCGCTTTCAGCAGTATCTCGGTCATTGCGCTGCTCTGCAACCGCTCGAAATGGTTGGGTCCCAAACGGAACCATAATGCTAGGAGGGAAAAGAGTGAAGCTTAATACGGAAAATAAAATAAAGAGTCAAAATCTGATATCAATGGAAGACAGCTAGAGCTATGTAGCAAGTTTTAAGGTCTATGCTACAACGTTCTACCTATATCCTGATCGATTTACCAACTCAAGTTGCACTGGTGTAAAAGTATCAAGCACATAACGAAGATCAATATACGCGTAGACCTGCATATAAGGCCAATACAGATGATGAGCTTAGACAGTTGGGAATCGAGCAGCAGAGGAAGCACTACTCTGGAGGGACCTTTATTCAGTTAAATTCGAGGTATCAAGTATCATACTGTGTAGCTGATCTATATAGTATCATTGTGGCTGATAGTTATATATTTTTTCCTTCGCTTCGGGGTGTTTTATTTGTTTGACTTTGTCTTTCTTCCTGTCTTTCGCTTTGATTTGTCCCCTTCTGTAATTGAATACACCTAGACTCTAGCAAATATGTCCGGGTTTAAGTTCAATTTAAAGGGAAAACCTGCAACTAAAAGTAAGGTCATTAAACCTATTAAGCTTGGTGGTGCTCTAAAAGGAAAACAACCATTGAAAAAAACAAACATAAGGCTAGAGCAGCATGATTCGGATTCTGACTCCGACTCCGAGAAGGTGGTAAGCATTGATTCCTTTGGCAAAAGCGGCGCTTCCCAGGGCAATATCTCCGTAGATAGCAAGGCTAAACATGGACCTTTAGTTATTAAACAACAACATGCACTGGACTGGAAACTGAAATTAAAGGCGAAGTCAAGTAAAATCGTAGATGGGCCTAAGGAAAGTGAATCTTCTGAACTAAGTGATGATCAACTTATACGGCAATCGTTAATTTCGGGTGAAAAGTTAGAAACAGAAAATGGCCTTGTAATTAATGTCAATGATAAAGCTGAAGAAGCAGATAACGAGTCATACGACACAGTTCCAGTTGAACAATTTGGAGCTGCAATGTTGAGAGGAATGGGGTGGAAACCCACGAGAAAGGGAAAGAACTCCACTGACGCTGACCTAAACAAAAAGGTAATAGAAAGTAGGCAGCGTAGTGCTATGCTAGGGATTGGAGCAAAAGAAGTTGAAAGCGAGCTAATGAATTCCAAATTGAAGACTTTTGAAGTTCCGATCATCAAGCGTCTTAAAGACTCTGGGGAGGCAATTCACAATAAGTAGACAAACCCATTCAAATACTAGAAAGCATCGTAGAAAATATTGACTGGTTCAACGGACTACATTGTTATTTGTATGTACACTTGTATATTTAATGCTATAATTTAACCTATCATTCATTCTGTCGTGGTGTTCCTATGCAGCAGCCCATTAAGCAATTACCCCCAACCCGAGTAATAATAATTGGCTTGCTATGGTGTGAGACCACATATTTTGCCTCTCGTGGATAATCCTCTTTTCGTCTAACTCCACCATCTTGCTTAAATCTTCGTATATATCACTGACAATCAAATCAAAAAGTCTGGTTTGTGTCAAGTTGGAAGTATTATACAAATCAGAAAATCTCTCAATGACTTGTGTCTTAATGATAAGCGGTGGTTTCCTTTCTGCATCGAAATGGTTATTAATGAATGTTATGAGCATTCTCAAGTTGTGAAGCGAGAGGAATGGCAAGCTGGAAGTCGATGCCATAGGGAGCTGTTGAGGTAATGATGCCTTCAAATCGTAGAGCTTAATCTTGAAATTCACCACAACGTACCCAAGATTATTCTTTTCAGTATCTTGTTCTCTTTCCAGTGAAAATGTATCGTAAATAGCAGTGAGAGCACTCTTGAGTAATCGGTTATCGTTCGCAGGCACTTGGTCAATTGAACTATTGTTACTATTAGTATTGCTACTTTCGTCAGGCTGAGACATGCTCAAGAAATCATTGAAAGCTTCAGAAAATATCTGACCAACATTAGGGAACTGTGGGGTCAAATTCTCTTGTGGGAGTAAGATATCAGCTACGATTTCCGCTCTTCCATTGACGATCCAATTGAACTTCAGTAATGGGTTTCTCTTGGAAATCTTACCCATATCAATACCATCTAACTTGAATCTCACCATTTTATTTTCGTTATCATCGTGGTATTTTTGATGCTTATGGATAGTGAACATTGAATCGTTCACGGCACCTGTGACATTGTTGGCGTTGAAGAAATCAATAAGTAGCTTATTCCCGTTCAACTCAGGCAAGTCGCAATTGAAGATGGTTATCTTCAATGGTGTTGGTGTTGGAGAGTTCTTATCATAGATCTCAAAATATGAATCATGGATCTTGAAATGCGATAACAGGTAGTTTGGATCCATTAGAAGAGAAGAGGTAGTTGGAACCACAGTCTCCTCGTCATCGTGGATGTCATGCAGAAAGTTTGCACTTTCATTGTACCTATACCATGTCGCAAAGCTGCTACGTCTAGAGTCTATCAGTGCTTTATCAGCACCTAAATCATGGCCACTATTGACAACCCTTTTCCTGTAAACTTTGCAATTCATTCCATAAATTTCGAGTTCATCAATCAACCCGTTACCGTCGTACCATTTTCCGAAGGAGAGCGATAAATCCATTTGCTCTACGTTAGCTTTGAATGTAAGTTGGTTCAGTTCCGACTCCAGTTCTGGTCTCAGTGCTTTATCACTGCTGTCTGTGATTGCTGTCTGTGATGGGCTTGAATGGGTAGTCTTGGCCGACACTATGTTGATGTTTTTGAATCTGAGCATCCCGTCGTGCAACTCTGGGAGTACGCTCCCTCTTTGGAACTCTACCTTGATTCCCAATCCATGGGACAATATTCCGCTTGCCAAGTTGCCTACAAAGCTGTCATCAACCTTCTTTTCGTTTGACTCCTCGTCTTTGAAGAGCCCGCCCCACACATTGTTAACCAGGTGGAGCAAGTACATTCCGAAAAGAACAAACGTGGTTGTACCGAGGATGAACCATATTAAGTTACCCATAACCACCCATGAAGCGAAAGCTGAAAAGTCGTCCAACGAAAAGGGTCGATTATTCCTGGTGAGGGGCCACTTCAAGTGGATGAGGAATCTGGAAAACCTATTGGTTGTTTGTGCAAGAAGGATGCTCTTGGAGAGCGTGGGAGTCGGAACCGACGTATGCTTAGATGAATATACTACCGGGTTGGAAGTATTTGAATGCTTAATGATGTTCTTGATAAATTTGGGGTCATGTTGCTGTTGTAGTTGCCTTTGCGTTAGGGAGCTGGTGAAATTTCGCCTAGCGTACGCCCCAGTAATTAGCTGGGAGTAAGTGTATCTAGTGCTACCGTCGAGTATCCTCGGAACTATGCGCAAGCTAGCGTACATTACGGGTAGTCTAGAAGACATTCCGCTTATCGAGAGGCTTGTAGCAGAAATCATCTGGTTGAGCAGACTTTTAAGTAGCAAGAATAGCAAATATGGTTAATTAGGGCAACAGAGTGAAAATAAATTACTAGAATTAAAAAAAAAAGAAAGCAAATAAAAAAAAAAAAAAAAAGAAAAGCGCAAATGGAGAAAATTTAGTGCCAATTTAGCTCGTGAGTTCCTTAACTCCCGGGAAAGTCAAGAATGGAAGGGTAAGTGTTTCTGCTTCAGGTGGACGAATTGGAAGGCAAAAAGTAGGATGACGAGTATTTTGGGGAGTTTAAGCACATTTGAGTAGTTTTTTTTTTGAAAAATGTCCAGTTTAGTGTGTTTTGGTGTGTACCTTGTAGCAGTCTTTGGTGGTGGGGACTGTTTCATGGGGTAGCCCATTGCGCGCTTCCTTTGCTCCTACACGCAAATATAATTAGAACCTAAAATGTGCGCCATCACCATTGTGTCTTAGTAGGTAGCAAATGGGGAAAGCTAATGGGGTTACCTAGTGTCAAACTCCGCTTGGACAAGATTTAGAAACCGCACGCAGTAGATTGAAAGTCAGAATCTCGCGTCCCTTGCTTGGCTTTACTTCAGTAGTGCTGTATGGGTTCCCTCTTCCCCATCTCTGCCACTTCGGCCATCTCCCGCTGTCAAGCATTCAATGAATTCACGTGACGTCCTGCATGTGCTATCATTTCAAAATTTTCTTTTTTTTTTTTTTTTTTTCGGTTTTTCTTGTTGCGATGAGAATGAAACACAACGGGATCACAGGAAGACATCTGCTAGCTAACATTAACCACATTTGCACGCTCATATCCCCAATTTATTATCATATATAATACCATGGCTGCACCCACTGCCATCAAGAACCTTCCCACTAAAAATCCTGAAATACCAGGTCCTGTCGCTGACGAAGACGAGATATTGATCGATGCGTCTTCTGTTCCAACCCAAGACGAAGAAAATGAAAAATCATCCAAATCTATTGTACCAGAATCAATGATATTAGATGAATCTGGAAAGCCTAAATTCTCCGCTGCTTCAAGGGCCGGTATGAAGGTGAAGCTCGAAAGTAGAAAAGTCCCAGTTCCTCCTCACAGAATGTCACCTTTGAAGAACACCTGGCCCAAGATTTATCCTCCATTGGTGGACCACTTGAAGTTACAAGTAAGAATGAACTTAAAGACCAGAACAATTGAGTTGAAGACAAATAAGAATACTACGGATGTTGGAGCCTTGCAGAAGGGAGCGGACTTCGTCAAGGCCTTCACCTTGGGGTTCGATGTAGACGATGCCATTGCCTTATTAAGATTGGATGACTTATATATCGAAACATTTGAAATAAAGGATGTTAAGACCTTGACTGGGGACCATTTGTCCAGAGCTATTGGTCGTATCGCTGGTAAGGATGGTAAGACCAAGTTTGCCATTGAAAATGCCACCAGAACCAGAATTGTTCTTGCAGACTCAAAGATCCACATTCTTGGTGGATTCACACACATTAGAATGGCCAGAGAAGCCGTTGTGAGTTTGATCTTAGGTTCTCCACCGGGTAAGGTTTACGGTAATTTACGTACTGTTGCATCAAGAATGAAGGAACGTTACTAGAGGAAGATCTGATCGACGTACAGCTAAATTACTATTAAGCTGATCGAATTTGCATTACCCCATCCAGTCATACGGATCTGTTATTTCTTTTCTTCTATATTCCACTTTTGTACATTATATACTACATACACACACATATATACATATTAGAAGTGTAGCAGGGTCTATCTTTGTATATGTCCGCAAAGCTTTTCTTTTTTGAGTTCTCTTGTTGATGTTCCCTACGCCAACAAATCACTCTCTAAGTCGTCCACTTCTTCTGCCTTTTGCATCAACCCAGGAATGAGCTCGTCCAACTTCAAAACCTTCTTCATGGCATAGGCATCTTCACCGTCTTGGTAGTAACTCTTCTCGTTGGACGTAACTTCAAATTGCAAGGAGTCTCTGTACAAATGTAAAGCAGCACGGTTCGATTTACGCACGTGCAATGATACGTACTGGGCATCAAAGCATTCACACATGGCATATAAGGCTTGGCGCATAAGCTTTTCAGCGATCCCCATCCTCCTATACGTTCTCATGACAGACAATGAAGTAATGTGTCCATGGGGAGTCTTATCTTCAGCTTCCGGGTCATCTTCCATTTTTCCTAGCACATACCCCACAATCTTTTCTCCCTTATTTATATATGACGTGTCTCCCTTGGGGTCCTCTACAGGAGCATCTTCATCGTGGACTATTTCGTCGTAAGTAGTCGCTACAAAGGATGCCTGTGGCCAGGAAAGGATGTGGTACATGTAATACTTCAAAAGATAGTTTTCAGGCAAGTTATGCAAATTTGCATTTTGCATGGCCTGTATGTCATTTATCGTGGCCTTCCTGATAGTAATACCCATGTCTGGTGTCTATTTGGGCAATCTTGATGGACTACAACGAGTTGGTTGAAGTACAAAAAAATTGCTACTTGATTCGAACTCGTCCATGGTGCCGATACTGTATGCAGGACATAAAAATAGCTTACGCCTAGTCTGGGGTCACCAATGGGGTAGGACTCTAATATTTCTTCTACACATTCCCAGTCTCTCTATCATCTTATGACATATATGAGACTAATTCTACCAATACACTAAATACACCGCAACCGTCTATCCAGTTGCTGATTACATTGATTTCATCTCCCCTTTTATCTGCTGAACCTCATTTCTTCTCTGGTTAGCACACTTTTATCGAAGTTTATCAAAAATGTGGTTCTTAGTGGTAGCCCGTCTCTGGGAACAGAATGCGCGCTCACTTCAGCCTGGAAAAACGACGAGTCCAACGCTCCTTCAATTATACCAGCTATTAAGGCTGAAACATTTAGGTTTCCGTAGTCCTTGGGAACACTGATGAATTTGGAAAGTAAGGGAACATTATCTGAGATCATATACTCATTCTCAGCGTCCTGAGATTTCTCCAACTCGTTGGCCACTTTACCGAAAATCGCCTTCCAAAAGGGACCATGTATAAACTGTAAGATTTCTATAATTTTGATTTCTCTCTTGCCATATTTTATGCCTTCTCTGAGTTTGACCAACTCCAAATATCGCTGGCCAATTTGGTATCCGAGCCCGTTCAATCTTGCTTCCAAGTCCTGGATACCCTTAGATTGACCCTGCACCCAGCTGATTATCTCACAGAACAAGAACGACAACGCAGACAAACTGATTTCAAGTCCCTTCTTGTTGATATTACGATCGTATATTGAATTCTGTGACTGGGGCGTAATATTGATGATTTTCTTATTGCTTAGGTGTAAACTCACTGTTTCTTCGGTTATTAAGTTGGAGCTGGGTCCAATCGATGGATTGTATCCAAATCCCATCGAATTTCTGTTGGCACCTGAGCCAGAAGAAACATTGGTGCTGGTATTTGCATTGGCACTGGTGCTTGATCCGTTGCCGGAGTCTGATATAGTCAACGAGCCTATTGGGGGCAAAGATGGTAAGATTATATTGTCCGACATTGCAAAGATTGGGTATACAGTGTCAGTACTATCAGCAGGTAATGACTAGCGAGACCTTCCAGTACTTTTATCAGCAGTCTTGGGAAGAAGAATAGTGCTATCGTAGTGTCTTCTCCAGCTTCTATTTTTCTCATTTCTCTCAACTGTGGACCAAATAACAAAAAAAAAAAAAAAATAACATACCGCGAAATTTTTGGTTCAGTAGCGAGCCAACGTAGTGGTACCATATAAGCAGTGGTATAGCTAAGCCAATTGAGGATTATTATGAGAAAGGAAGCAGTTAAAGTCCATAAGAACTCTAGTGGTAAGATCGACGTAGCAAGATAAAGTCTTTTTTTAGTGTGTATGTGTATTCTTCGTACTAATATATGAAGCTCGTCGTGGAGAGAATGCGCAGAAGCCTAAGAAGCCTCGGAAGCCTCCTGGGATGTTGAATGATGTAACCAATCTCACGAACAAAGGGACCAATAAGGTAAGTAGTCGTAATGCAGCGAGTGTAGAATTGTTAGCTGATATATTTAAAGAGCATGATATAGAAAACATCGACGCTCTGGTGGATAGGAGATACAACATCAGCTTCAAGTATACCTCTACTCCTATGGGTACAATAGTAGAGGAGGAAAGCGAAGGGGATGGCAGTGAAAATGTAGACGTAGACAGGTCAAATATTTTGACTAGAGTAGACACTTTAGATTCCATTGAAAGGCTGGAGCTTGTAAGGTTGGTAAAATCGTTCGAAGGTGAGCAACAAGAGGTGACACATGTAGGGGCTAGAGGAAGGAAGTCGATTGGAGTTAAGAAAACTGATAACAGTAAAGTAATTGGGCAAATAAGCGTATCCAAGCAACAAAGAGCGCCCAAAGCACGGAATATTTCAAAGCCATCGGGGTCAGCTGGAGAGAGAACAACGGGAAGAACTAGGAAGAGGTATGCGCTTGAGAAGATAGATATATCTAACGGATCAGAGGGCTCAGGTATCAAAGAGGGTGGTTTATCGAAAAATGCGAACGATTCCAAGCAGACTAATTTGTCAGAGAAGGTGAAGAAATCCAGCCAGTCTAATTTACCTAAAAACGTGAATAAATTGAAAGACATTACGGCAAGCGTATCCAAGCAGAGAAAGCCAAACTTGCTGAAGCACAGAAATGCAATAAGTTCCAAACAGAGAGAGGCTAGCGGATCTAAACAGCCTGATCTACCTAAAACCACGAACCTGTCTAAAGAATTGGAGCAAGAAAAAATACCCAACGAGCTACAGCAAACTGCTAGACTACACAACACCAAACCTACCGAGCAACGAAATCAAAGAATATCAAAAGTACCAGTTCTGAGCGAAGCAAAAGTCAACGGTACTTTCAAAAACAAAACCCGACTTAAAGCTGACCCCAGTGATAAGCACATAGATGGAAAGCAACCACCACCTAAAAATAAAACGCTGAGAAAAAACCAGGCTGCAGCGAAGACCAACAAACGATCTGCTATGAGAACGAAATTTGGCTCTATAAAAAGTCCTCTACAAATACTTGATTACTTGAAAGTATCGACCCATCAATTCACCAAGGCTGAGATACTAGCACTATGCTCCCAGGGAAGGGACCCCATCGACCTAATGCAATGAGGTTCCACTACCATGCACCATGCTTAAATTTGCAGCCATTCAGGTGCGTATTGGTCGGTACACGCCCTGTGGCAATCGTCACTAATCTTTAAATTTCCTTAAGCAAGAGAACCAAAAAAATTAAAGGTCTACTCTTCTTCTACAAAACAGCATAAGCAAGGATGTCATCAGAAATATCGGAGGCAGTGGCAACGCCGGACTCATCTACGTTTTCTCCACCCCACGAGCATGACGAAGGACAGGCGCCGGAGGATACCAATGAACTCGATTACAACAGAGAAGTGCTAATGAAAAAACTACAGGACATGCCCATGGAAACATTGAAGGCAATTATAACGAACCAACTTGATTTAGAAATTCGCCTCAAGCACAAGGAGCTTTCTCTAACTGAGAAGGAGGTGGGTAAATGCGAGTCCCAAATGATCACACTAAGAAAATTCTTCAAGATACCATCCAATGTGAATTTCGACAATGAGCCAAATGGGTTCACTCACAAATATTCTAACTTATTGAGTCAAGCATTAAATGTCAACTATGAGAATATATCGAAATTGTCTTCGTTGGCCGACTTACTAGGACCTGGTGCTATACTTGGAGGAGCAGTAGGAGATGGAAATAGAATATCATATTCTGCTTCATCTTCAGTTTCTTCTATGGGTGGTGCTGGACAGGGGGATGGATTTGGAAGCGGAGAGTTTACTAGCGGTGGCAGTCTTGGCGGTGACGATGGGGACTTACCCACACATTCTTATAGAACCCGATCGACAACTTCATCCTTGAGACCCAGCTCGTCCATGTCTTCTCGGAGACAAACATATGGATGTTTGTATAGACGAACCGATGGCATAATTGTAAAGCTCACATGTCCAACTTGCCTTCGTAGTAACTTCTCATCAGCTCAAGGATTTTTGAATCATAGCCGAATTGCCCATTCGAAAGAATATACTTCCCAGGATGCAGCTGCTTTGCAATGTGGTGAAATCCTTCCAAATGAAGAGCAAGACGAAGAGGGTATTTTAAGTTTACAGAACTTAAAATTGAAAGGGTTAGATCCAAAAAACCATTTAAATGTGAATGAAATATATTTCAATGGCTTGAGTACATCTATGAACTACGAGAGAAACGATGGACAGCCGTCAGGTCAAAGCAAAGCTCAAAATCAAAATCAAAGCCAAAATCACAACCAGAATCAGCATCAGCATCATCAGCAGGCTTCTCAAAAGCCACTTGATATTCCTCGTAGGAAAAGCAATGATCAGCTTATGAAAAAGCTTATTGCGAAAGGTATAACTTCTGATAAGAAGGAATACGATAAATTGGTTCTTGACACCATGAGCGAGGTGAAAAACTCACACCTTTTTAATGGAGAAGAGGATGAGGTTGACGAAGGAGATAATGAAGACAGCCTGAATACTAATAACAACAGTAATTCTGTCAATAATAGCAATAATGCTGAAGATGAGAGTCGTAGAGATAAAATCAGAAGAAAGAGTAGAGGAGGCGTTGGGATCTCAAAACCTGGTAGCTACTCAAGCAAGAATAACAAAAATGCAGGCGCATCAAGTTCGATACATTCAGGTTTGCCTAAGTTGAAGCTCAAGATTAAAAGAAGTAGTGAGGGTGTCTAATTGGGATTGTAAATAAGTATATATGTAGGAAAATAAAACGGGAATTGGGAAGAAGTCCATTTAATATGTAGTGCACTGTAATAACTCGGAACAGCGTAGAAACTCGGTATAGCGTAGAGATGGTGCGAAATGCAGAGTAGTTCCAGGTCATGAGTAGGTTGTGTAGAAATGACGTTGTTGAAGATGCAGGCGCCTACACATTGTTGCAGAGAAGTCCCCAGCAGAGCAGAGAAGATACGAGTATCAAGCAGAACATCGAGATAGATATGCTCCTGCGTAGATAAGCTAAGCACGGAAATGTACGAATGATCGAAAACTAGCTGGTGCAGAAAGTGCTAACAATTACGTAGTAAAGAAGAGTAAGTATAAGTTGGTTGCTGCAACAGACAAATGCATGAGGCTCACAACGTTGTATGCACAGGATTCAAGGGGTGTAGCAAGAAAGGAAAGGAGTGATATAAACATACCAAATGCTTGATCTACACCTCGCGATGAGATATATCCTGGTGGCGGATAATGGAGGCTCAGAGTTCAGAGTAAACAGAAGACACCTTATCTAATTACAGCCTTGAAGTATCACTATCCCGCAACCTCTCTACGACCGCACTTCACCGAGTGTCAGATGTAATCATCTAATTTATTCTGTTCTATCTCTGAGTGTACTGGTTTGCCGAGCGTTAACAATAAAGCAGCCAATAGGGCAACTTCGGTAATTAACTGTTATGGTGCATCACAGTGCAGCACTGCACAGTTTTTTTTTTTTTTTTGGACTTTCCAGCTTAGTCTTTAATTTGTGTGATCTTTCAAAAGCCTCGCAGATTGCATTGTCTTCAACAAAGCTACTTGTGTTAATTATACAACGGGTAGTAATTCCTATAGTGCGGAGAATCAGTCAAGCGGTAAGTCTCATTCCAATATTAGCTGAATCTAGTCCTATTTTCTATAAAAAGGTTCAAAAAAATGTCCAAACATATCTCTAAAAATAAGTTCAAGGCTTTTACGTTCCCTAAATTTAACTTTGGCTCTCTAATCCCCGGACGGGATCTGGTGGACATAAAACGCGAAAATCCATGTCACTATACGAGAGCAACTGAAGTAATTTGGCACGAAGATGCAAGCTGCATAAGATTCGAACGGAACTATTGTCTACATGTCATGCCAAAGATGTATCCAGTGAGATTAACATTACCGGCGGTGTCAATCATACAGCAGTCTTCTTTCTCAGTTGCTCTTTCTGTTTCTGTCTCTGCTCTTCCACTCCTCTACAGTTAACCATTCTGTGCCAAGTTGGCTATGCCAGGTAAAGCAAGTTAAGTCCGTGCCTAATTGGCTGTGCCCAGTGAAACAAGTTTAAATATAGAAATTATAAACTATGATGCGTTGTGAGAGGAAAATGGAACTATGTGGCCAATATCCCAAACATTCAGCCCCGCTTATCACAGCTTTAGCTGTAGTCTCTTCCACGTTAACCGTACAAGGCCAAAGCTGATGCTCTCTATTTCACAGTCTAGTAATCTTTATATTTTTTTTTTTTTTTTTTTTTTTTTTTCCCTCAAAGTTTGCGTTTTGCATCAATCTGCAAGATTTGCCGCAGAGAGTCTAGACCTACACTTCTACCTTCCAAATCTCACCCAGCGTCGCACATTTTAACCTTCGTGACTTCAGTCTCATAGACAACTTGTAATGATAACGCTACAGGATACCGTGATGAGGTAATTTCAACAAAGAAAGTGGAGATTTCGATGCCTACGATCGATCTGTCCCACTTTAAATTTTTGTCAGTCTCGAGCGAACTCACAAGCTAGCCTTCTCTTTTTACAGCAGAAGTAACATGCTTCACCTCCTTCACATGTGCCAAATGCTGGTTCCTTCATTTCCAGCTCACACATGATGCGCGAAATGTGTAGCTCAAGAATTAAAGCGAGAAAAAAATAAAAAAGCACATTTCAGAAAGAGCCGCATATCACCGCAGCCGAGCCACTAATTTATGGGGACTTCACCGTACCAAAAGTCAATCTCTTAAGTGTGGGCCCACTAAAAATACCCCTAGTACAGAGTCCAGCTCAGAGAAGGAGAGGGAAGGAGCCTGCAACTCTAAAACGGTCATAATGTATTTCAATGTAGCGCATCGATAATGGAAAGAAGCAAACCTGGTAGCTTAGCTTTAGCCTTTCTATCGCTTTGAGTGACTTAATAATATATTTTATTTTTTGTTGTACCTTGCCCCATTGAGTATCGTTTGGCTAGGGTTTATAGTTTTCGACAGCTTCTCTTTAGTGGGTAATCACGATTCTTGCCTCTAGAAAATAGCGTACCAGGGTGCCTGCGCAGTGCCCAGGCTACCGACCGCCGCAGGTCAAATAAAAAAAAAAACAATCAAAAAATAAAAAGCAAAAAAAGAAATAATCCTAAGCAAAAGCCCTAGAGAGGGAAAAAGAAAAAAGAAAAATTCACATTAATAATAAAAATAAAGAGCGGAACCAATTTACAAAAATAGATCAGAGGACTTCATAAAGGACACATCTTATTCCATAATTAACTCATCTCATTTAAAAGGCATCCCCCCCACTCACTTGTTTTAACGCACGCTTCATCATTGGCAGCTCCTAATAATAACATTTGCGAAATTTGAACTGCGTCAATACCAATTAAAGTGTTCCAGCTAATTTCGAAGGGCCTCTTTCAAGTCCACGACTTAACTTTATTTTGTACGGAAATATTTAACCTTTCGAAAATACGTCATTGCCAGAAAATAATTTTGTTCTTTACTAAACTGAAGTTTCAAAAAACAAAAAACTGTTAGTGGGATATATAATCAAAAAAATAGTGGTATTTTGATAAAAAGAAGAAGATTGGAGGTATCCTTATTGACAGCACGCTTAGTTACTGGGAACCTGAGTCCGTTTTTCATTATTTATCACGCTTTTTTTTGTCAGACCGCTGATTTAGTACCCAATGAGCTCATCACCGGCAATATGCGCCTCCCCAAATTTTACGTTCCCGCCAACAAAGACACCAAGTAAAAGTTCCCCTACCAAGGACGATACCTTCGACTATTTCAGTATAACGAGGAATACGATACATAGGCCGACGCACTCCGCGAACTACTCGGCAAAGCAACAGCAACAGCAGCAGCATAGCCATCATCATCCACACCAACACCACCAACAACAACCTAACCACAATGGTAAACACCCAAAGATGAATGATTCCATGTCTTCCATAAATTCAGACCAGACATTTGTAAGCAACAGTAGCATTAGTAGCAACCATGGCGGAGCTAAATATTCTCGAAGAACAGACTCATCGGTATCTACTGACACATTAATCGATGAGGTGCTCCCCTCTAAGAACTCAAAGAACCATTTGAACCTCTCGTTGACTATGAACAAGGACAGCAAGGTGCACCAGGGCTCACTCAGCGCTGACCCTGCTTCAACAAATATACCCACATCTGTAGATACTCCTGAGAGGCGAACAAGCTCAGCTGGGGAGGGCAACTTTTTCAACAGAAGACCACAGCCAATGCCCCTCCATCAAGAAGAACTAGAACTGCTTAGTGACTTTACCTCCGTCGATTCACCGCAACCCTCCTTAACCATGGATTCCATCAAGCCACTCAAGTCTGCCAGTGCAGAGAAATTGGAGCCGCCTGTGCTCCGTAAACAAGTAACGTTGCCTACCTTGAAGATCTCCCATGAATTATCGTTCAACAACATTCAGAAGACCCAGCTCAACGCTTTGAACAAGCTCAACCTGGGATCAACTCACTCCGTGATAAAGAAGGATTTGAACTCGAGTTTGCCCTTTGATGTACATGTGATAAACTCGTTGGATTTGTCTAATATTTTAAACTCAGAACAATCCAAGAGTAAACTATTGATGATAGACATTCGTCCATTCAACGACTACGTTAAATCTCATATCAAAAATTCCATAAATGTTTGCCTTCCTTCTACCTTATTGAAAAGACAGAACTTCAGCTTGACTAAGTGCATCAATAGTTTGAGTGACTATGAGAGAACTTCTTTGACTTCTTTTTACATGACCCATAATGACAGTAATGAATCGACCTTGGACTCGGATCCACCAATCATATTACTCTACGATAACTTTTCATCTGGATTCCAAACAAACAATACTCAAAGCTTGTCCAACATGTGTCAAAAGTTTTTAAAAGATTGGAAGAAATTTAAAGTTTATGTGTTAAAAGATGGATTTCAAGAGTTTAGGAAGAACTTCGACAGTTTCAATGAATCTGGCGCTAGGGCGATCAATGAAGAGAATGTGGACGGGATTAACGCTGGCGTTGACCTCCTTCCACCTACTCCGATTTCAACAAAGGGAGGTGGCTTGAAGGGTGGATCACCGAAATTCAACTCACCTGGTTCCGTTTCCTCCAGGTCATTTGTTCAAGAGAACACTCCAGTTTTATCAAGATTTGTTCTTCCTGAGTCGAAAACTGTCTTTAAAATCAGACACAATGAAGAACAGTTCCAGAAGAACGAAATAAATCCAGCAGATTTCAAACTATTAACAGAATATGAAAAGTTGTCCAAATATGAGAGTGACCAATTACCGAACTGGATAAAAAAATCAAATGTAGAGATTTGCAATGAGTTTAATAAGTTGGAGTTACTTGAGCAAGAAAGATTGACCAATGCGCTAAGCCTTGGAAATAATCCTATCACTAGTAGTGTCCATGGTGATTTTCTCGAGTCTATTAGGTCACCACCACCAACAATTTCGTCAGGTTTTGAGTTTGGTTATAAAAACAGATACAAGGATATCTTTTTGTATGAACACAGTAGAGTTAAGCTTCGTGATTTCGAAACCAAGCAAGAATGCGATTACATCAACGCATCTTACTTAACTTCAATTGGAAAGGACTCCAAGACCACAAAGTACATTGCTACTCAAGGTCCCCTTAACGAGACTGTGGGAGATTTCTGGAAATGTGTAGTCAATGAAAAGGTTCCATTAATTATATCTTTAACCAAGGAAACTGAAAATGGGGTAATGAAGTGTTCCCCATTCTGGAAATCTGGATTTTACAAATCTAACGGAAACCAAATTAAAGTCGAAGAAATCGAATCTGAAGTTGTTTCGATTAATAACAACGAATTTAACAAGAATTCGACGACTAAATCCATCATCTTACGTAACTTTGAGGTTCAAATTGATCATAAGGTAAGGCATAAGGTCATTCAAATACATGTCTTATCTTGGCCAGATATGGAATTGATTATGAATCCAAAGGATTTACTTTCAATTATTTATCTTAAAAAGTATGTGATGAATAAAATCTCATCAACGGCTCCAATTTTAGTTCATTGTTCAGCCGGATGTGGTAGAACTGGTTCATTGTGTGCAATAGATACAGTTATTGATTTAGTCGAATCCTCCGCTGCTGATGAAAATTTAATCTTCAACAGCGTCAACAAATTTAGAAAGCAAAGGGTATCCATGGTGCAGACATTGAGACAGTACATATTAATTTACGATCTTGTGTTGATATATTTACGTCATAACATCTACAGGAGGGCCGGTAGCATTCCGGAAGATTGTTTATGGTCAAGCTTTAATGACTTGAAGATCATTGATAATTTCATCAAGAATTACTAACAGTCTATTAAACAAAAAGAGAAGGGAAATAAACAGAAAGAAAAGAAAAGGAAAGAAAAGAAAAGTAAAGAAAAAGGTAGTAGTTCTCATAAATATTAGAGATCACTTACATGGTTAAGTTCATTATTTAATTTACATTGGTCTAAATAAGTTATATACGTTCCACATGGAGCTAATACTATAATAATTTAAGAAAGCATAGTAGTGGTGTGTACAGAGAAGAGGAATATTATATCAAACATACACCTATAAATTATTGAACTTTCGATGATTTTGAGTGTAGTCAACTTCTACTGGTACCACTCTTTTTAGTATAAAGAGCAAACACCTCTCAGCAAACCTCCCTACACCAATCTTCCCTACAACAAATTTAAGCGCATTTTCGTTTATTAATTTTCTTTTTTAGTGTACACTACAATAGACCTAAGCGTTAGCAGAGATGAATTGCTTTAAAGCAGCTGGGTTAGCACCAATAACTCTGTGGATTTCCTTACCACCCTTGACAAAGATAACAGTAGGCATGGAAGAAACTTCGTACTCTTGAGCAATTTCACCAAATTCATCAACATCAACCTTGATGAACTTAGCAGATGAGTATTCAGCGGAGAATTTGTCCAATAATGGAGCAATCATCTTACATGGACCACACCAAGTAGCGAAAAAGTCGACAACGACTAAACCATCGTGGGTAAGGGCATCGGTGAATTCTTGTTTAGAAGCAATAGTGGCAACCATTTTAACTTGTTTTATAATATATATACTAATATGAAATAGATACAGATAGTAATAATCAAAAAAGGTCGATTTTATTACTTTCCATCGGCGCGGTTCCTTTTATAGTCGCGAGAATTTTCATGCACCTAAAAACTAGACCCTAATCGCTTACAAATTTACCGATTACATACAGTACCACTTAGTGAGCATAACTGTGGAAATATCCGCTCATTAGTCAACGGATACTGAGATAAATAAGTGGGTGAGTAGGTCACAGGAAGATCACAGGAAGGTCACTGGATTGGGATGTAATTCGGGAAATCTGGTAAGTTCTAGCATGTTCTTTTCTATACAACCTGGCAGTACTTTATTTTATTTGTAACACCGGGCCGCAATCGACTTATAATTGCTCGCTGATGTTGCATTGTTATTCAGTGTTTTTTGTGTCTCGGTAATCAATAATCTTGTGGCTCAAATTATGTTAATGCATTCCGCGAGTGGTGTATGACAAATTTCAAGCGTTGAACTGTATTCAATTACAACTTGAGTACATAGAGGGCATGTCTAGATGAGGAAGCTTTAGTGTAGATGACCTCCACCTTTGTCTAATTGACTCTATAATGGTTGAATCGCCAGATTTGATATGCAATGCTGACAAATACTGACTCTACAGTGCTTCTTTCGACAGCGCTGACTCTACATTGCTTCTTTCAATAAGGCTGACTCTACAAAGCTTGATTTTTTTATACACAGCCGTATACTTCTCTATACACAACCGTATTCTTTCCTCTATTGCCCACTTTACTGATAAAATTGAGATCGTAATTTTTTATGCATTCTACACCTTAGTTGTACTATTGTACTCGTAACTTCTCATACACACTATGATATATGTCTAGAAATAGAATTTTGGTCCCGTTCTATCCAATTCCCAATCCTCTTCAGCAATTTCTTCAGGAAGTATCAAATCATCTCCTGCCTCGTACTCCTTCACCAACTGACTTAACACTTCGATCTCTTTCTGGGTATAACTTCTCAATAATGTACTAGATGAGTCTCCCAATTTAGTCTCCTTAAGAAAATCACTTGTTCTTTGCAATATTTCTGCCTTACAGTATTCATAGATCATCTTAGTGCATTCTGTCTGTAAATTTGCAAAGTCCTCTTCATTTTCCATATGTTTGATTTCAAGTATATTTTCAACTGTTGGGTACTCTCCATCTAACTTCACTGCCTTTTGGTCAATTCCAATAACTGTATCGTATTCATTTTCCTGTAATTTGATAATGTCAACAATCCCCTTCCTCTCCTCTGAATCGGTAATCTCATTGTATTTTTCATTCTCTCCAAAAATTTCTGTTTGCCAACTTGGATCGTATTCGAATCCCTTGACAAGTGCCAAAGGTAATAAGTTCGAGAAATAATTTATATAAACTTTCCCATTAATCAATACAAGCTGGACAAGAGGGAAGATTTGCAACCATTTAAGTATCGTAGCAAAATCTGTGTTCTCGTCGTTATTGAATCTTTGGAGATATGGATTCAAAAAGGTCGGCGGTAGTATCAACTCAAAGAGTTGAACTGCACCTTTTTCAGCCAATGTTGGAATGAATCCATAAGTCTTCACCATAGCTTGGATGTTTTGGGTCGGAGAGTAGCATATAGTGATTTCAGTTCCCTCGGAAATCTGAACTCCTTCCTTCAACTTAAGTAAAATATCACCGGTCTCTTTGTCCACATCAAAGTAAGCGTTCTTTTCCAATTCACTGGAATGATTCACGAAGTCCAAGAGTGGAACCAACGTAACATTGGTGTAGTAATCGTCTTCTTTGCCCTCTGATTCTATAATTGCTTCTGCAGAGCTGGCCCTATCTTCATAAGGTATCTCAAGAACCCTGGACCTCACCGCTGCTTCGATCTGCTTAAATGCTTGCAATTTAATGATCGCGGAGTCCTCTTTTTTTAAAAGCTTGCCCAATTCCGAGTTCAAGTCGGTGTAGCGTTTCAATTGAGAAGATTGCCTTGCTGCAACAGATGAGAGGAACCGACTAGTCCCGTTCTCACCCTCCTCCATTACCAACTCATCAACATGGGTGTTGCAAAGTATGTCCACGTACGGTATGAATTCAGCGAGCTTTTCGTCTTCTTTGGCTGAAGCTCCAGCCAAATCAATGCAAATTTTAAACGCTACGAAATAGCACTGCAATATAGCAGTCTCTGTGCTGGGCCTTACAGTAGATAAAACATTCTTAACTATAGCACTATTTTCCGGTTTTAATTGTGAGAGGTCACCCAAAAGCTCATTATAGTCGTACTTCAACTTTAATCTAAGTAGCTCTCTATCAACTTTTTCCACAGAAGTGTCTGAATTGGTATTTGTCAGTGTATAGAAGAGACCGATGCCACCCAACTTGCTTTCTCTCACTACAACATTGCGGTACTTAACTCTTCCGTCTTTCAACAACCATTGTGAGAATGTTTCGTTGTCATAGACACCAGGTATCTTGCAGCCAGGGTCAATTAACATATCTAATACTGAATCTTTTAACTCTAGCAATCTGCCCTCTTTCCACTCTCTCTCTTCTACCCACGACTCTTTGGTTGCATCTTGATCTTCTTGAATCTTACACAAAAGTTCAGCCTCAAAAAAAAAAAAAAAAAAAAAAAAAAAAAAAAAAAAAAACAAAAACACAAAAAAAAAAAAAAAAAAAAAAAAAAAAAAAAAAAAAAAAAAAAAAAAACAAAAAAAAAAAAAAAAAAAAAAAAAAAAAAAAAAAAAAAAAAAAAAAAAAAAAAAAAAAAAAAAAAAAAAAAAAAAA